GTCAGCCTGTTGTTGAGTGAGATTAGTGTAACTTAGATTCACTAAAACTGGCAGGTTGATCGGGAGAAGCTGTAATACTAATATGTAGTTTGGTTATATGGCAGCCCACTGACTGACCCAATCTGAAATGCGTTGATGTGCATAATATGAGCCATTCGATTCGGCATCGGACGGCCATAAGTAGGATAGGACTCGGAGGCCTGGCATATGGGTTATCGGAGTTAAAACCTAGGTAGTCTCTGATCTGTGCACCATCCTGATTCTCCGGCCAGCTGTTCTCCCTGGGGCCTGCACACATTCCGAATCCTGATTCCTAAGTACCCATCTGCTCAGAAAGGTCCCCACATTTGCCTGAACTTGCAAGACGCGTCCAAGGAAGAATATGAAAAGATTTGGCGGCCAGCGATGGGCGATGAAGGCGGGCAGGGCATGAACCGGGGGGGCAGCTGGACGAGAGCAGCGGCGGCGCCCAGCAAGCAAGCAACCCGTTGCTAGCAGGTGGTTGTGAACGAGGTTTCACTGCGCTCATTTGCTCTTGCTCCAGACCCAGTACTAGTCAGCAGGGCTGACTCCTGTACATTTTGTGCACAGTCTTTCATCCGCTGAAAGGTGGCGTCCAGAAGAGTCACATTGGACAGCATTGGAATTAGTAAGTAACAGGTACATTCGGCACGATGTCGTCTAATCACGCCCTGACCCGGGTCCCTGCGGCCCATTTGAGTCACGCAGTCAGCTCAAGATCACAAACCCCAGCTGCAACCTACCCCTCCGAGCCACTCCCTTTCCCTTCTCGAGTTCTCAATGCGACAGCCCAAAGCCGAGCTTCCTCTAGAGTCCTGCACAGATTCAACCAAACACTCCAAGTTCGCCAATGGCACTTGCCGCGCAAATCGCAGCTGTGCCTGGGAACAGATCTAAGGCTTGGGTCCAAGCGACGTAGAAGTTTGTCTCATGGAGTATCTAAAGCCAGAAGCGGGGCAGCACGGTCAAGTCTAGATTATGACGCCCTGAAAGGCGTCCAGGTTTTAGAGGCCGCGAGCGGGCAGCCAGTGGAGCTCCTTTCTCTCTGGGCGGTGAGCATAATACTTTAGTGCTAGAAGACAGCTTGCTCCTGGTTTGTTGGATCCAATCCACAACTCTGTGACAGAATTTCCCCCTGCTTTCTGCTGCAATCCCCAAGAATCAGAAAACGTTTTCATCATTGCAATTTTATTGAATCACACATGTACGGCCAGCTTCTACATTTATCAAACTGTCTGCTCTTCATTTCCCAGGCCATATTATGATCACCATTATGTTTTGGGCATGAAGTCTTTTTGTTTGCTATTGATCGATCTCGCTCACAATGTTCCTCTTGCGACATGCGCAGGCCAAACCAGGCGTGCGAGTGGTGATTCCGTTCATGACCCATTTCGCAGGTGGGCGAGCGGTTTCTCAAAGAAACTTCTTGACACGACCTCCAACAGCTACTTTGTCAGGGCAGACCTGAGCTCCAAACGTTAGGTTCATATGTTTTCCATGTTCAGACGCACCACCTTTCTGGATGTACCAGATTCCTAGACCTGCTCAATTGACCTTGCCAGGGCAGACCTGACCTCCTTACACTCTAAACTTGCGCCTCTCAACTTTTTAAAATATACTTCCTCACCTTCTCGCATGTCCGATCCCACCAACTCTCGCTTGCCCCCCGTCAAGACCGTATCGGGCTCCTTCTTTTCTAGACACACTCTCTTCATCTTTCTGGCCATATACTCCTCACCTTTCGGGACATTCTCTCCTTACGTTTCCAACTTTCTATTACTCACCGATGTGCCCCGTCAGACCTGAGCTCCTTATGGTTTTACACGAATGCTTTTCACCGTTCCAGAAGTATTGGCCTTTACTTACCTTTTGAGACGTCATTCTTAACGACCGTTTTCGGACGCCCGGACTCGCCGACCAACACACACATCGCCTTCCCCCATCAGGGCAGACCTGAGCGCCCTTACTTTCGGGTCTGCACTCCTCACTGTCCGCACATACTTCCCTCTCGTTATGGACCTCCTTTCCTTTATTTTCCGAAGCGTCGATACTCACCTTTCCCGACGTCCAAACCTCACCAACCCACTCTCTCTTTGCCCCATCAGACCAGACTTGAGGCTCTTTATATCCTGGACTTACACTCCGCACCTTTTTCGGACGTCCAAAATCCACTAGTTGTCTCTTGCTCGTCCCCGTCAGGGCAGACCTGAGCTCCTGGGAGTTTGCCCAGAAGCTGGCGAAGAAGCTGCCGGAGCTCCAGGCGAACGGCGTCCGAATCGTCGCGGTCGGCCTTGGCAGTCCGGACAACGCGCGCCGCTTCGCGGAGACCGTGGGCTTCCCGTTGCAGCTGCTGTATGCTGGTAAGAGAGCAGTGATCGATTCGCGTGCAGTTCGTATCTGGCGGGTCAGGAGATTGCGTATGGTTAGAATGGGCCTCTCGATGTAGCTGTCCTACGGAAAGACGGTGCAGGTCAAACCGCGAAGATTCCATTTCGTGTAGGTTTGTGGATTCGACGGTGAGTACCCATGTGCAATATCAGACGGTAAGTATGGGTGTCAAAGAAGTTGATGGTGCGGAGCAACGTTTTCTGTGGGTCGGCAGATCATGTACAGGAGAGATGGGTGTTGACAGAAAGTTGAAGTCCGAAGCGCCTACCAAAAGTCTAATCAAGCCTAAGACAATTGCAGGCAAGTCAAATCGAGCAGCGGGTTGAGGAGTAACTGATCGAGCAGGGCAGATTGGGCCGACTCAGACCCTGCACGCATTTGAACGCGTGTCCTGTAGGGGAGCTTCGTGGTAAAGTCTCGCCGAGAGGGCTGCCAACAACTTGTCAGCTGCTCAACGAACCTGTAGGCAAACAGCGCCACCAAATTTCTTGGTGTTTCGACTGCCTACAAAGAAACGAAGCGAACACATATTTCGCCGGCTTACTAGATGTCGGCAAATGAACCCGACTTTCGCCTTCCAACTCTCCGTTCCGTTCGTGCCTTCGTTCCGTCCCTGGCTCCTTCTACTCCTCGCTTCGAGTCCGCTCCGTATCGTCAGTGCTTCCTTGTCGACAGATCCAACCGGGGCGTGCTACCGGGCGCTCAACTTCTCCCCGGGCTTTGCCCCAGAGGCTGGCGTCAGCCCGTACCTCAAGTTGCTGCCCATGCTAATGGGGATCGGTTCTCCGGGCACCATCCAAGAGGTGCGCCGCTCTAGTTGCCAAACGCTCGAAATCTTCTGCAATGATGAACGAATCCTTGAATTGGAAGATTTGAACTCCGGATAAGCGAGGTACTCAACCCAGGTCATGATAAGATTCTGAATCAAACGGAGAAAAGTCGGTCTCATGGTAAGCGGACTAAAACAGTGGCGAGTAGGGCAAGCAACTGATACAACAAGCAGGAGTCGGCTGTCGACACCTCCGTCCGTTTCTAGCTCCGTCTAACCTGCAAAAGTAGAACATGCTTCCGATTCAATGAAACGAGGAAACTTGCACAAGACAAGAGCTTCTTTCTTGAGCAAGCTGAGAGGTGTGGATTGGATGGCGCCCTGCCGCGGCTTCCCGGCCACACTCATGCTTTCAACTCTTAGTGCCTCTTCTGAGCAGATTGTTGTGAGAACTCGGGAGAACCTCTTCGTAAGTGTCCCATACTTTCCCAGTTCGGAAGGACTCTGATCATCTCCTTCATGCAGGTTGCCCGCGGCTACTTCGGCGACCGCGGCAGCAAGCCCGTTTTCGAAGGCTCGACCCCGTTCGACATCTTGGGGAAGGGCTATCAGCGGCCGATGGAACTGGCCACGCTGCGCCTCTTCAACATGTTTGGCATCCTGCAGAAATGTGAGCGACCGAACGTTGTTAGCAACAGCAATGGGGAATTCATGCGCAACTGATGCCCGTCAGCGGAACCTGGGAAGTTGATTGAGACTCCCGTCATCTGGTTCCAACTGTATACTGTCGTGGATTGACTGCCCGGCGAGCCTCTGCCCAAACCTACGGTGTCAAATGAGAGCAGGCAACCGATCGTAAGTCGCACTTCAAAATGCAACAGCAAACATGTACAAACCATCCCGCTTGCGCTTCGAAACGCTTTCTTTGCTTGAGATGCGGAATCTCGTCTTTTCTTTACGCAGGGGGTGAAATGAGCCCGCCAGAGACCCGCCTCTTGACTCAGCAAGGCGGCTCAATTGTCTTTGACGGTGAGGACGTCGTCTTCAAACACGTCGACAGCGGCATCTTGAAGTACACGGATGTCGACGCTCTCGTAGCGGCCGCTCTGCAAGAGACACTTACAGTTACTTCGGGATAAAGAAGACCGTGTTATCAAGGCTCGGACAATTCTGGCTATGGTGATCCGCGGGGCCAATCAGAGCTCAAAGCTGTTAAAACTAATAGAGGAAATAATTTGGGATCATAGCATACAAGGGCCGCATCAAGGTGGGAAAAAGTAGCGTAAAATCTGCTTTCCATTGATTGTGGCTATCATGTCATGGGTTAGGGGGGAACGCGTGCCCAAAGCAACGATCTCAGATTCGAACCTGGCAACAAATATCAGAGTTGGAACCTGTAGTCTGAATTCAGGCTTCTAATCAAGCTACATGCAGCAGTCAGCATACTAACAGGCTGGATGCTCAGACATGGTCACGGCCGCCATGGATTGGAGATTGGGCCTTATATATATGATGGTGTACATGAAATGCATGTTTGCGCGATAATCTGGAAATAGCCTATAGAGGCTTGCAAGCTCTCTGTATAGTAGTGTACGCATGTGAGGTTCTAGTAAAATGCTGGCATGTGTTATAGTGTGTAGTGACGGTTGATTGCATGCAGGCCATGTGCCATGCCACTGCATGGAGCCCAGTTTCATCTACATATGGCGGCAAGTGTGAACATGAGGTTTCAAACCTCTTCCGATGCATGATTGCCCATATGGCCCGCGGCAAACACCTACGTACTTGAGCCATCCGGCCTAGCTGGCTTGGCTAGGAGGGCATCCAATCGATGAAACAACTAACGATCAATCTACATGTAAACCTGTGCACAGGCTACGTTTCGATTGACAAGGGCCATGTTTCTGGCATCAAAACTTTCACGCGGAGACTTGGATGAAGATGCCGCTTTTCAGTGGGCATTGCACTCCACTAAAAACAGGCCGAGTCGACTCATCAATGAGCCGGCTCGGTTTTGCGCAGACTCCGCAAAATAGAAGATGCTGTGCACTTTCATAGTCCGTGAACGCATGTATGAACCAAGCCAAGCATGCGTTACCTTTTGATTATACTCAAACCGAATGATTGGTGTGCTTGGGTTTGCATTTTTTGAGATCAATAAGAAAACAATACTTCCGTTGTTAGAATCTAGGCGGCCACAGGAAGCGCCTCCGCCTCAGACCCGGGAGCGTCAAACAACCCCATGGCGATCTTCTTCTCTACCCGCCTATCGTGGAAATACTTTGCTTGCCTCGTGCGCCTGTTGTCGACGGGGGTAGCCGACTCCTCCTCAATCCTAGGGTAGACGCTAACCTGCAGTCAACCCAGCAGAATGGTGACAAACGAGCTTCCAAGGGCCGACCCAGAAGTCTCCGTGCTACTTTTAACCATGATTCCGACAAAGAAGTTCTAAGAAGGATGCCGATCAGCCCTGTCTTGCAGCAATTAGCATGCGCTGCGACGAAGAAAGCAGAACGCACGCTTCTACCTGAACGCTAGAAAAGGTTGGAAGCAACAACAAACCAGAAAGGAGAGGGAATCGGAGAGAGAAACCAGAATGGTCTTGGGAAACGAGCATTATGCACTGCAGCTCCTATGGCGACCTGCTTACTACGACAATAGCAGGGTATGATCAGACACAAATTGTGTTAGCAACTCCTTTTCTTGGACTGCAAGCCAGTTGAAAGGCGGCCTGACAAAGCTCACCTTCTTCCTCTTCTTGTCCTTCATTTCAAACTTGACAACACCGTCAATCAGGGAGAAAAGGGTGTAATCCTTTCCAAGACCGACGTTCTTTCCGGGGTGAATCTGCAACGAGTGAGGGCCACAGGTTGGTTGCAGATTGTTCAGAAAGCGGCCTTTTGATATGGTATAGCTGCAGTTGCCGAGAAGCGCGAGGCTCCAAGTTGCCATTGGACCATTGGAACCGAATGACCAGCCAGTAAATCCGCATCAGAGCCCGACCAACTTTACCTCTTGAAAGTGCAGGCAAAGCTAATAACTATTCAGTCAGGCTCCAGTCTGTCAAGGATCTCTTTGAAATTCCTTCTCCGGAGAAGGTGGACCAGAAAGCCCTCTGAGCTGCGGGCAGCGTTCTTGTCGCTCTGCCGCGCCGTACACTCCGATCTTCGCCGCACCGTTACCATCAAGGCACCCTGGACATTCCGAATGTAAGCGGCTGCAATTTAACCGACAGAAGGCTGAGGTGGACCCAGGCTTTCGCTTCCAACACGGCCTTTGCCCTGGCAGCACTGCCCAACCGGCAATGAAATATTGTTTGAAGCTCCGAGTTGGGGAATAAAAAAAAGCGCTGCCCGGCATCCCATATTCTAGGGTTCTGGCAAAAATGCAAAGTCTCCCGCTTCTTCTCGTCTCCAGCACAGGCTTGCAGCAAACTCGTATTAGGGTATCGTATCCAGTCGCCCTCTAGAGGTCGCAGCATTGGTACGATAGTCGACGTGACATTACAATGCAGCAAAACACGCTCCTGTTTGTTTCAACACCAGATTTTCACCAGTGAATCAACTCTCAGAAAGCTTGACAACCAATGTGACAGAACCAAGTCAAGGAGGCCAGACAACTCACGTGCGTCCCGCATTGCCTTATGATGATCGCCCCCGCCTTTGCAGGCTGATCGCCATAAATCTTCACCCCCCTGCTCTTCGAGTTCGAGTCACGTCCGTTCTTTGTACTCCCCGTTCCCTTTTTGTGCGCAGCCTCAATGCTCAAAGGTGCATAGGCGGGCAGGGGAGTGGGGGTTGACGCTGACGGTATTCTGCTAGCGCCAGCGAGAAAAGAGGACGACCCCAGGCTCAGGCCGTTCAGCTGCGACAGCAGTGCAACCCCAGCCATCGTCACTACCCCGCAAACACCACGCCTTACTGCCCCTTCTTGAAAGCTGGTACCGTATGTAGGGCTCAAAAGACAGCCAGTAAATCACAAAGCCTGCCCTCCTGAGCTGCAATGCAACTGTTGTCCTCCCTCTAACTGTCAGAGAGTCACCAGCACTAGCTGAGCAAAATTTCTCAATTCAGTGCAGAGGGAGCGAGTGACGTGGCCACGGTCAGGAGCTGACCAGTTATTTAACCTAGGACAGCATATCCCCCGTGCTCATTTTTCTTGCCTCACCGGCCGGGGCCGGGTATCCCTGTCAGATGAAAGTTGGGGCCGGCGCCCGGGCAATCAGTCCCTAGAAAGAAAACTGGTGTGAGTGCGTATGCTAAACCTGGGTAAACCCGCAAAGTAACCATGGACCTTGACCGGCCCTGCCGAGTATCCGCTGCTCTCCAGTCAATCTGCATTGGCCCTCACGTTCCTGAACTGGAGGCTCAGGCAGCAAATAATATATTAAACTCAATGAAGGAAAGAGAGCATCCTGTAGCAAATGGTTCAATGCAAAGAGTGGCAGAGCTGGGGCTGTGGCGGTGCTATAACGAGAGCACGTGAGGGGTGAAGAAGATGCCTTTTGAGTTTCAATGATTCACCCCTCACGAATTTTGCAGCGGCTTGAAAGCCCGCCTCTCACCAGCTGACCGCTAGCAGCACCCGCCTCATATTGCATTCTGCTCATTGTGGTGATGGCAATACTCTCGGCTTCCGCTCTGCGATACTTGCAGGAATTGGAATCTTGCAGGAGAGCACAGGACGGAGTGCTCAGGAAGATCAACAAAATCCATCTGAGGCTGGGCGAAACAGGTATGTTGTGCCAGTCATCGCTTCGCTCATCGCTGTCAACCAATTCTGACATGGTTAGAGCTTGCGCTTGATTACCACAAGTCACCTTGGTTCCTTAAGGTGGTTGAGGTCCTGAGGCAACCGCTTCGGTGCAGAACATGGTTTGAAGAACATGGATGTTTTCTGGAAGTTGGTCAAGCTGACTTTCCCCTCTCCTGCAGATGTGATAAAAGCAGAGAAGTTCAAAGAGGAGCTGTGGAGCAGGCTGCGGGGCTTTTACGTGGAGGCCAGAGAGCTCGCTGAGAGGGAAGAGAAGTGAGTTGCAGGATGGATAGTCATCCAACGTGCGCGCACCTGCTTACTTTTTGCACTGCATGTGGCACACCTCAGAAGCAGATAGAAGCACACTGCTATCTCTTGGCGCATAGTGTCACAGCTTCTTAAGTCTCAGAATCAAGATTCCCAGGTGGGGGAGCAGATATCCATGTGTAGGGCCCTGGTGGAAACTGGAGCAAACAGCCAGTCATTCTAGCAGTTCCGATATATTGAATAAGTGCCAGGCTGTGCTGATGACGACTATAGAATTGGCCCTCTCAACACTTCGGCATTTGCTGTTGTCCAGGTTGGCTGGCCATTGCATGCAGGAGATTCAAACTCAGCTGCTACCAGGACAACTCCCTCCGCTCAAGCAAAAACATGGTAAACACCAACCAAGACCTGTTCAGCCCGCACAGCTATAGACTGTGGGAACGAGGTGCTTGCATGACGGATGGTTTACAGTTGTTTCAAGACGTCTCCGCTGCGACAATGTTTGTATACCAACCTTGATGGAAAACCCAAAGTAACCTCCTTTTCTGTAAGTTGTTCCATGGTCCCGGGCTGATTTGTGCTGTGTTTTTCTGCAACTTCGGATAAGTTGTCGACCTTCTAAACCTCGTAAGACGGTTGTTGTTTCCTTGGAACTTTTCCAGCTGCCTTTTTTCAGCCGTCAAACTTTTGATGCTATCGCGCTCTTTGTTTGCAGAGCCTTCAGAGAAGAAGCGCAAGGTAAAGACAGAGGGGTCCAATCGGATGATAAACATAAATGGAGACTGGAACTCGCCATCCCCATCTCCAAGGAGCAGAGACTCCCCTAACGTTGTCATTGGGGAACAGGTAAACTTTCTTGAACCTGCCTCATCCCTGTTAAGACAGGGTAAAACTAGCATAAGAACGTCAAAAGAAAGGGTGCATTCTGCAGGTACACCCTCAGCTTTGCAGCTCCTACATTTTTTAATATGCATTTATATCAGATTGCCTATGTTTGTGTGCGACTCCTTTGCAGAACTATACACTGAAGATGCAGTCCACCACAAGAGGTTCAATGTCACAACGCTGGTCATCTTACTGCAGGTGTCTGCTCGTGTTAGTCCTGATGATGCGCCTGCTGACGAGTGGATCCTGGTGAAAGTGACAAAGTACGACGCTGAGGGCAGGAGGTAAGCCACTGGATTGCTCTTGTTCTGCCAGACTTTTCTTATACGCCTTTGTCCAGGTGAGCTCTGACCCTCCAGAATGTGCAAGAGACCTCTGTAAGAAGCCGGAAGCTTACTTGCATGCTCAAGGCACTTTCGAAAACTCTTTTCAGCTTCATCAATTCGTCCATGTAACTTGGTCAGGCTTGCAGTTTTATATTCTTGAATCGACACTGAGGATAGTGATCATTGTTGGCATTCATTGTTGGCACTTGTCGAGGGCAAACGAGGTGTTCGAGGTGTCAAAGCTGAAAAGCGTTCAACAGCTGAATCACGACTGATGGATTCTGGAGTATTTCCGGACAAACAAAGACACTCATGGCAAGCATCAAATGTTCCCTTCGCAGGTACTGGGTGGTCGATGAAGAAGTCGGGGAGAACGCAGAGCCAAGGTGAGCTTCTGGAAGCCAGATGCCTGTGCGAAAGCTCAGGGTCGACGAACTACCAGCCTTCTTCAATCTTTTCCCTCAGTCTCGCCAATGTTTCACCCTGTGCAAGTCGCCCATAGAGGATGGTTGAACCATTCTAGCTTCACTCGCTGAACTTGGCCCCTGCGCTCTGTGAGACCATTGGGAAAGGCTACTTCTTGACTTTCACCCGTCCTGCTGAATGAGTTGGTAGGAACAAACATAATGTTCACCGCCCTTAACGAGCGTGCCAAAGTTATCCGCTTTCAGCTGGGATGGACCGACTCGTTGTCTTGGAGTCAACAAGACGCTTTCGCAAGTCCTGCCCCCTGATACAGGACCTTCTTGCAGAAAAAAGCCATCACGAGATCGATATGAAAACAATTCCCCGTCCCCTTTCGTTTCGGTCATCTTCCGCGAGGCTAGGTGCCCCATTTTTATGAAGAACGCAGATTGAGGCAAAACGTGAAGTTGAGCTTTGTTGACACAGGCGGTACGTCCTTCCGGCGGCTTGCATCATTGCGCTTCCGAAGCCCACCCAGTCGGAAGCTAACCGGGCGCCCGAGTATCCCCCTGGGAGCATGGTGCTGGCGGTGTATCCGGGCACGACGGCTCTCTACCGAGCCAGAGTCGCCGGGTCACCTCGCAAGGTATGGGACGCTCTGATTCGAGAGAGCGGATTGTCGAGGGCAAAGCTCAAGACTGAATTGAGATTGTTATCGATTGGTTGTTGCTTGGTCGATTGCCTCAGTGCGTCGTTACCGTCCCTGCTGCATTGAAAGCGGCTCCCTTCGGTTCGCCTCCTCTTGAAAGATTCAGATGGTCGCAACACTTGGCAGGAAAGGCGTCTTGTGACTGAATGGCCTAGTAATCGTGGCTAATCTGGTTTCTCTCGTTGTCCCTTTCCCCCTTCCCCATCGACCTCTTACCATACGAATCGCCATCGGCTCATCGACCAATCTCCTCCTTTTCTGGCTTCACAGAAGAAGACCGACGAGTGAGTGGTCTGCTTACCCGCTGGTTCGTTTTCCTATTAATCTACTCTGTGTATGCTCTTTCCTTTCAGTCTACTCTATGTATGCTCTTCCGAGAAGAAACTTCAGAAGACGTTTCAGCCGCCAAGACGAACACGAACACCATTGCCTGTTTGCTTGTACAACGGTGTACCTGACATCGTCAAAGTCATACAGTGTTGTATCACCAAGCTTACCGATTTACGGCCTAGACTGTGTTTGAAGATGACCTTGGTCACCAGTACGTTCATGGTCGAAGTGTCTGTTCTTTGCTCCTGCTTTGAAAGCTGCTGAAAGCCATAACCACATGAGCGAACACTTCACCTGATCTGGCGTTTACGTTTGCGTCCCTAGTTACCTCCTCGAGTTCGACGACGACGAAGAGCCCGGCGTCGAGGGTCTGCCCAAGCGCCCGGTCCCTTTCCACCACGTGGTTCCCTTGCCCCCGACCCACCGCAAATAGACGCAACCGGCCTGAGTCACAGCCCGACTCTCTACCGGTGCACAGCCCCCGGCCTAAGCGCCTTAAGTCGAGCGCTCGCAAGAGGCCCACCGCCGGAGAGCAGAATGTGCGTTAGCATCTCGCTGCCTCCGACCGCTTGGGCTTCTGCATCGGAGCAAAGCCGTCCGATCTGGTTTGTGCTGCCGTATGGCTTCTTTAGCACAAACGATTGGCGTCGACAAACAATCACGAGAAACAAGGTCCGGCGTTTTCGATGCGCAAAAGGCGTGCAAGCATTTCTGAGCAGTTGGAGGCGCGGTCACGTGCAGCGCCTGCCAGTGAAACGCTCACGGGCTGGCTCAGCTGACGTAATCGCCTTCGAGAACCACACGGTGAGGAAAGCGAAGAGTTTTTCGTCGTTCTTATCCATGTATTAAGGCTGTTTTTTGCGCAGTCAGAAGATAAGGACGAGACAGCAAACTTCCTTAGATTTGAACAGTCTTCAACTAGGAGTGCGTGCGGTTTGTCCGCGAAAGTCGTCCAGAATTTTGAGCAGCGGCATCGTTGGAGAGCGACTCGTCTCTAGTCCTTTTTCTTTCCAGCCCTCAGCAAGTCCAAGAAGCAGTTTACTGGTTGCGGATAAGCCGCGCAAGAATCCGTCGCCTTAAAATCGCTTCTCGACCAATCAATATCGATCTGTTATCTGTCAGGACGATAGAAGTTTTCAGCTAGGGACCACTCATCTTGCCACTTTTGGGTTCACCTCTGCTCCTCTGCGTGAGCGGTTGAATCTTTTTGCAACCCTTAAGGAAGCCCTTCCATATGACCTTTTCGTGTTGTAGTCGGGTCCTGCAAGTTGGTGCCAGATGGACCGCAGGTTGATTTCAAAGGAAATATCTTCTATGATTGCGTGTTGAGGTCCACACGTGTTTTCTGGACGTTTGTTTGGAGTGAATATTTCTCCTATGTTTGTGTGATCAAACATTCCGAAGAAGCGTTTCCAACAGAGCAGTCCGTCAGGAGAAAACGAGTAGCAAAAACTCTCACAAACGTCTGTATTTCAGTCAGGCACTCCAAAGATGATGCCGTATTGACGGCTGCCATTCTTTTTGCAGGTGTCCGGCTGCAATGACACTCCAACTTCAGTCTTCAACCTGCAAGGCTTGAGGATCTTCAATCAGATCCCTAACTTGTAAGCTTGACTTGTTACTTACGATGCAGTTTAACGAGCAATTTCCAGGTGGCGCCTTTTGGAGGTAGCTTCCAGAAATCGAGTTGCTCTTGTTGGACTCTCTGTCGTGCTGCTCCTTGATATTTCATACAGCTTTGTTATACAGTACTGTTTTCAGGCCATCTCGAGTCTTTTACTGGAGAACATGAGCAGTACATCAACGATGTTCTGCATTCCCAGGCGGCCTGCCGGGCTGTTGATCCACTAGAGCCAGACATTCATTGGCCGCCCCCTAGCCATGTGGCATGAACCAAACTTGCACTGCTATGCTTTCTGTGTCAATCAGTCTTTCATACATGCCAAGTGCATGTCCGAACACAATCTCCTGAGTGTTCAATCTGAATTTATGTCAGATTGCTGCATTTGTTGCATATTGTTCAACGATTATGCTTAACGGTAGACCTGCAGAGTTGTTTCAATTCTTACATGTTGATTTGCTTAATAACTGTGTATGGGCACTTCACATACGTAATGCTATAATAGCCATGGCTGAGCTGAATAAGCACATGGTCCGCACGCGTATTTTCATGCAATCGGTTCAGCTATAGAGTACAGGGTTCCAGCAACCATCGATCCCGTTCCGTCATGCATGAAAGTTGAGCGTACAATAAAAAGCGCTCCTTGCGATTGCAATGGAGATTGTACGAACGTGTAAAGGTACCGCGAGTCAGAGTAGCACTCAACGACAATGCCGATCGAAGTTACGACGGCGCACTGAGGGTGTAATCAATTCTTGTCGAGGCCGTTTGTTGCTATACAGGAGCCAGACTCGAACATGGCACACATAATGAAGACTAGACGTTATCCATGCAGCTGGTCACTGAATCTACTTTCTGTTTGGGCTGCGTATCACGTAGTTCCCTTCCGCATGAAGCATTGACCAAGCCTGAGTATGATTTGAGCTAGCCTGGCATGTAGCATTGCAGTACGTGTTGCATCAACCCAGCGGATCTGAATTCGACTATATAAATGCAATGGATACGAAGTGCAAAAGCCAGACGAACTTCGGCTGAATTGTCATGATTCACGAAAGACTTTGTCAATGTCCAACAATCTAGCTGTCATCCCGGTAACTAGAGATTCCTATGTCAATCCGCGGGTGGCGTTTCTGAATACAAAGGAAGCGTTTGAGCACTACGTGAGCCTCTCTCGCGATACTTTCAGGGATGCCAAAAGTTAGCTTCTTGAGGACAGGGCAGGCTTCTACTAGTTGCATACAAAAGTCAAGTTGCTTACTAGGCTCATGTATCCCAAGACACCCCAGACCTATTGTTAAAGTCCTGAGGTTTGGAAAACTCAAGCAGCGAGGGGAAGTATTCTGCTCCATGACGATGTTGGTTGTGAGGGAAGCAGGAACGTCCAAAACCTCCAGGTTTCTCAAAGTCGTTGAAAGATTCAGGAAGTCCGAAAGCTTTATGTGCTCCTTCATGTATCTTTCCTTGATCCTTACGACCGTTGCATCACTGCACGTTTGACATATCTGGATGAGGTGCCTCCACGCCCCATCTGCTACTTCTAGATTGCTGACCTGCCATGGACTTGTCACTGCCACCTCTTCGACATCGCGTAACACGAGCTTGGCCAGCTTTGGGGCAGCCACCGAAAGTCGCTTGACAGTGCGGGCTTCTAGTACACTTAGCGTAGGGGCATCAACATGTACCTCAATGATCCCGCATGCTTTTAAAGAGGTCAGCGAATGCGCTTTCACCTCAAGCATGGCTGTCTTCTCCGCAGCAGCCTCAACGACCAATCTTGTCAAGCTGTTTGAATGGACGACCACGTTATCAAGCTCATACACATTATCAAGAATCAAACACTGTAAACTTGGGCAAGCTCTTGTGATGCTCGAGATAAAAGAGTCTGCCAGACTGGCGCCGTACAGTTCCAAGCTCCTGAGAAATTTGAGAGGATGCCTCGAAGAAAGGGGTCTCTTGAAACATGTAGAGTGGCTGTCCAGTACCACTGATTTGAGCTGAGGACACAACGCAAGCGATCTGAACAGCTGCTCAGCTTGTGTCTCCTCCTTTTCCCGTTCGGCTTCCCAAAATTTTTCAGCTTCAATCTCGACATACTCTAGCATGGGAGCAGTTGCTGAAATGGTGAGCAGAACCGCCTCTGGAAGCAGATTTGCATCCGGATCAAGGTTGATAACTCGAAGCCACTTCAAAACTCGATGCTCTGCAATGAACCGAAGCTTGCCACTTTGTGTCCTGCCTACCCCGTCAGTCTTAACCACCAACTTTTCAGCTTGCGGAATGATCCGGTCAAAGCGGGAGCATACTGTTCGCAACTGGCACAGTCTTTCGACTAGTGCAAACCCCTGAGCAACTAATTGGTGGCTTGAACGATCATTTGGATATTCTTGGGCTGTCTTCTCCAGGATGCGCAGCACAAGGTCGTCCGGCAGCCTTTCAAATGGGTTGGAGCGCTCCTTGTTTAATGAGCATCCTTCCATTGCGTGTATTTTTGCAAAAAAGTTCAACTCAGGGGTGCCCCAAAAGTGTGTCGGAACTGCGGGCTATGCAGCCTGCTTCCCTACTCAAAAAGCTCTTGGGTTGCCGTCACTGTTTTAAAGCTTTTCCATAGCAGCAAGCTTGTAAGCAGGTACCTAAGTACGTGTGTCTGAGCACTGAGCAGGAACTTCAAGAATTGAGGAGTTTGTTCAGCTAGGCAGGCGGCGGCCTCGCCCGGCGGCCGGGCCGCGCATCCCAATCTTGTCGGCCGCGCGCGCGCGCAGCCCAAGTTGCAGGGTTTAACCGAGGGTTGAACTGCCTGCTTCTGGAACCAGAATTCATACCTAGATTTGAAACTTAATCAGGTTTCCACATCCTAGTTGCTAGCTCGCTCTGCTGCCCCAGCTTCCCTCATGGCACCTCATGGCCACATTAGTGAGCTTGGGCAGCCATGCCCTCTCCAACTGTCCTCCACCAGGGTGACCATCACCCAAATGAGCAGCCCAATGGCAAAAGCCTACATGGATTTTAGCTCAAAACGTCCTCAGAGTCAAGGAGCTCTGGTGGTGGCAGACAGCAGAACTTTGGAAAGCTTGATGTGGTGGACACGAGGTCGAGGGGCCCTTGTCAGATTTGTGCAGCACACATCGCAAGTGCTGTTGCAAACGGAACAGCAAGTGCACAGCGAAGTCGTGACTACAGCATTGTCAGCCAAGACGTTTTTCACCTCTTCGTGAGACACATTTGGTTGTCTCCACTGCCGTCGCACTGGCGGGCGTTGCTCTTGTGATCATCCGGCGAGGCGGCTGCGTCTTGCATCAGCTCAAGCGCGCCGGCCAACTGAACACCAGCACAAGTCCAAGATACCTCAGCTTTCCTTACTGGCGCACAAAGCCTCTACTTTGCTCCTGTACTCCACCATCCTCTTTACTCTCCAGCTCCCACTGACATCTTCACAAGCAGCACCATCACACAACACAGACCACTGAGATCATCAGACACTGAAAAGCTAGCCAGGTATAGTCAGATCAGTGCAAACGCAGCTACCACTGCAAGCTCAAAGATGGCTCCAGAACGAATCACCTACACTGCCCCTCAGCAGTTTCCTGAGAGCATTGACTGGGACGCCAAGCATCAGCGATTCCTTGTGGGGTCTGTTCTTAGGGGCAATGTGATGGGGGTCTACCAAGACGGGACTGCCAAGGAGCTTGTCAAGGTTAGTTGGTCGCAGGGCTGAACTTCGTACTTGGCAATTTGTGAGATCTGGTGTGAATGGGGGACGTAAAGAGGAGTAGGGATGCCCCTGAGAGGCCTGGTATAACTCGGACAAGGGGTCAATGGAGGGAACTTTACGTAGTAAAGTCAATTAGGAAAACATTTTGTAGTGAGACTTCACATCTAGAAGCTAACCAAGTAGCTTCGCTCGCTTTCTCCTGGAATGTTGTGAGTGCTGACATTGAGTGGTTGGGGTTCTGCATCGGCGCTTCAACCAGTCTCCTTGGTTGAAGAGACACTCTGACAGCGTGCAAAAGAGAATCATAACACCTGATCATATTGCGGCAGCTTCTGCTGCATACTTTGCGTACCTGAGTGCCGCACTTTGAGTGGTTGCTTCTTTTGGATACTCTGACCAGCCCCGAGCTAGCCACTCAGGAAAATGCCGTACCAGTTTCTCTTGAGGGCCGTGTGGCCTCAGGGCTGTCAGAGTCCCGGAGCAAATACAATTGGCATGTGCGACACGAAGATCGGTAAGACACGGCAATTGCTTGCTTCCTGGGAGGTTATCCTCTGCTGTACCAAGTCATCCGTTAAGTGAAATGTGGTGGTAGTAAATGACCCTTTGTTTCTACTCCAACGGTTGATTGAAAGCAAAGACACAAAAGAGGTTCATGTCAGTGTCAGGCCTCGAGGAAGTGCAAAGAAAGGCAGAAGGAACTGTGTACCTGGAGTTGCGTTCATTAGCTACGGAAGAAGCTTCGTTATGTTTCTAGTGAAGACAAAGGGAGATCAAGCGAGAGTAAGGAGTTCAGATCCAGGGATAAGGCCCCAGACTCATGAACCCTCTGGAACAGCGCCGATTGCTCAACTTGAAATAAGTCGAAGCCGACAGAAAACCTCAACCCAAAACCTTCCCCGCTCCAAACCCATGCCCACCCTAAACCCCCATACTAACCCCACCAGTGTTAGAAAGGTTTTTTTGAAAAAACTTGCGCTTATTGTAGCGTGTTGTAGCTTATTGACTCATTGAAGCTTATCATACACTACATTCAGGATCAAATTAATCTGCACCACCTGTGCAGGATATGGAGTACAAAGGATGCGGTACGCTGGGCATCACAGTTGACGCGCCACGGAACCGCGTCGTTGTGACCATCAAATCCAACGCCCCCGCCCCCAACTACAACGCAGTTGCAGGATATGATCTACACAGGTGAGGTGTGTGTTCCATACCCAATGAAAGATGCATCCACATTGCTGGGAGTATCTTTTCGTCTTCTGGGTCTGTCTTTGATCAGTCGACCCAGCTCGTACCTACGTCAGTCTGACCGGAATTCTCCTTGTCGCCCAACAGAAATGTGATTGCAAGTGATGATCTAGACACGTGAGGATTGTGTGCCATACCCAACGAAGATGCATCCACATTGCTGGGAGTATCTTTTGGTCTTTGGGGTCTATCTTTGATCAGTTGAGCCAGCTCGGAACTGCGTCATTATGACCGTTCATTTCCCCGGCGCCCGAGTAGAATGCGATCGCAGGAATTGGTTTAGCAAAAGCGGTGGGGAAGCTTGTCACTATTTGTAATCATGCACTTGACTAGACTCTCTGGGGTCTTGATACTTAACCGTTTGATGAGACTGAAGGCGACTCAGTAGTCGAAGAAAGAAAAACAAAGCGAACAATTTAGTTACGAGTCTCTGGCTTGCTTTTATGGGACTCTCACGGGTCAGGTCAGGTGAAGACCGTGCATCCCTTCGCTGCATAAGTAAAGATGATATTTAAGGACCACAAAATGACTCTGTTCAGTGCCTCTGACTGTGGCAGCGGAAATCAGGTTAGCCTCTAGAGCCGAAATGAATCTGCAAGACTGCGTCTGCAGAAGGCGAGTCGTCTGCTTACGTAGTCAACCTATCTATTTAAGACTTTCAGCACGATTGTCCACGGTTCATCCAAGCAAGCCAAAGCATCTGCGTAACACAAATAAGTCAGACTGCTGAGAGGCTTTGCGGGGTAGCATGCAAACCGTTGCTTGCATTTCGAAGTCTTGATGCCAGCAGCTCAGGAGCCGCTTTCATCTGAGGGTCACCTACAAAATCGTATGGAGTGCATCCAACGTCGGAGGAATTCGAAGACGTTTCGAAACATACATCTCCCTACGCAAACCGTTTTAAACCGGAATTCTAGAAGCCGTCCTTGGTTGAACTTGATCACAGCGTGCGCTAGAACACCAGAAGGGAAAAAGCGAGGTCTATCAATGGTGATAAAGCCCAGAGAAAGTTCGAAGCGTAGATGTTTCCAAGACTCTGTCAAAGCTGCTACTCACTTTTCTGCTGGTGCTTTCCTCAGTGGTGAGAGGCTGTTCCTGACGCCATTGAACGACGTCCCCTGTTCGAACCCGCCCCGGGAGATGCCGGTCTTCGCCAACGACTCTGCAGTGGACCCGAAAACGGGGGAGATCTACACGACTGACACGCACCGGAGTCTCATCTGGAAGTGCAAGGCAGGCGAGTGCTTCTCATGCTTTCCATTGGCATGCTTGATTGGTCATCCGCTATTGTTGTGGGTTTCTTGGTCACGTTCAAACTTGTTGTTTGCCGTTTAGTAACTTCGTGCTTTTGCGACCTTCTGTTGTTTATAAGATTGTCGGGCTGAAGTGATTCAGATCTCATTGCAGGACTTTCGGGTTGCTGAGCTCCTCCGATGTGACTGGTTCAAGCTCAGTTGCTCCTTTCAAGCCGGACAAATACATGGCTTTTTTAAGTCGAGCAAAGTTGTACGTTTGAAAGGGCGTCAGCTTCTTGTTACTATGAGCTCCTCTTCTTCCTGCCAGCCGCAAAGAGTCTTTTTCCCGCTCTTTTGACGGGCCGTACTTCTTTCCCCCACTTCGGCAGCGCTTCAGGGATAGAAATCACCACCAGAATTCCCTAGGATGACGACATGTTATGTTGGTGTCAAGCTGACAGTCTTCGCTAATCCGTTCCTGCATGCGACGCAACTCCGTGCAGACGGGAGCGACCCGGTCGTCTTCGCCGCGAGTCCCCTCTTCGAGTCCTTCCCAACGGTGTTCGAGATGTTTCCCCTGGGACTCAACGGACTGGTCGTTCACGAAAACGGCTACATCATCACGTTCAACCTGCGCCAAGGGGTCGGGTTCAAGGTAAGAAACTGCTGCGAAGGGTCGGGGTCTTCAAGTTCTGATCGAGGTCGCGTTGGCAGTGCCCCACGGAGTCGAACCCTTGGTGGCCAAAGTATTTGGAAATTGGCTCTTACCGCCGTATTAAAGCTGAGATTGCCTTTAACGTGCGCCCCGGGCCAGGGCCCCCGCGCTGGGTCCCCCCCGCTCTACTTCTCAATTCTTTCTAAGCTGCGCCCAGGACCTGGTTTTCAGTAACCAGAAACGGTACGGAGAATGTCGCTCAATTGTCCCTAGCTGTGGAGTTTGTCAGGTCAATCTGTACCAGTAGTCCGGTGCAAGTTGCGGCGTGGGGGCGACAAGAATCTGTCAGCATCCTCTCCCCGCTTTAGCTTCGTTCGAGTGGATCCTCTTTCTGCTCTTCGCCGCTCTGCGTTGTGACTCCCACGGTCAGTCGTTGGAAGCAAGATGAAAAACCAAGAGACCCCCACGTTAGACGAAAGCTTTAGCGTCTCGAGCGCAATGTACATGTGTCAACGTCGGACGCGTCAAAGCTTTCGACAAACAACTCGAAGTCGGACGACACAGCTTGTGCATGAAGTCCCGCCAACTTGCTTGGTTGGTCGCAGCGTTTCAGAAGGCTGGGCAATTGCGCTCTTTTCTCATTTTTCGATCGTTCTCCGCAACTTCGCGTGCTTGAGAAGCCAAATATTTTTCCTCCCTGTCCGTCTCTCCTTTACTAATACCGAAGTGCCCCTCCTTAAGCTTCAACCGCAAAGTACGAGTGGCGGCACAATGCTGTCTCGATGGCTCGGAGCCGAGGCACGTCGCGATCAACGGTGTGTTATCCTGGCAATCCCTCGCCAAGATGCTGCTAAGCCGTGAACAATATCAGCTCCTGTAACCGCCAAACCTCACTTCCAGGTTTCGCCTGACCGATCCCGATGTACAGTGCAATCGACGGGATTGTTCTTGGGAGCGAACGGAAATCGCTCCACACAAGTTGCGTTCTTGCTTCCCGTCTCTTTCTCAAAACTCAAAGAACCCCAATTCCTGACCCAGTAAGCAGGTTCCGCTCGTGACGGTGCGGAGCCGACACACGTTGCGATCAACGAGGTGTGATTCCGGAGTGAACGGAAGTCCAACTTGCTTTCCATCGAATCCTAACCCCATTGTTTAAAACCGCTTCCGCTCAACGGCCCGGGACCGACGCATATTGCGATCGAGGGCGGTTTCGGGGAGCGGACAAAGCGTCTTCAAGTGTTTTTACGCAGTCCCTGTTCGTCCTTCCAAACCCGATCCTAATCCACAGATTTGACCTATCCAGGTTCCGCTCGACGGCTCGGAGCCGTCGCATATCGCGATCGACGGCGTGTTTCCGGGAGCGGACGGAATCCGGCTGCGGCCCGACGGCCGACTGGTGGTGACCACGAACGATAACGTGTACCTGGTCGAGAGCAGCGACGAGTGGCGGTCGGCTAAGATTCTGGAGACTGTGCCGCAGGTACGCTTTGGCAACTTCGAATGTGCTCCTTTGGGACCGCCGATTGAAGTGATTTGCGGAGAACTTTCAGAAAGTAGTTTGTTGCGAAGAATGGGAAGCGGCATTGCTGCAGTAAAAAGTTCGACAGGAACAATCAGAAATGCGACGTTCTTTACTTGTAGTTATGGGAAGGTCGAGGTGTTTCAAAGCGCCTTGCAATACAATACCAGTGAACGTTTTATGAGCTCTTGATAGACAAAAGTGAAGCGGCGATGTAAGCGTCTCCTGCTCGTGCCGTTGAAACACTGCCGACAGATTCCTAGATGCAGACGACCTACAACACGTCGCTACGGTATTTGAAGGGATGGCTGACCTGCGACGTTTCGGTCCGGAAGCGATCAAGAGCATATAGATTTGACGCACTCGAACATGTCCTCTGCAGGACCCAACAATCTCGACAACCGCGGTGGCGATAAAAGATGGGCGGGCTTACATCAACTACGCCTGGTTTGCGGAGGCGTATGGCGGGAAGCAACGGTCCGAGTTTTACATGCAAACCGCCGACTTCGAAATCGACAGAGCCGAGAAGTGAAGTTTTTAAATTGGTGACGGACTGAGAATAATTTCGCAGAATCTGTCGTTGAAATTACGCATTAAGAGAGACTCAAGTTGGGCATGCTGCACCTTCCCTGCTTAACGAGGCGGCTCAGACGAGTGATTAGTTGCATGCGAGAGCTAGGCCGTTGTAGTGGCATGTACGCATCTCTAGCTGCTTTAGGACTTCAGAGATTCTGATTGCTCCTTGTTCATTGTTTAGATGATTCAACAAGCTAGAGTTGCAGTTTTTCGGTGATTGGTCCAGAAAGTTGAAAAGTGCATTCAGAAGCGCCGGCATGGCCATCAATTGATTCCGCACGTTGCTTTGCCAATCCGATGCAGGGCAAAAACAGGCCTCGTGATCAGGAGGCCTCTGATTTAGCTCATACTTTCTCACGAGTCGTTTTAGTGCGTCTCATATCTATGAACACATCCCTTACGGCATTCGCCAGCTGTTTTTCAAGTTGCATGTGTACAGTAAGATACGCTTTTAAGAAGAGAATGACGCGCCGGCGGTGCACATGGTGGACTGCTTATGAGTCCGGGTCAATTGTGAAAAAGCTGTACTATGAATGCCAGCTCAATTGAATCCAGCAGCCCGCATCGTCTGTGCATGAAAGGATTGACGTCCTCGATGTACGTGATATCGCCATGATGTTTGTTGAGTGACGTACAAATCAGAGTTGCACCTTCAACTTGCACGCAATGATCGAAATCTTTCAAATCAGTAGCCTTGCCGATCGGATCGCGGTCACGCTCAGCCGCTCAAAGGCTTGCGTCATTTGACAAGTGGCTGCATGAACATTGTCATTTTGTAACACCGTTATGTGACCCGGGGGTAAATTTAAAAGAATCAGGCAGACTTCGGTATGATTTAAGCGCGCGCGCTTCCAAATACGGTAACTGCCTTGATGCGAATCACTGTATCCAGTATACGTACTATGACAGCTGAAGACGACCCGGTCTAGAGTAGGTATCGCAAGCAGTCAAGTCTCAGGCAATTGAGATCGGCATGGTTGGACTTGGCCGAGAGTGCAAAGTTCTCGAAAACATCATCTCTTAGACACTAGACACTAAGCTTATTGTTAATTGAGGCGGCGGCTAAATAAATGAGCCCGCGCGTCGCTTTTATAGGTATTGAGCCTGCACTCGGATAGTGTAGATTCAGGACTTCAGACGCTAGAGTTCATGATATGGGCTTCTTTGTTTATACGTGATGCCAGAAGGTCGTTGACTGTTCGATTGTTCCGGAAGACCGGATTATCTTCAAAGACTTGGGCCGCTACCCGTGCCTGCTTACTTGCTCCGGCAGCAATGCTGGCCACTGTAAGCAAGCCTATCTACCTATCTCATCACTATATAAATGTTTCCCTGCGGTCTAGCTAGCTAACCCCCATCAGGTGACAAGAGAATGTTGGCTAGCTAAACCTTAAGATTTGCCCTTGCCCGCTTTGCTATAGCGAGAAGGGTATACAAGGTGTGTCCTTGTAAGACCAGAAGAGCAATGTCTGCAACAGGGATCATTACGGTCCAGGCGCGCTTCCAAGGTACGTTGCTGAAGTCCTGGTCTTGAAGACTCACTAGACGAACGTACAAGATCCACGAGAGGGCGTGAACCACCAATCGTACAATGACATGGACGAGTGCTGCAACCTGCACAGTAGTAGTCACGGAGTGGCTTCAGTTAGCAGAGCAGGATTTGAAGCTCGAGTGCCCAAATATCAACATATGGGGAGGTGCGAACAGGACACCCAAACTGCCAAAGGTGCGGCTTCACGTCTCCAAAGGCAAGGCTGCAATCACAGCCACGAAAACATGTCACAGCGGATGTGCTATATCAATCCAAAACATACAAAAGCAAAATATGGTAGAGAACAACGAGCAACGGTGAGCTTTTCTGCTTCAGGTAGTGGCACAAAACGCCAACTCACCTTGAGTACTTGTGGAGCCCAGATGCTCCGCAGATGATATAGGATCATCCCAAGGTCCGTAACTTGTTCGATAAGGGCGTGCATCAACCACAGCAGCGAGAACCGCAGGAAGATAGCGCTCTGAAGCGTCCCTCGCGTGTCATATATGGTGTAGATGACGGTCAGAATCAGTGCTACTGTGACTAGGTGGTGGAGGATGACTGGAACGCCGTGCTTGATCCGGTAAGCCAACTCAAACATGTAGAAAGTAATGGTCACCATCAACGCAAGCCTCATGTCCGAGAACTTGGTGGCGCTTCCCGAGTGTCCATCCAAGAGCAGGTCCCAGCAAAAAATCAGCGTCCAAACAAGAGCAAAGCTCAACGCAATGATCTTGTAAGTGAAATCCGCCACGTTCCTCTGCTTGCGAAGTGGCAAGTCTTTGTACGTTGCAGAGAAGCTGGCGTACAACCAGTCTATGATGGAGACTGCCAGATAATGAAATATGAAGAAAGCCACTGTAGTTGGGGCCACCCCTTGCCATAAATAGGGGTCATTGATCTCTGGAAGAGTGGGGCAAAGCCACTGTAGTTGGGGCCACCCCTTGCCATAAATAGGGGTCATTGATCTCTGGAAGAGTGGGGCAAAGGCCACCCTCTTCAGAAGCCCACGCTGTTTGGAGCCCATACACGGACTTGCATATTGTTAGCACCTGCATTACGAACAGACAAGGCAAAGGTTTGACTTCATGTCTACAGATGCAGACACTCTTGACTGCCCATGTTCTCACATGACCTCAATTGCACACCTCCAAAGTGCTCTTTCCCCCGCATATTGCAGATCGTCCAGGCTTGTCAGCATTGCAGGCAGCTACCGAAATACATACTGCAAGGTCAGTACAATAGGAAGAAGCACAGGACTCCTATGGAACATACATTATCGCACTGTTTTGTACTGACCTTAGCCAATCCTGGGGCTGCCTTCTCATACTCGTCCAGCACTGATTCCAAGCAGAGACAATTGCTGCTTCTCTGACCTGATGATGTTCCAAACGCGTGGTCAATGATGGTGCAACCAGTTGTGTTTGCACCCATGTCTTGAGATACCCCTAGAGCTGCCACAACATTGGCAGCTTGCACACTACAATCTCGTTCAGGAGCCCGTGGTAAAGCGTCAAGCGGTATCACATCGAAGGCTAGCAGCCTCCGGAGCGGGGCCCTCCTGCAAGATGAAGGTAAGAAAACATGTCATCCTCATTTTGGCAACCTGCTTTTAGGTGTTTGCGACACAAACTTGGCTGCCAGTGGCCCAACTGTACCACTTTGAATGATTCAGTATCGGACTCACCAGACATCTGTCACGCTGTTAAGCCGGGAAAGAGAAAAAAGATACTAGTTTGCAGGTCGACCATTGGCTTGGCCATGCCAGCTGCTTGCGTGTTTTGACATGCCCCCGACGTGCCAAATTACTGTGAAAAACAAGCCACTTCATAGGCAACTACTTGCCTTTCCTGCAGGCCGTTCGCAGACATCGCCCTTGAATGGTGGTTGATGAGGCCCGTCCCAATCGTCAGGGCATCTGACATTGCAATGCTCAAGAGACACACCAGCAGAAAACACCACGTTTCCTTCATTGTTGTTCCGCCTCCTTCAACTTGAAAGAAAGGTGCAGTCTCCGCTACGCTAATGCTCTAGTAGGTAGTTCGAGTCAACAAGCCAGCGCTAGCAGTGCCACTAGTGGAGAGGATCAAATGAGGACAGGGGCGACTCTGCTGCCCTAACTCTGCCGGAACTGCAATTTCCTGCTCTTCGAACCGCCCCTTATCGAGTGGATCTGCTACCTCTTCTTGGAATGCAGGTTTGCTCAGCAGTGCAGATCAGCGAATGGGCGGCCCTCCTCATTACATGCATGAGCACTTGCCAGCTGAGAACACCAAACAACCCGGCCCGGCCCTCGACTCCTACCTAGCTAGGGATGTAGTCATACCTGAGGTATGTCAGAAAAACGATCGAGATGGTGTCATCAGCTGCGCCCTCAAACAGCTTCTGGCTTTTAGAGTGGATCTTTTGGAGTATCTACAGACGTGGCGTAATTTTCGACTCTGGCGTAATACTGGATTCATGCTTCCAAGCCCAGTACTACTAGTACTAGCTGGGGGTGCGCAAGATCAGATACAAACCGGCGATCTGGTTTTCGGTACGGTCCCTAGTTTGTTCCAGACAAATGCTGTGTCACAAAAGTAGACCTGCAGCCCTACTGCTTTTATGTAGCAGGTTCCTTTGGTACCAGATTCCGCAGGATCTTGTAGGTACTAAGGATCCGTACGGTATCATCTAGGTACCGTCGTGTCAGTACGTGCCGCCGCAGACAGGTACCTAGTACTCAGGGCCTGTGACTTTTGAGAGGCCAGCGCCCGCTGCTCGGTCTGTAGGATATTCACTGAACTGTGTGCACCCGTGAGCTTCCGGTCCCAATATTGCGCATGCGTACCCGTACAGGCGGGAGTCGGAACAAACAAGACAATCATTGGCGTGGTGGTCTGGAAATCGGACGATTCGAATTATTGGACTCTCACGGACCTTGAGCCGTCGATGGAACTCAGAACAAGCCGCAGCGACGACAGCATGCCAATTGGCACCTTCTCATTCAAGCAAAACTTTTCGGAGGCAGTTCCAATCATTGGCGCCCTGTTTGCTCGGCGCCGAAGTTGAACGAACGGAACGGGAGTAACTTCAAGTTTGGTTAGACCGAGGCCGATTAAAGATACCGTTAAACCGGTACCTACCGCTCGGCGCGGAAATGCGGTGCTGAGCTAGCCGGTACGTACCACCGTAGGATGATGTCAGAAGTGGCTGTGTGTTAATAGGTAGGTAGTAGGTAGCAGCTCCTGCCGCAGAGCGGTACGGTACGTAAGATCTGAAGTTTTAACGGGGTAAGTATATTACTGCAATGCTTAATACTCCTAGGCATGCAATCGGAATAGGTTATAGTTGAATCACCTCGTCAAAATGCGTAGAAAAGCCGGTGAAAATTGTAGCTGGCAATCTGGTTCTAGATGTCAGGATTCGGATATCACAATGGGGCTGGACGAGAATTGGATCAAAAGCTTCGTAGGGCGAGATTGATTTGACATAGCAAAGTTGTCGACGTTGACATCCCCGACTCCTACATAGCTGTCCGATCTCTTCAATGAATCCGAATATCAGGACGTGCTTGAGAGCTTTGTCAAGGGCCAAGCTGCATGCACTGCATGCCCAGGCAAAACAAAGGTGAGTAGACAGCGAAGAGAAACGAGTTGTCACACTTGCGGTCATCAGTTCCACAACGGCACGCTGCACTGGTGATCCCATGGGCAGGTCCCCTTCGCCCAAGGATTTGGCAAGGGGGCTGCGTATCTGCGTAGAAACAGACCTGGCATTGAAAACTTGCTTGGTCACTAACAAGTACGTGCTCCAAGGGCCGACGCCGGAATATCAAGAAAAGCTGGGACGCTACGCTTTTCTTGCTAGCCCTGCAGCTGCGCAACCAGACCTCGTCCATCAAGCACCATCATGCTTCTGTTTGGAAAAGCTTGAAAGATGCGCCCGAAGAAGGCTGTTCTTTGGAAGCAGCTTTCTGGCAATTTGCAGCTCGATTGTCACACTATCATATGTGCCTTTCACGTTCCGGGCACTCACGGATCATCATCTATCACATATAAACGGCAAGAGACAATGTCCAAAAAGACTCTGCGAAGATCTCAATCCGAATGCTCCCGGCATTGTTGGCTGAAGGAATCTCTTGCAGCTGGTTGGGGCGGTTAAGATGGTAAGCTGTGTCTGCAACGCGTGCTTCAGATTTATCGTTCAGTTGGAGCAGACAGCCCGCCTTGCAGAGGTGCCCTGCAATCACTGCGCTCAATCTTTCTTGTGAGTTGCTCAATCTAGGTCAGGCTTTAAACTTCGTCGCCCACCATTCCTTTTACTTTAACGAACCTTTCCCACCAGGGGCCAGAGTCAGCAGCGGCCACAAATCTAGGTATGCTGAATCATCTCATCTGGCGCCTACGAGCAGGGAAATACTGCGAGACGATAAGCGTTACGAACTGTCCAAATGTTGCCGTCCAATTCAGAGAGCACGGGCTGCACCAGGCTAACACATGTCATCTATTTGATTGTAAACCTGCCGTCTGGTTGCTAAATGTGGCATCAGTATTTGATGCAGCGAATACGTGTGGAGTTCGTGTCGAATCTTGCGTATGCTGCAGAATCATACATAACTTGCATCTGTATGCACGAGAACCAACCCGTATTTACGAGATCCAATCCCAATCATACTGAGCCAGATCTAAGGGGGAAAGGTGATTGTTGTCTTCTCGTAAAGATTGTCTCGCGGCAGAAGATGATGCTGAAAGAGATTGCTAATGGGATGGAATTGGACAGGTGGCCGCTGTTCAAGCCCAGAAGGAAGACATCGTGCTCAAAGCAGGTTTTCTGCATGAAAAATATCAAGCGGAAGAATGGTTAACTCAGGTTCCTCGGGGCGTGCAGCTAGTGACTGAAACCCTCCTCAGAAACTTTTGACTTCATTGCGCGCATAGCTTTGTGTACAAGAGCATTATATGCGTCCAAAACCCTCGAGGTCGGACTCTTCTTTCTGTCATTTTGGATCAGCAAGCTCGATCACTTCCTTGACGCTTTAACGGCTCGATGTGATTTTGGCTGCTTCCTCTTGGAACTTTAAAATCGAGGGGGCAAACTCCATTCAAAAGCTCGATGGACTACTTCCTTTCTCATGGAAGATGCTAAACTGAATAAGTCGGCCGATCAACTGTAAGCGATTTCATTCATTCGAGTAAGCCGTTCTCCAACCCTCCTCAGAAGGAGGACTCGACAAGGAAGCTGTTTTTCCGGTCCTTTTATGGGAAAGGCTGTATAAGCGAGAAGTAAAGTGTACGATTACGACTCGTTTCTATCATTTAGGGTTGGTAAACATTTACTCGAATAGGGGGTTGTTCTTATAGTATGAGCGCTCGCCGGAGCCAGTTCCCTCATCGCGATCACGGCAATGGGAATCGACCTCGCTTCCTACCAGATGCACCGCAAACTCCACTCTCTCACCTCCCTTTCCCCGGTACTTTTCACTAGGCACTCCCAGCCGAAACTTGGTCCCTGGTTCACAAACCAAGTCTAACCTGACCCCTACCTCCGTTCCCCCCAGGTAACACACCGTGTAAAACTTTCCGCTTCCGGGGGGGCAGACCTCCAGAAAAAAGCTGCTCTCGCCCAGCACAGTTCCCCCCACGAAAGGTCGCCCGTGCTGCGAGCTCAGCAGCGCGTTGACGTTCGGGGGGGCGATCGCAACCGTTTTCAGCAGGAGTTGAGCGCCCGGGGGACCCCCCCGCCGCGGTTGGAAGACGGCCAGGGGTGCCCGGTTGGTGAGCTCCGAGCACCATAGCACCATTGGAGCTGGAATCTCTGGAGAAAGAGAGTTTGTTAACTGCGCTTGTTTAAGCTGTGGTTGAGCAAGGTTTGAAGAAGAACCCACTACTGAGTATTCCGGGTTATTCTCTGATTCAGGGAGAATTGGGATGGGAGCCGTGCTTAACCACGCGGGGTGAAGCTCAGTTTGAGAAAGATCTGAGTACCAGATGAACATGGTTAACTGCGATTGCGTCAACAAACTCTGCTCCATTCAGCGGCCTTCTTGCAAGGCAAAGGGTGACGATGAGCCACGGGCAGCTCTTCAATTGAAGTAGAACAAGCAGGGGCGTCTTTGTCGCGCCTTCTCGTTCTCAGGTGGTAGGACCTTTGGACACCGATGCTTGGTCTATGAATCGCAAGCAAGATGAGTTGCACATTCAATGCAACCAGCAATAAAGCAACAAAGACCGCTACCTATTCCAAACACGGACAAGGAAGGGAGCGTCTCACCGAGCACGTCACGTCATCTCACCTTCTGCGTTTATGAATGGTGGCAATAAGGTACATATAAGTCTGGCCCTTTAGTCTGAAAGAGATGCCGTACGTCAATATGCTGCCCACTTGTTTCAGCTAGCTAACTCTGAACGCCCTTCTTTGATCCCCCTTCTTGGAAAAGTGCGAGCATCGAGCTTTGGAAAGCGCGATATTTGTCCGGTTGTCGATAACCTCCGCTGAGCAGGACGGGTCTCTCGAGAGCTCTCCCAGCTCGTGCGAGGGCGTCGAGACGTCAAATCAATTGCTCGCGTACGACACGACGTGAGCCCGCTCCAATCGAAGGGACGTCAGAATCTGGAAGAATCTGATGGGAAAGACGACAAACTGACTCTTCTCTAAATTCGAACGGTTGAGCGTTGGTTTCTCTGCTTGTTCGATGAAACCAACAGAGCAAAGAGGTTTTCCTGAGACTATCCTTTGACGGGTTTCTCAAGAAAAGCGGAAAGGGGTTCTTCTGTTTTGAGTGAGGCCCGGGTGCGTCTTCAATTTTCGACGCCTGATTGGCGCGCTGGATATCTAGGCAGTTAGCACCAGTATCGAGGCAGTCGGCGCAGATCGACGTGACATAAGCCACTCATTCAGGGCCTCATCAAGAAAATCACTGATATGCACCCACTAGCTTGACTCGATCTTTTGCTTGAACACGAGGCACAAGCCACAAACAATACTGCCAGACTATGGAGCATCTGGTGGGACAGTGGTCTGTCTACTTTGTCAAATTGTTTCTTAACTTCATGCGGGGCAAATTTGCTGACCGTATCGGTCAAAGCCCTCTGCCGAAAAGTCTAGCATTTGTCACTCCAGATGGGCCCATTTTCTTGAAGACAGCCATAAAATCATCCGACCGTCCGTACGTTAAGGTCGGCAAAATTAGATCATTGAACGACGCCTGCAGCATGTGTAACTGCGGCGGGACGTGATTTGGCTGGATCGATGTATCAGCATCCTCTTATATAGCCCTGGCATACATGCGCGCCTGCTGGGACGGGTGTTATCAGATCCTTGCATACAGCATGCGTGACCTTCACTAGTGGGTAAAGACTGTAATCAACGATTGTGGCCACTGAGATCGCACATGCTCTTACAGCTGAGATCGACTTGTGTTTCTACTATCTGCGGGCAATCAGCTCTCATGTGGCAAAGTTTTCACATCGTCCTACCACGCCGGCCCGTATGTGGACGCGCAACTTAAGCAGAAGTCAATGGAGAGAATGTACATCCCCAAGTGGACCGCTGGCATGCATAATTGTGCTGATCCGCAATCGCAACGTGCGGCAAGTTGATCTTTAGGATGCAAAATGAGGTAATCTGATCCGAAAAAGCAGTCACTACTCGCTTATATTGGCTCACGGTACACGGCATTGTTCAGACTGCCTTAGAAATACTCCACTATCAACGAACAACTGGGTGCTTGAGGATGGGAATGGCTTTTCTTCCGGGGCTATCGGCAGCACCTCAAGCCTACAACAACGAACATTGTTGACTCCCCCATAGACACTTATATCCATCTATTACAGGTCAGACAAACTGACGGTCGTGCTTTTTCACACAAAACATCCAAGCCGCTACGAGCGCAAGAAAGTCTGTGACAGACACTGACGGGATACGTATATGCTCACACAAGCTGCGGAGTTGCCAAAAACTGTCACGAGAAGAGACCTGTGATCCTTGACAAAAAGCCCCTTGATTGTCGCTCCCGTCCACCTTCGTTACCTCCCGTTTCTTGCTTCTGCTTCAAAGATCGGATCTCGCCTCGCAAAACCTGCAAAGGGGAACAGAACACTGAGTCTTGGTGAGCTACACGTGTTGGCTTTGATTGAAGCAGCTGCATTCTGCATTCTTTGTACAGCAAAAGACGACGAAATAACCAAGGCGTTTGACAGAGGCCCGGCTTTGGTCAAACGTACAAGTAACAGCGGCGCGAGATACTGATACAAAAGCACTTGGAACGCTCGATACTAACCCACTTGATCGTGCCCCAGAACTGAGCAAGTAAAACCTGCTTGGCTTAATCTCCCGTCTGATTCTTGGACAAGAGCAGCCAAACAAGCGCTCGAACAAGCTAACGGTTCCCTTGTTCGCCCATCTGACTTCACGGCTTCTTGTACCCAATCAATCATTCGAACCCTTGCGCATAATACCGTCCTTGGATTGAAAGATAAGCAGGAAGCCATACGCCCCCTTGTTACGTGCGAGAATCTATACACCGTTCTCAGTAGCCCTACTTTGGTCACTCGATCGTGGACACTGCATTCCTTTTGCTGCCTGCCCATTCGAAGAACGTAGACTGACCACAAGAGAACTTTGGTACACTTTGCATTCTAGAAAAACTTAGTCAAACTCGCAAAGGAAAAAGTGCTCGCCGAAAACTTTGGGTGGCACTCACCGCTTCCGTCCGGTAGAGGACCCGCCGCTCGATCACGCGCACTGTCGCCGCCGCAATCTCCCTTTGGGTCAGGGACACTGCGTTCAGAGAGTCGTCGGACGTCGGCGCTTCCGCCAAAGCCTCGTCGTCCTGTCAGAAAACGCAGACTGAAGGGTCTGACTGACTTTACTTCCAAAGTCGTCAAATCTGATCAAACAATTCGGGGTTGTGCAAGTGCTGGACCTTGCAGGTTTGCGTGGGGCTGCCGCTGCATCCCTATCGACTCCCTACTGCGAAAAGAAATGTTTCTCGTGAATGAAAAGCATACGGCCAGCAATCTCATGATGCGCGCAGGAAACAGCTGTCGGTGTACCTACGTCCTGGTCCATGTCTTTCCAACGCTCAATTCCTTTCGGTTGCTCTACCCTTGCCTTTCGTCCGGGTTTGCACCAAGGCCAACGATGGCACCCAGCTTTACAGACCTGAGACCCACAAGGGGCCGCGCCGGAAAGTGCAACTCTCATTCAAGTACCAAGACTTCTCTGCAAGCTGGATGCAGGCTACGATTCCAGCAAGCTTGAAGCCGAAAGCGAAAGGGAAAGCTCGCGTCTCGCGTATCCAACGCATGCGCACATGCAGCGCATTGGGAACAAGAGACTGTAATGAAGAGGCAAAAGCTGTTCTCTGCTATCAGACCCATCGACGCGGTAATGAAGACCACCCTTTCATCATGCGCGGAAAGTGTTCACACCGACCCACCTCCAGCGACTTCTTGTATCCTTTCAACACCCGCTGAACCGCCTCCAGCAACAGCTCCCGGGTCGAAAGCTCTAGACTTCCCTGCGAGCCTTCGTCGCCCGCCGAAACCTCTTGAGCTTTTTGCCGGGCGGCGTCCCACAGCTGCTCCGGCATTCCCGTTAACCGGATCGGGAACCGCTCGGCTTCCGCCGGGGGGGAGTTTTGGCTGGTGCTTGGGGAGGGGTCGAAGGGGAGGTCAACGCTTTCGTGCGGGTTGGTGTCGAGCTTGGGAACAAAGCCGTAAGAGAGAAGTAGGTCGCCGCTCGAACGGGGGCCGTAAGAAACGAATACCTGTTGGGAGAGGGAGAAAGATCGAAATAGGTCAGCAAGCTTTTTAGGTGTGACAGAAACATACGGTGCTTTCCTTGCGCGTTTGGATCTCAGTGCCAGGGGCTTCAAGAATTTTCCTTCAAACGTCGCCTGCGCAGCTTCACCTCGTTCCTGTCACCTCCAGCTTGAACGAGTGACCGCAAAGTCTCCCTTGCAAGGATCTTGACTCTGAAAATAAGAGCGACAAAGGACCTTAAACCGCCAAAAACGCAGAACAGGTTGTTCGGAAGTGTACTTTGGCCCATACCAAAACCAGAGGATTGAGCAGAACCAGCGTGCTAGTAACATGAAAGTAGAAATTGACCGCGCTCTTTGTGCCAGCCTGATTTTGAAACGCGGACGCTTTTGTGCCGGCAGTCTCCAACCTAGGGAGAGTCCGAACACTTCGCAAATCTGAGAGGAGGAAAGACGGATACCGTCCGCCTAAGACAAGCCGCGCCCACGTGTGGACCATTTGAAAAGTTGACCATGAAGCTTACCCGACAGAAGGTGAAAAAGCGAATACTTCTTGATATCAGGTGAATACGGGCACGTCTTTAGGGGATAACTCTCGGGGGCACGAATAAGAATCCAAACCAGCAGTTGACATGCGTTGCACCCTGAACAACCAAAACAACTCTACCCAATCCCGGACGGTTTTCATTACTGAACATCGCCCTGGGTTAACATGAAAGGGGACAATACTTACATCAACAAGTATTGCCCTGAGTTAACATGAAAGGGGAAAATACTAAATCAGCAATCATTGCACTGGCTTAACATGAAAGGGGACAATACTTGCATCAACCCATATTGCCCTGAGTTAAACGGAAACAAGAACCTTGATAAAGCCGCCCCACCTGCTGGCCCTTCTCATAGTTCCTGTCCGCTTTCAGAACGACCGCGCCTGCTCGCGCATCGAACTCGAAGAACGTGGTCGCATCCACGCTGTGATTGGCCATGTCGGCAAACGGCGCGAGGGAGACGGCATCGCCCAGGGACGGCAAACGCACCTGACACAGAAATAAAAACGAAGAACATATAAGAATATAGTAAATCGAGTTGAAGAAAAACGCAAACGAAAGTAAAGCAATGCAAGCAACAGGAGAGCACTAGGAGAGCAGTCGCTGCATATCTCTCACATTGTCAGAAGGGGCAATCTCAAAAGGGGCATACGGCTACCCGCCCAAAGGCGTCAGAAAGGCCTGGCTTTCTTGAGCCAAACTTTGGGAAGAGCTGGTAAGATAAGTGTCAAAGGTGGAGCGGAGTGACAACAAGCGAAGGGCGAGCTTGCAGTCTGCAAAGGCCAGCGATCCAGCAAGCTTTCTGGATAAAAGAGTTCTGTGACCGGAAGCAAAAGGACTCGTAAGCGGATTCAGAATAGTTTGTGATTCAAGATAGTTCGTGACCAGAGATTGACTTTCTCGTTGCGTCTCTGCTGCAAGACGACGTAATAAAAGAACATTGGAATCAACGAACAACGATTGCCCCTCAGTCATTGCACAGTCGAGTGATGGGCATTCCTGCTATCGTCAGGCCATCTCACTGTAGGAGAGCGAGCCATGTCAAGAGACAGACGGAGTCCCCTGCTTGTCCATGATTAACTGGATTCTTTCTGACCTATGAACGAATGGAAGGCCCTTTCGCCTCTGAGGGAGGGGTTATGATGCAGAACGGATTCTGCTCAAAAGCACTTTCAACCATAATCAGGAGGCCAAGGACTTCAACCATTACTTCAATTGCTTCTGAAGCAAATGCCCCGATTCACACTCACCAGGCGTGAGAAGAGGATGCTGAACGCCCACTTGAAGTTGTTAGGTGTGAACACCTTCGGTGGGAATACCTTCGGGTGCTGACTGAAGAGAACCTCGCTCAGGTCTCGGAAAGACTCCTCGACGTCGCGTACGCACAGCCGCGCTTTCGCCTGCAGGGGCGACCCTGCCAGGAAATTGGCGACCTGCCCCTCTGGCCTGCCAACAAAGAGAATGTTGAGCACATTCTGAATTCGCTTAGTTGCAAATGAATGTTGTGAAAATGGAGAGAAGTGGCTCATGCAATGGTATGTTTGTTTAAACATCTGATTGCCCCATCAAAGCAAAAGAATGTTTGGTCGACGTAAGCTCTGGGCCAGAAGGTTGGTACCATCGAACCAGACAGCGGTCGCCCTCTGTCGCTCATGTAGCAGCGGCATGTACCACAAACACATTGCAGGCGAGTCAACGAAAGGTTGGAAGCAACCTGCAACAGTCTTCGCTAAAGGCATAAGCAGTCAGAGGAAAATCAATTTGGCGTCAGAAGACGTCCTGATTCAGCACAGGGGATACCCTCTCGAGCGCCCCTTGGAGCGTTGCTTGATAACCTGACAGAAAGCGAGGGGGCCGCAACCTTGTTGCATTGTCTCAGAGATGGGCGCACCATAAAGTGTAAAAGCGCAGAAAGGAACTGAAGCCGACTACGATGGATAGTAGAATATACTAGATACTTGATAGGTGCTTTGAAAGAACTGCTGCCCCAAGAAGTACCCTCATTTGCGAGACAATTCTCTTCAAGTAGGTGATTTCAGAAACAAGGATGATTGGAAAAGTTGGAATGTGCGAGGCTTTGAAAGCATGGCACACTCACCATTCCAGTACGCAACCGGTCTGCCTGGGAAGTGCGGCGATGTATGCGGCCCAGTCTGAGGAGGGCCCCTTTGACTTTTCATACAGCAGGAAGATGGCGAGTGCCGGCCAGTCAGGAACGTTGGCCGCATGGAGCAGGGGCCCCAAGTCTGGCGTCTCATATGCCTGGAGACAACTAGCATGGGGCATTTCAGAAGATGCAGAGGCATGCTTTTGTAAAACTTAAACAAAAGGACAGAGACATATGTTGAGGTCAATTGTGTGTGCCTCTTTGGGACTGAATGGCTGAGGGCTGAGACGCTTGCGTGTTTAAAGTAGCTACAGATGATAGGAAATTTGGCAGCTGATGTCCAGAGGGGTAAAGCATTCCAAAGCAACACTGGCTCATTGTGCTGTGGTGGCTATCATAGCACGTCCCGCCCTACGATGCCCTCACTCTTTGGGGCAGCCGATGAAGCTGCCACCAATCTTCTATCAGCAATATAGGGAAAACCAAAAGTTCGACGGGCAGGCGTTTCTAAGTGGTGATGTGTCTCTGCAGACAAAAACATTCTTCCAACATTTGCTTGATTTTAGATTCTAAGACGTCTAAGTCGCAGACCATTAGAGGTCGAGACACCTCCAGCATTGCGTCGATTTGAATGCTGCCACTTACTCTCTGAAGCGAACCTGAAGCAGATTCAACAAAACAGATTCACTCGTGCAGCTAAGTCTGTGCCGCTCACCTTATCCGCGGTGAATAAAAAACTGCTTGGCACTGTCAGAACGGTGTCCCCTTTTCTGAGGCCCTGCACTGCCACCAGACCCCGCCCCTGGCCCTCTCCCACTTCCTCAATCACAACTTTCTGGGGGGGCAATCCCGCCTTCTGAAGCCACTGTTCTAACCCCCTTAAATCTGCAGACTGCGACCCGGACCAACTAACAAAGGAAGTCTTGGCGGCCTGCTTGGATGCTGCCAGAATTGTGGGAGTCCTTCTGGTGGTGCATTTCCGTAAGGTTTTCGCAGATTCATGCGGTAGAGGTTTGGAGAAGGGAGTTCTTTTGAGGGGGCTTAAGAGGACTCGGTAGGTGCCGTTTTTTGACTGCTTGATTGGTTGTTCTTGCCCAGTGCGGACGACGCAGGCATGGCATGTCTGAAAGTTGCCAAAGTCTTTTGAGCGTCTGAAAGCGGCAGGAGTGCGCGGAGCATTAGGGAAGGAAGCAGAATGGGAACGAGCTGGAGAGAGCTTGCTTGTCAGACTCAAGCTGCTACGCTCTCTTAGCCTGCAAGCGGCCGCTCCGGAAGGGGAAGCCATAATTCTTGAGGTTTGCATTGCCCTCAGGTTCACAGGGGCTTCGGAAAAGCCAGCCATGCAGGGCCGGGGCCGCCCTGCCGGCGGCCCTGCAGAATCCAGCTCAAGTTGGTGAAGGAACGTTGACCGTTGATCGACGTGGATCGACCGTGCCATGAGCCTCAAAGATGTCGCGCGCGAGCTGATCGAAGCTGTTGGAAGTTGCCACTCGGCCACGATCGATTGCAGCCTCTTCATAATATAATTAAGTTCCCTCCCAGCTCACATCAGAACAGTTACACCTGTTACACTTAGGTAAACAGTAGGTACGTAATAGGCTCTCTTGCTTGTTGTACCTAGATAGTACAGCCTTGGCAAAACCAAGGTCAGGTACCTTCACCCTGCTAAGTACACCGTACTTATACCTACCACTGCCAGTATGGCCGACGTACGGTATCCGTCCTAGTCATCTACTTATCTTTGAGGTTTGCACAGCCTGCTGAGCGGTAGGCGGCCAGGCTAGCGCTGGCGCGCATGGCGCCGGCGTCAGGGGGGCCTTATGATGATGCTTACCTGACATCAGCAATTGAAAGCATATATTCAGCCAACAAGATTGCGGACCTTCATTGCAATAACAACTCAAGTGGTAGCTAGGTATGATCAAGCTCGTCTAGAGCTCAGAATAGCTGCCAGTGTTTGAATTATGCCGTCAATCAGCTCTCACTGATGTTTCCAGAGGGCTGGCTCTGCTCCGAGCTCTCTGCAGCTCATTCTTGATTGAGCGGAACTTGTATCGTAAGAGCAGAACGCTTTACATGACTAGCAAAACGGTGCAGGGACAGACGCATCATTGTACGATACAGCAGGCTTTACGACACAGGACGAGTAGCTCAGTCAATGAATCAATAGAACATTGTGAGTTGTTTGATCATGCATTACCACTGGCAAGGTCCATGACCGTCAGAAGAGCAACACGGTCATCTGATACTAGGGCACTAGAGCTGGTCTATCAAGCAACATTCAGGTCGGAAACTTCATTGTAACTCGCATACGTCTTCTTATGTAGAAATCGTTCCAGAAGACTTCGGAAATGAGGGGGCACTGGCGCAATTCAAAAAGGTCCTTGCCACAAGCGGCAAACATGTGACGGGAGCTTAGTTGGCCCAAGGCTCGGCCTTGCCACATATCTTGAGAGGGGGCATCGAACTTACCTCAAACAATGGCTAGGACGAACGGATTCAGCCGTCCCATCACCACTTTTCAGGTAATCCTCTTTTCTGGTAGTATTGTGAAGATTTGCCAGACTTGCTTGTGTGGGCGCGTGTTTTAAGCTCTTCAATCGATGGGACACCAAGCCCTTCTATCTTTTGGTCTTTGGTTAACCTATCTCGTTTCTGTAAGTGAGTACGTCCTTAAAGAGTGTCCTTAATGGAGGCTCCTGAAATTGGCAGGCTCCCCTTAACGTGATGGTAAACATACTTGGTAGGAGATTGTTCGGGTTACTTGAATAAGGCAGCGTCCTGCAAACAGACTTTGTTGGGGTTATATGGAGAAGTAGGATGTATCTAGACGGTGCTGGATGATTTTATCCGTGGCAAGCAGGTCTCTGAAAAGCAAATCACGAAATCAGAGACGGTAATTGGTAATCAAGCTTGTTTGTCGCCTCGACAAAACTGGGACCACTTTTGAATGGTGGTTCCCTTGTGGCAGCTCTCTCCGTCCATTTTTGCTCTCTCGCAGCCACAAGTCAAGTCGGAAGGTTTACCCCATGGCACTTTACCAAGCCGCTCGACACGTGTCCTGAGAAGATAGTCTAGAAAGCACTTCAAATGCTCCAAAGGTCATCAGCAAATGACTGCTAATCGTGTATTAAGCGTGTTGACGCAGGTGTTGGCGGTCGTAGTGTTCCTGGCACTAGTGGCTGGGTTCTTTGCTTTCATTGCCCCATTTTTGGAGCCCCGCCCGCTGCAAATTGCCGGCATAGCCTGCTACTCCCTGCTGGTGAGTCGGCGCAGACCCTGAAGAGCTCGCAGATAAACTCTTGGAAAAGCATTTCCGGGGGCAGGCAATCTGGCACAAAGTTGGAACCAGCAGCCGTGCTTAAAACTGGCCTCTTACCATCTCACCTCTCCGGAGCCGGTTCCCTCGTTCTCGAAACTGGTTGCGTGAAATACACGTTCAATATCGAGCAGCCCTTTGGCAGTGACTGATTCCAACCACTGCTGAACCATTTTTAGCCTTGCCATCTGCACAGCCTTTAATTGCTTTTTCAAATCCTGCACCTCTGTCCAATTGCCCAACAAATTACCCACCGAGCCTCCCAATCAAGCCAGTGGATTGAGAACCACGGAGTTTTGCCTGGGTATTATTGCATTTTTCTGCTCCAAGAACACTTGGTAAACAGCTCGAATTGTTGAACGCATTCAAGAACACTCCCCACCCTGTAGACATCACATTCATGACAGCCTCGACCAACCGCTAAACAGCTAGGACCATGCAGCGCAACATGAGAACTCTCTCCATTCTCTAGACATCGTCGTCGACCTCGATCTTTCTGCTAATTCCGCATCTCGCCTTCCCCAGGCGGTTCTGGTTTCAGGCCTTTGGCTGTACGGCGCGTTATGTAACCCCGCCGATCCTGCCATTCTGGCGGAGGCGGCGGCCAAGGCACAGCTGCAACTAGTGGAAGCGTCCTTGAGCCCTCGGGGGGGTACGGGGCTTGTCGCGGGCTCCTTGTGCTGCTCACGTGCCAAGGTAATGAGCCCAGTCGGATGTTGCTGGCGTGGTTGGTTGATGCCAGAAATCTAGAGCATACTTCTGCATTCGGACTCGGCAAGGATTGGTCGAATCGCAGGCACTTCGCACCTCTACATATATCCCTATTCTCAAGTGAGATGATTCCTCTTAAGAACAAAAGGTGTCTTTCAAGCCGGACAAGAATGACGGGGCACCCGTGACAGTCTGGGGAAGCCAAGAGACACCAGGGCCGAAACTGTCCCATAGAAAGTTGCTGAGGATTTCGTAAACATCTCACTCATGACGTTCAGGAAAAAGTGCATCAGATTAGGTAAGACCTTTTACCAGCTTTAAGCACGAGCTCGTCACATGAAGATACCCTTCAGCCGAAGAGGAAACCTTCGAGTATCATCGCGGAAAAAAGCATCGAAGTGAGCTCTCAACTTCCGTTTTCTGGACAGGCCGCACTGTTGGGCGGCAAGGCAAGGGCTTCGCAGACAGTCACATCAGAACCGGTCGATCTAGAGAAGGGCAAAGTCGGATGGAAGAAACCGGAGACGCGGGCTTCCGCCTGGAGCTGCAAGGAAGCGGAAGGGAATGGAGACGAGCGGAACGGATCGGTGGAAGAGAAACTGTTCTGTACGATCTGCTGCGTGGCGGTGCGCAAGACGAGCAAGCACTGCCGCGCGTGCGACAAGTGCGTCGACCATTTCGATCATCACTGCCGGGTGAGGGGAATTGTCTTTTCATTCAAAGCGTCCGCTATTTTCCAAACTGATTCGGGTCCGACCAACCTCCGCAATTGACAGTGGGCTATCTAGAATCTTTGGAACACGTCCAGAACGCCCAGGATCGTGTACTTTGTAGGTTGCAGGTTGTAGGTTTCAAAATTGGTTTCAGAATCGTCCGGCACTAAGCATGGGAGGACCGCGACAAACACGGGTTGAGGGGCCATATTTGTCCATTTGAGGTCGAAGGGCCGAGGAGATCTGGTTCACGACATAACCAGGTGGTCGTTTGCTTTTCTTCTGGGTTAATTGCGCCAAGTCTTACGGGAGGCTCAATACCAGGTTCAGTGACGGGGGCGATGCCCAGATTGAGATCGAACGACCTTCCCGACTTGAAGCCGGCAACACATGCCTCTAGTGTGCGGGAAATATTTTGGCCTCTCGGAGCCCCCTTCCAAACGAAGCGGTCTGTACCTTAGGTTTCCAAAGTAGTCAAAGTTGCCCTTTCCTTCCAGGGGGGATCTGTCCGGGATTTGACCCCACTCAGCGGTAACAGATGTTGACTTTCCTGAAGCAAAGTAGGAAAGCATGTTTTCGCTTATATTTCTCGCCGATTTTCCTGGTTTGCTCGCTAAGCCCTCCCGGATCCTGCTAATCTGCTTCTTCGCAGCGGCTGACTAAACATCCGTCCAACGCACCGCCCTCAAATCCCCCAAATCAGAGGCTAACCGGCTTTTTTCCTCCCCGCAGTGGCTCAACAACTGTGTTGGAAAGGTCAACTACCGCCCCTTCTTCGTCCTCCTAACGTGCACGCTCGCGCTGCTACTGTTGCAAATCGCCCTGGGAGCCGCCACAGCCGTCCGATGCTTCCAGGGCGAATGGGCGCACGCCACGCGTCTTCACGAGGTTTACGGCGCGAGCGTTAACCGAGCGGGTTTAGAAACGGCGCTGGTGAGAATCAAATTGGAAATAAGTGTTTAAGTCTTGCAGCCACAGCTCTCGAGACAAAATTGAGAGTCTGCATTCGCTTCGAAGAGTAGGGAGAAAGAGACTAGGAAGGGCGGAGGAATGAAATAGAAGGAGATGAGAAGAAGGGAAGTACAAAGGACTCGCAATTAAATACGTTACCAAATGTAATACGATTTGGTTAGCATGTCCAGGAAGGGCTGCAATCCAAGATACAGTAGCTAAAGTACAGATTAGACAGTTGAAGTCTTTGCGTGTGGGCAGCCGAGTGACGCTCTTCTGCCTTGAATACATTATAAAGTTTCTGATTCTTGAGTGTCTTTTCTTGTCCTGTTTGGACGAAGGGAGACCAAGCACTTCTAAAGCGTCGGAAGACATTGTGCAACCGCAATTTGCATTGTCGATATATGAATGAGGTGACCACAGAAAGTAGATTGCGCGTTGAACAATCAATCTGTTTGTTCTTGAAACAGCTTGCCTCGCAAGTCTCATCGCCCCTCAAGCTTCGACCTCAAAAAATTGCCATCCTCTACCTGCAGATATTCTTCTGCGCGCTCGCGGCCGCGGCTTCGCTGCCACTTGGCGAGCTCTTCTTCTTCCACGTGTTGCTCTGGCGGAAGCAGCTGACGACGTACGATTACGTCCTCGTAATGCGCGACGTCAAAGCGCGCGAGGAGGCGGCCGCGCAGGAGCGCGAGGAGCGGCGCCAGCTCGCGCAGGCCGACGAAAAGGGCGGCGCGTTTTGCGCGGGGTGCTGCCCGGACGTTGCGGCGATTGCGCGGGACGTCGTGAGTCTCTCTGCCTCTTCCCGCGCGGTCCCATCTTAGAAATGCTTGAGAAGCCGTTTTAGAGCCTTCCAGACCTATGCGCTGCGCTAGAGAAATGCGACTTGGTCGAATGAGCCGAAGTCTGGAGCATTTGGTACACGGTGAAAGGTTGTGCAAAGAAAGTACGACTACGTTAGCACTTCCTGAACAGGGCAATGGGTGCCTATTCCCGTCCCTCACCGGACGGGTCGCCTTTGCAAATCTCCCATCTCAACCAGAAAAGAAATCGGTTCTTACCGTTTCAAGCGAGCTCTTTTGCGAAAGCCTTGGGCAACAATTGCAGATCCCGGACAATCCTTTATAATTCCAGCGCGGCTTTAGAACTAAAAATGTCATTTTCGTCCGGATACAGGGCAACGGGCGGGTGTTGCCGTCTCTCGAGGCTCAACCGTCTCCACTATCGGACGGTTCCGATTTGAAGTTGAAGAAGCTGAAGGCGGAAAAGGCCAAACGGACGGTTCGGATCAGCGCTTGGAAACTCGCGCAGCTGACGCCCGAGGAAGCGGCAAAGATCACGAAGGATATCAAGGACAAGTCGTCGATCCTGCGGCCGCTGCCGAGGTGAACGCCACGTGTCTCCTTTTCATTGGCTACGTACTTCAATGCGATCTGGATCAATCTCGGGACTCGGAAGAAGTGCGGGGTGCTCTGTGAAGGTGTCGAAACAAGATTCTCCGTCGTTCTTCTTCTTACCGCGCTTGCGGCTGCCAAGGCGGTGCGCTCTTATGTTGTCACTTTCCCTTGTGACTTCAAATCAAGGGTTTAAGAAAGGAACCATTGGATCTTCGTGAGATAAAGAGAATGTGGATGAAGTCAGAGGTCGCAGGTACTCAGGTATCGTACGTTTACTGTGAGTGCCTTGATCTTCCAAGCATGAATTCTTACGGTGATCTGCCACCCGCGATTTCCTATCAATGTACACTCACATCTAAGAATTGAATCTGCGAAGAAGTCGCTGACGATTAAACTCCGGTGCAGGTTCCCGGGTTCCGCCCCCGCTGCTGCCGCTGCGGAAACAACGGGCCCCGTTCCGCCGGAAGCCGCCCACAAGGCAGCACAGAACCAGGGACGAGAAGATGACGCGGCCCTCAGCAAGGCCCCAGAACCAATCCTAGTTACCGGTGACCGCCAACTGGGTCACGAAAATCCGTCACAGGAACCGTCCAGTCTAGAAACGTCACCAACTTCCACTTCGGGTCAGTTTGACCCAGCTGCTTCACCAAATAACCGCGCCCCTTACTCGACACCGTCAGCTGACGTCCCGACCGCGTCAGCAGATTCTCCTACGTTCGTCTCCGGAGTCAGAAGCAGAGCACAGTCCCAGATCGACAAGAACGACCGGCCGCTAACCGGCCGCTCAATGACGGCCTCGGTAGAGGTCGCCGACTCCCTTTCGCCCGTAACCTTTAGCGGGGCCCGCCAGGGCCGGGCGCCCGAGCGAACCCCTAGAAGTTCCCGCGACTTGCGGGAGGACCTCTCCCGGTCGCCTAGCCGAGAGTCCGATCGTCCCAGGGTCTCGTCCGCGCGGCGGGACCACCCGCTTTCCGCCTCGGAACCGAGCGGAAAGCGGGCGGAATTGAGGGAAGCGTCCCCTCGGGGGCCTGTTCACACCCCTGTAAATGCGCCCGGCTCGAAAAGCTCGACCCCGGCCAATAGCCGGCCGCCCTCGAGCCGCTCCTTGCACACTCCGCGGACGCTCCCCCGGGGGGATCCCTACCGGTCGTCGTATGACGCGAGCATGACGTCATCGGAGCGCACTCCGAGCGGGCACGTCCTGCTGGGCGGACAACCGGGGCATCATCGGCGGTCGTCTCGAGAGAACGTGGATCCGAGGCGGAGTTCGACGGAAAGGGGGGGTGAAGTCAGGGCAGCTTCGCCACCCCTGAGGGAGGGGCGGGTCAACCTAGAACAGGAGGTGCGTCAGCAGGGGAGCCCAAAAGATGCCAAAAGGGATCCTTGACAAGAGATTATTCCAGTGTTGAAACCGTATTCAGAGTTCAAATACAACAGTCGTGTTGAGACTAAGGGCGCTGAGAACGGGTCTTGTACACAGCTATGTCTGGGCAAGGAGTTTCGCAAAGGTAATAAAAGGTGAAAGGTTCTGACCGTTCTTCAAGAGCACTCCTTTCTCCTGATAGCCTCTGCTAAGGGTGAGTTTGCCACGTCACCTTATCAATCTTGCTAACGTCCAGGACCTCGCTTGCGCGGTATGTCTGTGACACGTGTCCAAAGGCATCGGCGAAATGTGTTGAACGTGGCCAGACGAGTCAAACGCCTGTTCAGAACGGCTTTCGAGTTGCTCTCCATTTCATCGCGGTGCAATGGATACACCTCCCAACGACGAAGTACCCTTCAAGGGCATTGCGCATGCGTTAGCAATAAGTATCGGAGTACTCTGTTCAAAAATCTAGTCTGTCGATCCGCTAACTTGAATTCTGCAGTGAGCGATGTTCACTTTCGCCGAGCTGCCACGCCTAAAGGCGTGACGACGGGTCGGTCCATGTGTTACAGCTGATTTTGCTGATTATGCTGCCTTATAGCGAAGTGCTTCCGGAGGAGAGTTGAATGGACTCTTTGGGACATCCTTCACCTGTACCGTGTAACCTAAGCTTCTTTTTCGCAATCGCGACCATCGAACCACAGTTGTCCTGACAACGCCCAACCGGTTTATTCTAGCCTTGACGAGGAACACACGCTGCTTACCAACTTAAAAGTCGAAATATCCATGTATGAACGGATAAAACCTTTCAAAATGCAGGCAAGATGTTTGATCCTTTGCCGTCGAGCCTTCACATTGGCGTATGAGCGACAGGGATACAGACGCTATATGCTGGTAATCATTGTGAGCAGCAAAAATTTCCACAGGCCACCAAACAAAGTCACTGCATCCGGTAGAAGATAAGGCTATTACGAATGTTCTGAAATGCAGCCGGCGAGCTGGCGTAAATTCGTAAGTCATGAAGCGTGTTAAGGCCACGCTCAAAGTGACGGACGGTACCAGGACGTATAGGTAGCTGCGTCTGAATTCAATGTATCGTTGGGATGCCTTACGCGTGTCGTACTTGCAGGATTTTGCGGTGAAATGCATCGGATCCAGATGAGGATAAATAAACAGCATCGATCACTGTTCTTTCTGCGAGAATATGGATGTGACGTGATGTACAGATACTGCGGTGGCTGCTCGTTCTTGCCGTCAACCACTTCCAGGCATTTGACTTTGTGAATGTACTCGAAATCTGATTTGTCTATGCAAGAAAGTCTTCGCTTGCCAAATTTGAATGTCTGCTTGAGACCTGAGTCTATTTCAATCAGCGGCCAAACATCAGCTCTTGGTTGAAGCTGCTGATCATGTGGCTATAATTACGGCCTCGGCATTTATTCGGCAATTCTTAGGACGTCGAGCCTGCAACTACCTAGTCGAACTAGCAATAGAGTCCAATCAGACGCTTTTCGGGAATAGCCCGGCTCTGCAAATCGGGGCCGGTGCTAATCAATATATAGGCGGGTAGCTGATTCATTAGGAATTGCGGATTGCAAGCAACATGTTCGGCGACTCTTGAAGCAAATAGATGCGATCCTGAAACTTCAACTGGGATTTGAATTCGTGGCAGTCAAATTGGGCAATGGGACGGCCAGAGATTGGAATATGCAGCTGGGTGGATGGAGGAGTTTGACAGATCGGCTGGGGGTGAGATTTTAGACTGCTGCCAGGTTAGCCAAACCCTCTCAGGTGAGTCGGTGACTCCATTTTGCTCGGCCGTTGTACGTTCAGGATATTCCATCAACGGAACCTGTGGTCATGATGATGTGTCGCGGCTGTCCACAACTGTCGATAGTCTGATCGTACGGCGTATAGTGACCATTCCAGCCACCTCGCCTTATCGACGGTGGTCGGATGCACGGGTCACGGGCAAGTTGCACACCACCGGCCAGCTCCGTGACGCTCAGGTTGCCAAGTGTCGGCTTGTCTTTTCCAGCTGGCAACTTTGTGAGCGGTCACAATCGGATTGTCAGACGCGAAGGACCGAAAGAGGCGATGTGGCTGCCATGCAGCGCGCCGCCTTGCTTGAACTGTGGCGCCACTGGATTCTGGATGCTTCGCCCCTCAGTTCACTGAAACGTGCAAGACAGCTCACAATCATAGGCAGGAATGACTGGGGAGAGGTGATTACTGATCAGCTAGGAGCTGTCAAGGTGACGTCGATCAGGGCCGTGCTCGTCACAGGGTAGCCCCTTTGCACCTTCGCTTTTGAGGCTGCTGTGCAATTCGATCGCCACTTCATATCGCCCCTTTGAGCATTGATTGAAGCACGTTCCTTGCTCGGCATTGCTCTGAGACCGCTCAATCACAGCAGCATTGTTGCATTCGGAGACCTTCTATCGAAGAAGAAGCTGTTCACCAGCTTTGGAGACTCGCATTTTGTTTCTAAACTCTTAAGACACAGCTTGCGAGCAGATTTCAATCCTGGAGCGGGTCATAGGAAAGGTCACTGAGACAGTGTCCAGAATGGCTGTGGGCTCGTCGAACGGATCGGCCAATGGCGCGGCGCCAAATGGCGCCCACGTGAAGGGAATGTCGGACGGGGCCGCTTCGGCGGACAATCCGAGAGTGGGCAGCGATGGGAAGACTCCTCTGCTCACCACTGGAGGGGGACACCCCGTGTCTGATGACAACAACAGGTGCGCTGATGTTGTCATTCTTGAGAAGATGGTCAATGAAGCCTGGATTGTGGATGCTAGACAGTATTATATGTATGCGCCCATGAGTGGGGAGCTGATGAGGATGGTAAGGTTCTCAGGGAAAGGAGTTGTGCTAACAAGATTGGCATCCGCACGGGCCGGGGTTCTCAGCTTTTGGATCGTCGTCAAAGGCCAGCGAATGGAGCTCGCACATTTACAACAAGGGAGCTTGACCACAGTCACATAGACCACGGCAGACCACTCTGATGCATTCTTTGAGTCAAGGTCTCGAGGAAGGAGCTGGCTAAGGTTCTGATTGAGTTGGGACAGAGTTGACTTATAAATCTAGGTTACCCTGTACTTAATGGTGTGCAGAGATTGTAGAAGAACAAAGAGCACACAATGGTCAACCAGGTTCGGTTGAATCATCACGAGCAGCTCATCGCAGATCCTCTCAGGCCAGAAAGATCTCCCAGCTTGTCGCCAGCTCCCTTCCACACCCCCCTCCCCCCCGCTTTTGCAGTTTGGCTCATTGTTGGCTCCTCGCAGTGCTTGCAGTGTAGCAGTCTGGGGCGTAGTCAGCTATCCGTGAAAAAGAGTTGTAATGGAAGAAAACAGTTCTGCACGTCATCAGACACTGATTGCTGCTTCTCTCGCTGGTTGCAGTGTGTCGATCGGGGGCCGCGGTCAGCTACTGCTGGAGGACTTCCATTTGCTGGACAAGCTTGCGCATTTCGATAGGGAGCGCATCCCGGAGCGCGTTGTCCACGCAAACGGATCTGGCGCCCACGGTTACTTCGAAGTCACACAGGTGCGCTTGACTTTTCTGGTATTGCTTTCATCCGTCTCTACTTCAATGATTCCCTTTCTCTTTGGAGTATCTCAGCTTTTCGTCGAGGAGACCTAACGCTAGGTGTTTTGCGATTGCCTGTATCCGGTTATCGTTGCTTGTACTGTTCTTCCAAGCTGTGGATCTAGGTCCTTGATCTGCTTTCCTTGGACTTTGTGATCAACAAGCTCTTGGCTGAGAAAAATAAAAGCAATTTGTCCACTGTGAATAAGAGACTTGGACCTTGAAGAAAGTTCATACAGAGCACATTAAAGAACACATGAAAGTGAGAGCCATAAGAGGTGGCTATCTAGTTTGTTGTCCTCGGACAAGCTCTCAATGACATGGATACATGGACGTGCAAAAGAAAATAGTTGGTAAAGCCAGTTGTCGACAACAACGCTCAATCAGTCGTCACTCATCCGTGTCCAAAGACAATTTGAGAAGCGGGACATATTCTGCGACACAGACAGAAACTGATTAGGCAAGGGGCAAATTCGATCATTGACCACCTTTCCCCTCTCTTTCCAGGACGTAAGTGACCTGTGCAAGGCCGCTTTCTTAAGCGAGGTCGGCAAGCGGATCCCCGTGCTGTCGCGCTTCTCCACAGTTGGGCTGGAGTCCGGGTCTGCGGACACTGTGCGTGACCCACGTGGTTTCTCCGTCAAGTTCTACACTGAGGAGGGCATCTGGGATATGGTGACTTTTAAACCTTCGAAATTCCGCTTGCGGTTGTGAGCGCGTGTGACAGTGGCTCTAGGCCGTTGCCTTTGGTGGAAAATACTGCGGGTTCGACTCAGTGTTGTGTAGCCCAAAGGCTTTTTGAACCTGAATGGTCAGCAGTATCCATGTTGCTGTCGTCAGAATCCCGTGTACCAAGTCCTCGTTAGTAGCCCAACAGCGTTAAAATGGTTCTAATGCATTTTTCAAATTACAAGATATTGCTATCAGCACCTGACGTCGTGTTTATAAGCAACACAAAGAAGTGTCAGATATTTCTTTCCAGAGAGCTTTGTGATTGGTGCCTGAACACGGTTTTTAAGAGCTACGCAATCAGATTTGGATGCGTATCTGTGACTCGTCATCTTAGGTGGGGCAACAACCCGCCCATCTTTGGGGCAACAACCCGCCCATCTTTTCCCCCACATGAACTCATAGAGTTGTTCTCATAGAATCTATCCAAACAGCTTTTGACACGTGGCCTGAGAATGCCCTCTCCAGGTCGGCAACAAATGCCCATCTTCTTCATGCTCGACCGTATCATCTTTTCCTCTAACCACAAATACCACAGTTTGTTCTTCCCATCCTATCGTGGCACGGTAGACCTACGTAATTCGCTTCGTTTATCCGGCATGTCTTCAATCCTAGGGTCTATAGTGTCCTCTCAGACTCTTATACGTGTCTCTCTCCAGGTGGGCAACAACACGCCCATCTTCTTCATGCGCGACCCCATCAAGTTTCCCGACTTCATCCACACACAGAAGCGCCACCCGTCCAAGCACGTCAAGGACCCGGACGTCTTCTGGGACTTTCTCACGCTCACACCGGAGTCCTTCCACCAGGTGGGTAGCACTGCTTTGGGTCTCTGGTGAGATTTTTTGTGCTGTGTCAAAGCTAAGACGTCGTTGTCCAAGCTTTGATGAATTTGATAAGGGTTTAGTTGAGCGGCACCAAACGAGTACCATGGTAAGAGTGCATCTGCGGCCAAGCTTTCTGTCGTGACATTGCCATCACCTCATTCTTGGATTTACATGTTCCGTGCTCAATCATGGAATCGCCTCTTTTCTCACATGTGAATCGGATACGTTGTGCAGACCCATTTCCTTGAACTGCTCACACCCCCCGTTTCAAACAAACCTATGGGAGAGATGCTAGGTCGCCAACTTTTTCATTCGTTGCAAACAAGTCCGTCGTTTTGCAGGTTCTCTTCTCAAAAGACTTGTCCTTTTTACAACTCTATTTAAATGTTCTGATCAGAAATTCGCCAGAAATTCGCCGAAGGTTCCGTGTTCTGATAAGTATAAACTCGTCCATTCTGCAGGGCCTCAGAATAACCCCATCCTAAATATTATACCCAACAATCTGCCCAACGGTTCCATGTTCTCATGAAAACGAGATTGCCAATTCCGCAGGTTCTCATTCTCTTCAGCCCCCGCGGTGTGCCTGACGGTTACCGCCACATGAACGGGTACGGCAGCCACACGTTCAAGTGGGTTAACAAGGAGGGTCAGGCGAACTGGGTCAAGTTCCATTTCAAGACTGACCAGGTAAGCGACTTGTATTGACATCCGTCAGTCCGATTGAGGTCATGAGGGTCACATCGAAGCGTTCCATCTTTCGTTCATGAGTAGTTATACTGGCCTTCTTTGCGGTTGCTTCAGTCGACCGTTACACTAAAGATCTACAATCAGATGCTCCTTCGACGTACTTGTCACAGCAAACAATCTTGTTAGCAAGAATAGCTAAACGGACTTTGCTGCTAGATCGATATCGGGTCAATCTCGTGATGCAATCCTTCCAACGATGGTTCGATCATAGTTTTTCCTTTGGGTTGGTATCACGATTGACTCTCGGTGTCTTTGACACCATCGTTTCACCAACAGGGCATCAAGAACCTGACGCACGAGGAGGGTGTCAAGCTGGCCGGAATTGACCCCGACTACGCTAAGAAGGATTTGTACAACTCCATCGAGGCTGGCGATTTCCCGTCCTGGACCTTCTTTGTCCAGGTAAGTTTATTGGAAGCGATTGCCAATGACGTTTGTTAAGCGTAGATATTCTTCTTCGAGAACACTGCTTGCAATACTTGAGATGTTCGAATCTTACCTGACCAAGGGTTTCTTCAGCCTCGGAGTTGAAGGAGGAGTCTGGATGAGGTACCTCTTCCAGTTGGATGCTACTGGGAAGTTGGGCACACGCAAGACTTGAAGATAGCAATACAAGAGCTGACGCCCATTGGCAAAAGCCGTTCAATGAGATGGATATCAACTTCGGAAGGCTTTGCCAGGTTCAACAACCGGGTTCAAATTGGGTTGGTTGGACCCCTCGGAATGCTCTCCGCTTGCGCTTCTCCTATATTCCAAATAGGATCGCGCTGTTTCTCGATTGGATAATCTGATTGCCGACGATTGCACGTCGTGGGCCTGGAGATTCAACCGGGATTCTTTTCCCTACTCAACTCCCGTGGACTGATTCAAAAAAAAATTAGTCCGTTCTCTGTTCGTAAACAGCTTGAATCCAAGCGCACAATTTCAAGCTGTCAAAAACACTTTGGACATAATGAAACCTTTTCTCTCTACAGGTAATGAGTCTGGAACAGGCGGAGACTTTCAAGTGGGATCCCTTCGACTTGACCAAGGTCTGGCCGCACAAGGAGTTCCCGTTGCGGGAAGTGGGTCGGTTTACGCTGGACCGTAACCCGACCAACTATTTTAACGAGATTGAGCAGGCGGCCTACTCCCCGGCGCACATGCCCCCGGGCATTGAGGCGTCCCCCGACCGAATGCTGCAGGTAGGGTTGAAAAGTTTTGGCTTTGTTGGATGCAAAAATAGGGGGTCTGCGGGCTGCCACTTCTGGCTTTTCAGAATATGCATGGTTCTCCCCGCATCTGCCCCCGGACATTGAGGTTTTCCCGTCTCAGTGTGCAGATAGGGTTTGGCAATCATGACAATGAACGTTGGGTTCATCTGTTCGACATCGCTGGGTTTGACGATCGAGGTGTGCTTCGACTTAACGGGTGCAAGTGAGGGCTGGTGGTGGACATCAAAATCAAAAATTTCTTACTCGCGTCCCTCGTCTCAAAAACGAATACGTTCCTGCATAATGTGTCCTGACATTACCCTCCTTCTGTTCTTTGCCAGGCGCGTCTGTTTAGTTACGACGATACGGCCCGACATAGGCTGGGTCCAAATTACCTGCTGCTGCCCATCAACCGTTGCCCCTTCGCGAAGGCGCAGACGTATCAGGTGAATGCCACACGATGATTTCTGGACTCCATACTTTGCAGGCCAGCCCTTTGCTTTCGTTGAGTGGGGATATCATGCGAGTATCCCGTCACGACATAACACTTGAGTTTCAGACTTGGGATAAGCATCAACGTGCGCCTGAGAGGAAGAGGGAAACCAATCTTTGACTTCGCCTTGGGATCCAGAAGGTTGAAACGGCGAATACACCAAGTAAATGTCTGAAGGTCACAAAAACAGACCTGCCATTTTTGGACAAGAAAGGCGACGTGCGCAAGAGGCGTGAAATCTGACATTTTCAGGGGTTCCGCTCACCTCGCTGATTAACTTACTTCTGATACGACATCCGTCCACCTTTCGCTGAACGGCGGCTTCTTGCGAAGAGGTGGTATCGACTTTTCGGGCCCCAGTATCACCCAATCTTGGTTCCAACTGCGTAGATTGATACGAGCAGAATGAAGGTCTCTTGCCGAGAAGAGGAAACTGTTCCTCAAATCTGCTCAAATTTTAACACTTAATAATCTCCGTTGCAGAGCGACGGTTTCATGCAAGTGGGCGATAACGGCGGTTCCGGCCCCAACTATTACCCCAACAGCCGGGAGCTCTGGCCCAACGCCCCGAGGCCCGATCCCGCACAAGCCAACCCCGAGCCCTTCCCGGTGGAAGGTGGTCTGGCCGGTCGGTACCCTAACAAGAAGTGGGTTGACCAGGTGAGAAAGAAAGCGCTATTAAAGCTTTAATTTCGAAATCTTACCTGCGAACGAGGCTTATCGTAGCAGATGGAGGTTGGTGGTTTGACCGACAATATCGGTATAGTATGCATCTACAAACCCTTGTGCACGAACCATATGAGGAACATCGGCGCGCGTGATCTTGAATGGGACAAGTATACCCCCTCGATAGATCTTTCCATATCGACAACGATCTAGTGACAGCAAACGTCCACCTTGTTTTGCGATGGTTGTGTCTTCTGCCAGCAAAATTGGCCGTAATTATCTTGTTTACAACATGCTGACGTCAGCGAGTCCCCCCGCAGAACGACTAAGACCAGCCGCACTGGCAGGCGCTGTGGATGACGATGTCATTGATGATCGAGGATTGACGCATATTGGGTTTTCCCTTTGCTCTGCTCAAAGCTGACGTCAGCAAAAACACCCTGTGCAGAACTACTGGAACCAGCCGCAAATGCTGTGGAAGACGATGTCGAAGGACGATCAGAAGTAGGCCCCTATGCTGACGTCATCCACTTTTGTCCCTGTGCAGAACGACTGGGACCAGCCGCAGATGCTGTGGAAGACGATGTCGAAGGAGGACCAGGAGCAGACGCTGTCCAATATCGCGGGGCACCTGCAGGGCGCGCAGGAATTTATCCAGAAGCGCGCGATTGCGCTGTTCGGAAAGATCGACCCGGAAATGGAGGAGGGGCTCCAGGCGATACTGCCGGAGAAGAAGAAGAGCGACGAGCCGTACACGATGACGGCGTAGAGAAATCGACGGTGGAGATTGGCTGAATTTGACTGTTCGGGGACACAGAACACTCAAATCCAGATTGGTTGTAAGAGATTCGAAAAGCGGCGTTATGGCCGTAGGGAATGGTCGGTGAGAAAAAGGGCTAAAGTTTAAAACGTGACGCCCAAGGGCGAAATCGTCATTGGGGTGTACGTCTTCGCCAATTGATGGTGGTTTGTAAAAGTGAGGGGCTACGTGGAAATTATAGAGCGAGCCGTGCAGACGGCTTAGAGAGACTTCCAAAGTGGGGACTGATGTCAAGCTCAGAGTTAGATGTAGTATATTCTTAAGTGTAAGAGGGGGCTGATCGAAAGAAAATCGAGAATTTTTAGCAAAACAATTCTCTGCATGCCTCGATTTTGGGAACTTCCCTAAAACAAAAAAGTGTTTTAGATGGTCTAATGAAAGTAAGAATTGATTACAAGCAAAACAGGGTACGCAAAGAGGTTGAGAGAAAGTTCCGACTTTGAGAGAAAGTTCGACCTTGCACGCATCGCTCCGAAAATAATCTGCAAGCTCAAATCTCACGCAATTCATGCAGATTTTTTGGATTAAGTGTGAAGTAAACCCCGATCGAGTATAATGCACGATCCAGCTATCTTACCTGCGACATTTGTGAAATGAAATGAATTAGAACCCAGGAGTTGTTTATGTTCCGCGCAAATATTGCCGCTCCAACCGTCCTACTTAACTTGGAATCGTTACGATTAGATCAAAACCAGAAATATAATCCTACTCCCAGATGTATCACGTAATATGTATGGTACAAATGCACGCTAGTAAATGCATGGAATCAGAAACATGATAACTGTACACAAACACTGTGGAGAAAAACATACACCTTGCGCATCTCGAAGCTCTAGGTTGGCTATCCATGATTCAAAACATGCCCTCTTCAAACGTAACATTGATCGACCACTGATTTGTAAGGGTTGCAAATGTCGTAGTAGCATACCGAGTGTGGCAATGTGCAGAAACTGCCCCGATTCGCCCGATCGTTGCAACGGCATCAATCGTACAAAGAAGGCTGCTACAGAGAAGTGACTGCGTCGGAGTATGTCAACGGGCCAGCAGGATCGGGCGTCCCTGCGTGTTTGGTCTCAGATCGAGTACGATACAAATACTCCGTGTCTCTCTCGTGCATTCAGTGTTGTACGAGTTCGTGACTAGTATCTAAGTGAGTTCGTGACTAGTATCTAAGTGACCCGTACCTCGCTATCCAGAACCTTATAACCATATACAGATATAGTCGACATTGGCAGAGCTCTGTGATTTTAACTTTGATTTTGATCCTCGTACGTCCTTTAATCGAATCAAGTACAAGCTTCACCGACTCCCTCCCCTTAATCCAGCGCCGGCCGAAGTTTAGCATAATCAGTAGCCTCCAAGAACTCTATGGTACCGGCTACTGCCTCTGCTATAAGGTTGTTAGCAATATTATGTACAATAGTGCGTTCTTGCGCATCTTAGCCACGCCATCACAATAGCTTCTTCCTTCGCCGATGGTGCCAGTACGCTACTGCTGCGACCCCAACAACCAGCGCCAGTGACGTCCCAATCTGCCACGTGTACGGGTCTTCGATGATGCTCAGCACCTTCCCGGCCGCCGAACTCTGCGAGAGCTCCCCTGCCGGCAGCTTGGTCGCGAAACTCAACCCGAGATCAGCCAGGTCGGGGGGAGCCTCCGGGCGGACCCGCGCGACCCGCGCCATCGCCGTGTAATCTTCACTGCTGCCCCCTTCCAAAAACGTGCCGACCACGGCGTTCCGTTCGTCGATCCAGTACGCGCCGAACTTCCCTCTTGACTGGTCCCCGAAAAGGACGCACTTCCCGACGTTGTCCCCGTAAAACTGCCAGGAGAGGTTGAAGACCCGGGAGTAGAAGAAGGGCAGGTAGTCGTAGTCCTTGGTGGTGTCGCCCGAGAGGATGGCGGACACGGCGTGGCGGGCAGACTTGCGCGCGTGGTCCTGCATACGGCGGGGCAAAGCAGGAAGTATCAACATAGGTAAATCAAACGGGCTGCAAGGTGTTATCAAAGCCTCGGAACGGGAAGATCTTGGCGAGAATGGTACAGGTGGACGTGAATACAACAGTTTCGGATTTTTTGAATCTCCTGATCTTTACGACGATGATATTTGGGAGGGAAACCCCGCAAGCGAGCGCCATGCGGACGTGCTGTCACTGCAGCAAGATAAAAGGTCCCCCGTTTTGTCAACTTGACAGCTCGATTCTGACGTCTTGCCATAGTCTCTCGTCGCTTGCACCACAATGGCACTGGATGGAGACCGACCAGTATTTACTAGAACCAGGGTCCGGAACCGAGAAGGAAATGAATCCTGAAAGCCTCTTCGAACGCACCAGCACGAAGAAACGAGCGCTCTATGATTCCGTAACAATGTCGAAACCCCACCACAAGAACCGAGGCCATTCAAATCCACTCTCCCAAGCATGCCACGTCAGCCTTACCACGTGCTCCAGCCTGCGGATGTCCCCATAAAGCTTCACGGGAAAGGCCGCCACGTCCCCGACGGCATACACGGTGCTGACGCTCGTCCGGAACTTGGAGTCCACCTTAATGCCGCCTTTTTCGATCGCCAGCTGGCCCTCGAAGAGCGCCGTGTTGGCCCGGATGCCCACCCCGACCACCACCAGGTCCGCCGGGAGGCGCGTCCCGTCTTTTAGGATCACCGCGGCTACCTGTAGCGGACGGGAGCCTTTTCATTGGTTTTGTTAATCTAAGAAAAGTGGATTCCGCTTGGACAGCAATCTCGGAGTCGAGAAGACAGGCAAATATTCAAACGATTGTCAGAGGTTGAAACTTCAACTACAAGGTCCGCCGGGAGGCGCGTCCCGTCTTTCAGGATCACAGCGGCTACCTGTAGCGGACGGTAGCCCTTTTGTTACATAAACTGTTTTGACTGATTTCAGAAACGTGATTTGCGTTCCGACAGTAATTCCGGAGTCGCGACAATAAGCAATGACCGGACGATGGTCAGAGATTGGGGACTTTGAACCACCAAGTCCGCCCAAACGCGCGTCCCGTCTTTCGAGATTACCGCGGCTACCTGTAGCGAACGGTACCCAGTTGATTCAGAGATTGGAATCCTTTTTGACGGCATAATTAGGACCGCAGCGACGGAAGGCAAGCAAACAGCCGAACTTGATGGTCAGAGTCGAGAACGCTTAATGTCAATCATGTTGGCAAGCGAATTTTGTCTTTTGGAATTACTGCGGGTATCTGTAGCGGCCGGCAGCCGGTTGACTTCTTAGAACATTGAATTCGATTAGATGGCATGATTGGAAGCGCACCGAGGGGAAGCGGAGGGCCGAAGAGAATAGTCAAAGATCAAGAACATTCACAGTCAAAATACGCCAGCAAGCGGGGCACGTTTTTCAGAAGTCCCGCAAAGCAGACGGTTACCAGCTGACTTACGGCCAATTAGATTCCGCTGTGACGGCATACCTTGGAGTAGCAGCGAGGGAAGACAAGCAAAGAGGCGAAGCTTAATCAGGGATTGATAGGCTTAACTATCGAACACGTACTCTCCTGCTGTCAGTACCATCCGCGTTGTGTTTCGTGGCGCCCTATTCGGCAAAGACGTAATGAACCGCTTTGAACAAAGCAAAGGTTGGTTTTGTGCAGTTGGGTGAAAAGCTCATCGCAACACTCAGAAAAACAGCATATAACAACCGCCAAGGTAGTGAAAACTTCAGAGGTCTGAGGTGCTCAGCTGAAAGGGTGTTATGATGTTGGGAGGTCCTCTCTAGCTTTTGCGCTATGTTTCAACGGGTTCGGTCAGCAATAAAAATCATGCAAGGATGAAACAATGACTTTTACGACAACAACCAACATGAACAGCCGTTGCATGAGAGCTGTGCCATCGACAAGCGCGAAACAGCTTGCGAATGGCTGACCCTCACCTTTCCCGACGAACTCTTCTCAAAGGCGGCCATGACCGTTCCTTTTACAAACTTGACCCCCTTCTTCCGGTACCGGTCCTCATAGAACTGAGCAATCTCGGGAGTGAAGAGTCGGGCCACTGCAGGAAAGAAATCAGGGCTCAGAATTTTCGCTGAAGTTCCTATGCCGCTTGCATTTCTGTGGCTGTTTAAATTGTAATAATTGCAGACACGCTACATGCTGCAAGCATATGAGAGTAAAGCTTCTGAGACTGCTACACTCTGCAAAACGAAACGCACTGGAGCAGACTTTGGTGCGGTGAACGGAATCCGGACGCTCACTTCCCAAGCTAACGTACAACCTCCTGTGCAAGTCGAGATCCAGACAACCACCGTGTGCTTATTAGTCGTTCCGTATCTAAAACTGCGTTCGTTTCGTCCAGTAAGGCCAGGCTCAACTGGTCGTAGGATTCAGGCCCCCCCCACTTTTCGCTAGTTCTACCATCCCCAACCGATGCATCTCCTCAGGTGAACTTCGTACAGTTCCAGGGATTGCACTGAATGGAAACGGCTCTGACTCCAGTTGGCGCAACTCACTGCAGTGCGGCTCTGGGTACACCATGGTGACGTCCAGCTTATTAGCCACCAGCGCAGCCGTGCACTCCATGCCAATGTAGCCCCCGCCGATGACGACAGCCTTCATGCCCTGACCCGGGCGCATGGCATCCACTAGGAAGGCGGCATCGCGGATGTCTCGCAGGTAACAGATGTTCGACGCATCGGCGCCGGTCACGCCAAACTCTTCCAAGCGCAAGACCTGGATGAGCACTCAGAGTGACCGCTCAGATAGCCCAGGCAGACTGATCTGAGGACGGCTCGAGACGGCGTCGCTGCTTCCCGTTCTCTCATGTTGTTGTGGATGCATAAGAAGGAAGCACTTGAACAAGATTGCAAGAAGGATACATCAGGCGGACTTGCTTGATCCAATTCTTCTAGGTCTTTAATAACTCCTAGATCAACCCCGTATGACTTCCTCCCTCGACCCTCGCAAGAAGTCCGTGCTCGATATCTGACTCAGCTGCAACGAAGTTTTGGCCATCTGGAGACTCTGGAGTCTACCAGTGGCATGTCTAGAGGAAGTCTGCCTACGATTTTTCCGGCCTTGGAGAAGTTTTGTATTGATTTTAATTTGAAATCATGACAGAAGAAGCGTGAGCTTTTAGGTCTGATTACATCAGCCTTACCCTTGCACCAGTTGCGACGATCATTGTCTTGTACGTTATCGTCTCCCCAGACTGTGTCGTCAAGGCGCGCTTCTTAACGTCCGCACTGGTCACCCGCGTGTTCAAGAGCAGCTCAATCCCTGGACAGACAGGGCAACCGAGAAGCTGGTTCAACCTGAGCCACGACAATCTGCTTCTAAAAAGACAGAGTAACTGTAGTTGCTGATACCTTGTCAGACCTAGGAGGAGTACATAAGTGTGCATGTTATGTTATTGTGGCATAACATAGGTCAATGTACCACGAAGAACTTCTTACCATGGTCTTGGTACCAGGCCCGGACTTGGCGCTCATGACCTATTGCGACGCAGGTGTGGAAGGCTGGAAGACGGACAGCGCCTAGAAACGAAGAAGGTCAGAGGTAAGATTGCGGGTAGTTCTTAGAAGAGGCTTGCACAAGGAAGTTCAAACGGAGATTGCTACGAAGGCCCAACAAAGGTGTGCTTTCTTCTAGAGGGGGAGAGAATTGTGTCTCTGTCAAAAGCCAGGAGGCAAGGAGACTTGGTCCACCAATCACAAGCAGACCGTGTTACCTTCGGGAAGCAGATAGCCTTTGCTGAGGGCGGGGCGCTCATATGGTGCCACCTGCAAAGAAGAAAGAGCTAAGAACACTCTTACATAGCCCCCTGTAAAGATGATCATTGTATCCTCGATTGCCCTGCTCCATGCAATTGAATATCCAGAGAACAACCCCGGCAATTTGACAGCTTGCTCAATTGTTTCCTTGGGAGGAAGAGTGAAATTTATATGCTGTAAGATCAACTTGAAGTGCTTATAAGGTTTCATAAGGTGCTCACCGGTTCTTCAGAGATGATGCACAGCTCTCCCGGCCCAATCCCTCGCTTAATAAACTCATGAGCAGCATATCCTGCTGCATTGCCACCTCCTAGTACCACAAACTTGAAAGCCCTCCCCATGTTTCCTCTTTGTCAACTCTATGTCAATTTGAATGTTGCAAGATTTTGTCCTTTCATGGCAATTCTCAATCAGCTAGCTTTGCCACTAATCAAACATCTAGAACTTGAAGATACTTTCTGAGAAATACCACCTTCTCATGCCTAAGGGTCTGCTGCTGCAAGGCTCCTTGCATATGCCCTGCTCCTCGTTGCCTTGGGTTTTCAGGATAGCTTGAGCAAGCAAGCTTGATGTTAACCATCAGCACGCCTTCTCTTGTATTAGCAGGCAGCTATCCTAGAAAAAGCCAGCGCAGGAATCAGCATTGACAGCAACTTTCTGCGCTTGACCACAAGGGGCGGCCGCGAGACGGCATGCACTGAAGGGCGGCGCGCCCGGCCGGACGTCAACTCCCACGTCCGCGATCAGTGTCACGGTACGCGCGCGGGCCATGCAGTACGTCTTAGCCTTACACGCGCGGAGGCCGGCGTCTGCGGCGCGGCAAAACCCTAACAGCCAATGCGGCCGCCAACGCCGACGGGACGCCGACGAACGGAAGGTTTTGGAGATGATCAGACGTTGATGATGCAAGGAGCTGCTTTTCATCGTAAGCACTTCTCAGGAGTCGTCTTCGGAACATCAGGCGCAGCCGTGCTTAGACTTCATCATGAAGTGCGGCCGCTGACAGTAGGATTGACGTCCGCACACTGTGATGCCTTGTCTTGCAATATAATCTGATTCGCTAGGGATTCGCTAGTGCCGCCGATCACCAGAAGGCCTCGTACAGCAGCCTAACGTCGTCAAGGCGTCGCCTGATGAGCGCCCTGATCCACCGACGGATGTCAGCATGCACTCAAGCACTAGCATGAGCTTCCTTAGTTCACATCCGCTTGCATTGCTTGCTTGTTCACACTTGTAGTAGGAACCAGGAGGAACCCGCTTCAGGGACGCAGTTGGAGAACGGCTTTGAGTCACAGCCGTTTTCAATTATTCCACTACTTTGCCAGAAATTTCAGGATGTCTCGCAGTCGGATTACATAGCAGAGACATCACTCTTACGCCTGTTAGGGTAGTGGTGGCACCGGGGGAGGCAGTTTGTGGGGCTGGGAGGTCTTGGGACTTCAGAGGGCAGACAACCCTTCCATTTGCAGGGTCGTGTGGTAAGAAAAGAGTCAGGCACAGTCAGGTGCTGCACAGCGCACATCCTGTGGCAAGGGCAGTCTCTCTCAGGCTGATCATCTGGTTCTGCTTAGTACTTATCTACCACATGTCAGATCTACGGTAAAAGCGCTCTATTAGGCTGGCTTTCTTGCACTGAGACATTCTCGAATATAGTAGCACGATTTGTAGTGGTTGTGCCTGAAGTCTGCGACCTGGTATCAGGATCAAGTTTAGCAGATTTTACAGCATCGAGGAACCTTGAGAGTCACTTTGTTGTTCTGAGGTTTGTCCAGGTTTGCAAACAGGTAAGGGCAGTCCATGCCTGGCAGACCGTACCTGGAAGCAGTCAACTCTGTTTTGTCCATAGAAGCCCTCAAATAGGTCAGACCAAAGTACACAAGGGCAACTCACCTTCGCCACCGCTTTTTCGTTCTGCAGTTGTTTGGTCACTTCTCATGATCTTAGGAGCGCTAGGCTTTCACACATAGCCAGTCTTGGATCTGGACCCTGGTGGATTGGAGAAAGTAAATACAATATCAGAATCTTTAGTCGGCACTTTTCGATGCTTTCTTAGAAGAACACATTTTCGTCAATGGATAAGCTGGGTGGTTTGCAACCTGCTCATGTTGACCCAGGTTGCCTGCCGCACACACAAGAGACATTTGCACATTTGCACCAGAGAAGCACCAGTTGTTTCGGCAGTCGTGAAACTCTGCTTTATAAAAACCAGTTTCTCTGTCCCTCCCCAACGTTTTGTTTTGACTTCAGTTCAAGTATCAGACCAGGAGCGCTGACATGTTCCGGCCTTTGCAGATCGAGCAAAACGGCAACAGCAACCATGCCAAGAGCCCCTCGCCGCGGTTCCGACGTAGGCAGAGGCAAGTGATCAAACTCTGGGACCGCGCGCCTTCGTTTGATATTTTGGAAGCTTCGTGGGTCCAATACTCAAGACGGAGCTGTTTGCTGCCTGCCGAGTCTTTGGCCTTGACAGGAATGGTTGCTGCTTGACCTTTCTAATCTGCACCTGAGCCATTCTGATCAAAGATAGTTTCTGATGCAGTTTTTCTTCTGTCTTGAGCTGCATGTGTGTCCGAAAGCAGTGATTTTGTCCTTCCCTTCCACAGCTGCCACGGACACGACTCCGCGTGCGCCTGCTGACGGGAAAGAGCTGGAGGGGGAGACCGCCGACACAGGTGCATGCCGTTACACAGCCTGGTTGCATAAGTGTGTAGGTTTGCCACGTTGCTAGCTTGTGTGAGTGAGGGGAACTTACTTGGTCAGCTCAAGCTTCTGCTTCGTGATTGGACTCAAGGTATCAAGGACTCTGTCAGCTCAAGCTTCAGCTCCTGATCGGACCTATTGTACTTATGATGCCACGGGCTTCGCTCAGCTCTACCTGTGCTCAGCTTAAAGTTCTGCTTCGTTTCAGGGCCTGCTATCAGGTTCGGAACGTTTGGGAAGCTGGAGCTAGAGCTGTCCCCGAACCTCATCGCCACCATCGATCCCAACGGAAATCCGGAGGTGATGATGCTGACATTCCGCAACGAGTGCCAGCAGTCGGTGGTGTCACCTGGGGGGGTGACGCTGAAGTCACGCGACGGCTCGCTGGCCCCTCTTGTTGGGGGTGCTTACTTCCTGTGTGCGTATGGAAGCTACGAGATTGCACTGGTGGGTGGTAGGAGGTATAAGATTGAGCCTTTTAGCGGCTTCGATGTCAGAGAAAGCGATTGACATTTGGCTGTGTCACTGCAAAACTTGGTCTGAAAGTCACAAGGCTGGAACTGTCACAATGTGGTGCGGGAGTGGGTGTAACGCACTTAATTTGCGAGAAAGGTTGTGAGGTTCATGTATGATGCTTTTGAAATTGCAGTTGATTATGACATGCATCAATGCATTGGATTGATCTTAATGTCACTTCGATGTGAATGTGTATTTGCAAATTTGTATGATTTCAAGTTCTGATCAACGAACTTAGTCGCCATCACCATGATTTTGTCGAGCATGCAATTTTAAAATTTGAACGGGGCATGCACAGCATGAGGAGCGACGGAATAACTTTGAAACATACAAGCCGCCCGCGTACATGCACTCAAGCTTGCGGTGTGTGTACATTCATTCGACGCGCTTGCACACATGCCATGTATATTCCATATGATGCTATAGAGCCTTCTTCGTGGATGTCTTTTTTGTAGCTGAATACCATGGCCCGTAGTCCAAGGTAACGAATCCGAATATTAGTGTAATATTATCTGCATTCGAAAAGTCAGAAATTCAGCCCAACTATCCAATCAAGGCGTCTAACCTGCGCAGTGGCCTTCTACTGCAAAGGTCCAGGAGCGACCGCCCGGACTAAGTATCCTTAGGCTTGGGCACGTCCTTGAATTGAAAGACGGAAGGGCCAGCTAACATCGAAGTTCGCGGAGAAGATTGACAAGTTTTCCGGCTTCAGTACTCGAAAGCCACCGCGCAAGGCTAGGTCACTGGCGGCGGGCTAGACAATGAGATGACAATGTTGCGCGCTCTCGGGGCTTTACTGACGCTGCTGAGTAGGCTGTACGCGCGAGAACAGGCTGAGCAAGTGCTCTTGATGATCAAGACGATCGAAGTGGCGCTCAGGGTTTATGTGACGTCCGCGGACGTCCTCTTTGGTGTCACCGCGTGTGGCGGCCGCCAAGTCTAATTGGTCGCAGCCGCGCGCAAGACCGCGACCGTACGTACCATGTCTTTCTACAGAGTTGCAATTTGCGAGGTCGCCCGGACCGGACGTTGTGTTTGTTGGAGGCTGCCTGGCCGTCTTTAGCAAGTCTTTTGAGCAGAATCTGGCGCACCAGAAAGACGCAGCCATGGTGCTCTCCTGGTTTTCGTCTCTGCGGTCCCCTACGTTAGAAGGGTCCCCTACGCTAACTTCTGATCCGAGTCAACGCCACCCCAGGGATCTTGAAGGCAACTCCGACAATGAAGCAGAGCGCTTGCAAGAAGAGGAGCAAAGAGCGAAGCGCCTCCGCATGATTGGTTTGTTCAACAAGGAGGACTGCACCGAGAGGGACTTCGAGCATGAGCACTTGCAGAGCACTGCGTATGAGTTCTTCAGCAAAGGAGTGCAAGCACGCGGAAGAGGGGAAGACGCAAGTGCCCTTGAGTTTTTCAGGGTCAGTGCGGTAGCGGGAAGCGCCAACGGCATGGAAGAACTGGCCCGCTATTACTTGGCTGGGACGGTTTGTTCAAAGGACGTTATTGCCGCGCAAGCGCTGCTTCGAGAAGCAAGCCAGCATCTTATAGTCGACTTTACTCTGTTGCAGAACTGCAATAGCAAAATTGCGGAGATGGTGGATGCCAAGCTACCGAAGGCCACGGTCCCAACGGTTCTCGAGCTGATGCGCATTCTGACCAGCAAAAGCAGCGTCGCAGAGAGGATTGGCGCCAGCAAGATGCTCTCTGACCTGGCGAAAGAAAGGGACTCGGAAAACCGAGAGCACCATCTGTGGCTGGTGCGCCTTTTGGCAAGCGAGAACGAGGTCATGCAGGTAGCAGTTGCAGATGCTGTCCGCGTTTTGGCTGAGAACGGTGATATCGATCCAGATCTGCCAGGCCTGATAGACATGCTGGTGTGCCTCCTCACGTGCGAGCGCGCGCGCGCGGCCGCGAGGGGCTCGGCGGCCGCGGCGCTCGCGCGTGTGGCATACGACCACGACCCTGAGACCCAAGAACGGATTCGGGCTGTGCCACAAGTTGTGGATAGTTTGACGATGCTTCTCTGGACTGAGGATGTGGAGTTGCAGGATGCGACCGCGAGGCCACTGATTACTCTAACAAATAGATCAGAATCGGGTCCCCGCGTTCTGGACACGATTGCAGCTAGCTTCAAACCAGGGCATCTGGCCAGATTGATTGGATTTCTGAACGGCAAGAGCGTGGACTGCAGACCTTAGGCGCGCGCGCGCTCGCGAGCTTGGCTCTTGACAAAGAGACCGGGAAAGCAATAGTCGCAGTGCGGGGCAGTGTCAAGGCTTTGGTGCAACTTATGGGAAACGGATACACGTGGACCGTGATGGAAGAGGCCACGAGGGCCCTTGCCAATCTGGCGCTCGAGCCGAGCAGCAGCAGGGCCATCGCGCGCGCGCGGGGCGCGGTCGCGCGCTTGGTTCCTCTCCTGCGCAGCTCCTCCTCGGCGGCCGCGCGCACGCGCGCGGCGCGCGCAGTCGTGAACCTGACGTGCAAAGCGGAGAACAGGAAGCGGGTGGGAAACGCGCGGGGGGTGTTGTAGGCGCTCGCGCGCTTGCTGGGCTGCAAGAGCGCGGTCCTGCAGAGGTTTGGCGCGTGGGCGCTCGGGAACCTAGCGCACGGGCCGAAACTGAAGGCGCGAATTGTGGCGGAGCCCGGGTGTTTGCGCGGGCTGGTGGCGCTTCTGGAAAGCGGAGAGGCGCGAGTTCAGGAACGCGCGGCGAGGGCACTCGCCAACCTGGCATTCGGTGCAGGGAGTAAGAAGGCAATTGCGGCGGTACCGGGCGCTTTCGAGGGTCTGGTTCGTCTCAAAGAGAGTTCCAGTGCGGAAGTGCGGGGACAAGTCAAGAGGGCAATCAAGAACTTAGGTAGCGGGCATGGTAAATGTGAGGAACGGAACCAACGCGGCGCGGGCTCAGCGGTGAACTCGGAAGCTGCAGCTTAAAAGGCGTCGACGACGGTCATCTCAGAGACAAGCTTCGAGGATTGATCGACTTTCCCCTTCCGAGAAAATTCGCCCGATCGAACATAACAAGATCAGAAGCTAGCCGAAGAAGCGCTGTCATGAAGCGTTCATGATTAAAAAGAGAGCTTTCAATTTCCAGATGGTATACACGAAACGGATCCATCCAAACTTATATCCTGTCAGCCGCTCGCTTCGATCCTATAGACAAAATGTAAGCTTGCACGATCGCTCCTCACTATCGGCGGCGGCATCAGGGCTTCGGATGGCGAATGTACGTTGCATCATTCAAATACGTACGATCGACGCGAGACGCTATATATGTCTAGAGTCGATTTGATGATGGTCTTTTCTCGATATGATCCATTCGATCCGGATCGCCATGGTCAACGTTCTGCACTTCCGTGACGGTAAATATATGCTTCCGTGACGATAAATATATGCAATTTCAGGGTTGTGAAGGGCGATCCATTCAAACGCATAATCAATGGTCTGCATTCGTATCCGCCTTCGACAAATACTTGTAGGATTTCTCCGAGGTTCCATTTATCTTTGACGGCCAAGCGAGTAGAAGCCTAGAAGAGTTTCTGAACCTACAGAACAATTACGCTGTAGGCCGGTTCATTCATTAATTAGCAATCAAATGAGAATTAGTATGATGCAAGGACTCAATAGATAGATTCGTCGACTAAGCCGATCACGGCTCCGCATCGACGTTAATAATTATAAATCTCTCTGGCATACATGCAGTCGTGAATATGTCTTGACATGGCGGCTTTTCCCAATCAAGGGCGTGTCAAGCACGTGCTATGACGACATCGAGATGCTTGCCACTTACAAACACCAAAAGCTTTACAAAGTACACATCGACCGCCGGTGAGCCCAAGAGCAGGCGCTTTCTCACGCATCGAGGGGGAAACTTCGATTTTCTAAATTGATTCATAATCCAGAGTACTGCACCCGTAAAAGGTTCTGTATTAGCCTCCAGCATCGTGCTGTCATGCTCGAGTATCTGTGAGGTTTTTTAATGGTGGTGACCTTTGCTATTTTCTCGTGCTGCGTTTCTCAACAACAAGGGACCGCTGCCACTTGCTTAAGTTAAGGAGAGGGACCGACGGGCAAACAGGTCTGGCGGGCAGCGACTCCATTGTTGGTCTTCTTGAACCAGGAAGGGAGCCGCAAGCCAAAGGGAGGCGGCTCAAGCTTGGCTATCTCCAGCAGCTCGTTCAGCGCGCCTTGCAATCTGCAAACAGATAACACATACACTTCAAACAATTTTAAGTAACAATAAGTGAGTCATGGAAGCGCTCAAGCTTTGTTTGAGATTCGCATGCTGTGAAGGCGTTCAGCGAAGTCTGAACAACCGAGACTGACGCCAAGGCTTGGGTTACCTTACACTGGTTAATGCAGAAAAGAAGAATGTAAAGTCACTCACACTTGAACCACCTCCAGCTGACACTTTGACACAATCCACCTACTACGCTTCCTGACATCCAGTGGACGAGAGAATCTCAAAACCCAATACCAGGTGTGCTCCTGCTTGAAGGGCGCTACCATTATTGATGACGAAGCATCGGATCATACGCGCCTCACTGCGGACAGACGAGGCCCAACCCTTTGTCCGACAAGTGGCAGATCGGACGGTGCACAGTCCGCTGACGTCATCGCTCACCTCCAGGGCAGGTGGTCCAAAAACATGGACGCATGGATCGGCATCTCCCGCAACGACGACCGGTCCACCACAACCGCCCGGTGCTTCCACTTCCCAAACCGGGGGGTCGGCCAGTAACCCCCTTCCTCAACCCGAATCACGTGCACGATTGTTCCGGGCACGAAAAGTTCTCGGGGGTACGCGCTGTCATCCATGTGGTTGCTCCCGATCTGTTCGTGGATCCCCTCTTCGGACGTCCGGTCTCGGTGCTCGTCGGACGGTCCGACGAACTCCCCGTCTGGCGGTTCGGGCTCTCCTCCCCTGGATTTCACCTCGGGGGTTAGGTCGTAACTGTGGCGGGTTTGGTCCGGGTTCCGGGCTTTGCGCTCCAGCTGGGAGACCTCGATGACTACGGAGTCGGGACTAGTGGCGGCGAGCAAACTGCTGCTCGGGCCTGCATCCAGGCGACGAGACTGAGCATCAGCAGCCGAGCCTGGATGGGGGTTATCAGCACGGTTTAGCAAACCAGGCTCCCCCTCAAACCTTCCTTCTACCTGATTAGCAACAACCGGGTCTTCAGGGTTCATAGATTCTGTTCGGATCCCTCCGCTGCTTGACGCAGCAAATGTGTCCGCTTCGGCGCTTGGCGGCCTCCGAACGTCAACCGGCTCCTTTTTGGGTTGCAACCCGTTTGTCATGGGGTTGTTGCCAAAACCCCCGGAACCTGCCGCTGATTGAGCGACCCCGTCAACCTCCGCACCGCCGTCTATACTTTCGCTGCTTTTCCCCGAGTCCCCACCCACCCCCCCGGCCCCCTTCCCCGGTTGCCCGACCCGTGCCGAACTTACTGACTCCGCTTCCGGACTTCCCGGTTTGGTCGTTATCTGTGCGCTGAATCGATTCTGAACCTGTCCGCTTTTCAAATCCGGGGTCCGGTCCGCGAAAGAGACAGCCCGAGACGGCTTCCCTTTTTGTGTCTCGGCTTGTGCGCCGTTGTCCGGATCAGGGCGTCGATGAGAACTGCCGTTCTCATCCCCTGCTGCTTTTCTGGAAGGCTTCGTTAGCCCTTCAGAAACCAAAACCGATTCGTCCGAACCAGAACTGTGACCAGTTCCGTTCGCCACCGTCTCCCGTCCTCTTTCTTTGTCCGTTCCACTTCCGTCTTGTCTGATGCCCCGTTCCATCTCGCTCCCGACTTCCGCAAGATTCGCTAGCCCCTCCCGGCCCGGCGGACCCTCTAGAGATTTCCGCATCTCCCCCCGGATGTCCAGCCCCGCCTTGTGCAGCTCCCGCGCGCTGCGGATCACGCCCCGCCCCTTCGTTGTGTCCTTGTCCGTCGCCATGTGACACACGCATGACGTCAGGTGCGCGCACAAACACCCGATGCCTGCCATGTGTCGCGCTCTCCTGCGCCCGCGCCCCGCCGGGCCCCCGTTCCGGATCGCCCAGATCTTAACCTGTTCTAAACCAGTATTACTAGCCGTACTTCTTGGTTCTGCGCCAAGCCCGCCCTTCTCTTTAGCGAGACCATTACCGTTACCACTCGCAGGAGTCGAACTGCTGACGGGTGCGGGAAGGGAGGGGCCGGAGCGCTTGCCTGTATCCTCCGACGCCTGACGGGCCGCCTCGGCAGATTGGGCGCGGAGAGCCGCGGCGCGCAGGCGCATCACGGAGGCCACGGAGATGCGGGACGCCCAGTCATTGTTGTAGATGACGCTGCGAGGCAAAGTAGTGATTCAGGAAGCCCTCGAATGCTGTGCGAAAAACGTGTTTTCGGTCGCTCCGTCTCGCTGCGATGGCGAGGCTTTGGCGAGGAAAAAGCTTTTGTCGAGCTGCTTTGAAGCAGAGAAAACAGGAGATGGCGCCTTGCGAAGACGACAATCAGTAGTGCAGACGACGACCAAGAAAATACGAACATCCCACTGAATGTTGAAACGAAAAGTAGTTTGAAAAAGGAGGATCAAAAGTCGGAATGAAGCAAGCGTGCTTTGGGAGTGCCAATCGGAAACGTGCAACGAGAGTTGCCCGTTCACGGATGGGAAGGGGGAGTTTTGTTCGCCTAGGAAAAAGACTCGCGAAACCAATCAGTCGAGGGTATTGCTGCATGAGAGACTATCTGGCATCCGGTGAGCTCGGCAAAGTCGATTCTTCATCCAAGGGCTACTTGTCAAAGTAATCTGTCAGAGCGGGGACAAGGAGAATCAGTACCGGACGGAAGCTAAGGCTAGGGGCTGTTGGAACCCTGAAAATTGACGTCAGCCTTGGGTAGCGGACCGGGCGTGATACTCTTCGTATCTACCATCGGCCGTTCAAATGTCAGCTACGCAGCATCCGACGGCAAAGGATGCGCTTGGAAACCCTAATACTAGGGATGTAGACAATGTGCATATCAGCCGTCGGATAGCCAGTTCTACAAGAATCGACGCTTCAGAACCAGAGAGGTCCAACTCTGGGTTGACATAACCGCAAATCCAACAGCCCCTAGCCTTAGCTTTCGTCCGGTACTGATTCTCCTTGTCCCCGCTCTGTCAATTGTCCGCCATTAAAAACTCGAGCTTCGACAAGCAAACAGGATATGTATCTTCCCGACACTTTCACAAGCGTCACAGCCTTTCCGACCTAGGACTCCGCACAGAAATAGACGTCCGCACAAGAATCACAGACGACCACTTCATTTCAAACGTATCTGATTTCATCATCCGTAACGCTCCCTCGTTATTTGACAAGCAACCAGTTGTTCCGCTCATCCAGGAACACGAAAGGCATGCAGATGACACTAAAAAGAACGAGTACTAAAGGACTAGAAAAATAGAAACAAAGACCCAAAAAAGAGAGCATCAAACTCAAAAATGAAAATTAACTAGGCATTCGTACCTGGTCACAAACTTGGAGCACGCGTCCGCGGTCTCCTGGTCCAGCGACGGGATGGTATTGAACGCAAACACGTGGAGCTGCGGGAACCGCGGCCGCAGCTGCAGAGACCCGAAAAGCGCCGCTGCTAGTTAGTAGGATTCGGTCGAATCTATCTGCGCTTGGAAGGTCCGCAAGATGGCCTGACAAAGGAGATCTCGAAAGCTGCTGCTTTGAACGGAGACACTAATGACTTGGTCTGTGCCGGGGAACTGCATGGAACTTTGACCGACCGAAAGTTTTCACAGTAAGGCTGGAACTAGAGCGGCGAGCACTGTGCGACCATGCAAAAAGTTACCACCTTCTTCCTTTTTGAAATCTCCGCAATCCTGCATCATCTGATTGTAAGCAGCCCACCAATCCAAACATGCCTCAAAGTTTCGCGCCTAGTAACCGTCCTCTCGGAAGACAACCCGCCATCTCAAAGCTCCAATTCGAGGTCATCAGTACAAAGTAACGACAGTTCGGCAAGCGCCTCTGGACAAGGACTTTCTCTCCCTGAAAATCCCTAAGCGTTTCTTGCTTTTGCGAAGGTTTTGCACCTTATGCGGAGAGCTGTCACAATCGAGATGCCCCTTCCTTTCGCAAGCAAGATCATCGATCGAGGATCAGACACCAGCAAACAAGCGCATTGCCTCTAGCTAACCAGTCTCCCTCGACATGATTGCAAATTTACAAAACCTTTGAATCTCACCCGGAGAGCTGTCACGGTCGAGATGCCCCCCCCCAGCGAGTGCCCTACAAACCGCAGCGAGTAGCCCTCGCATTCCCCGCCAGGTCCCAGCAACTCGCTCAGCAGCCCGCGTTTGGCCCCCCGTTCCGTCTCCCCTCCTGCAGCGGAAAGGGACACCGGAATCGCACCCGGAATCGCAGAGGCCGCAAGCTTCGCAGATTGTCGCAGTCAGACAACTTCGAGCGGGGGCGACTGCTGCGCGGTTCCCCTCTCTTAAAGCGCTTAGCAACTCGCATAGCACCTCGCAAAGGATCTTTCTCAGCGCAGGAGAACAAACGAAGGAAGAAAAGCTGAACGAAAAGTGGAAAACAGGATTTTGCAGGGACTCGAGGTTAGTAACGTGACGTCAGACAGCCGCAAGGGTGGCGGTTTGCACCTTCTCCTGCTCAACGCCAACCGTCAACCGTTCAAAACTTGGGTTGCTAAAGAAACGCCAGAAATGGGCCGCAAAGCATTCCAGAGAATCCGCCCCACAGACCTTGTACAGTAGAGCTCTTCAAACCCGCTCCATAATTTGCGGAGTCCCGTTCGAGGGACCTCTCCATGAGGCTAGCGAGAGACCTTATCAGAACTCACACTTCTTTCCTCTTCCTTTTGACACTCGCAACTTTCTCCCGAATCATTGTAACTTGACATTTCCCCAATACTTCGATTCACAACACCGTGTACCGTCTTTCACTTCCCGGATCCTTTTAGAGGCCAGGAGAAAGAGAGCTTCCTGCTCACCCAAACTGTCCCTGTGCGGCGCATGAACGTCGTCGTCATACGGCATCCCGTCCAACTGATAAGCGAGCTCGCGCGCGGCGATGACCACTCCCTTATGTGCGAAGCGCTTCTTGCCGCTCGGGGGCTTGTGCTCTTGAGCCAGGTCCTTGTTACTCCAGGCCCTGCGCCAGCAACTAGAGCGGGTCAAAAAGCAACTAGAGGGGGTCAAAAAACCAATCTGCAGACGGAATGCGTTGATTGAAGATTTACACTCAAGGGCCTGCGGCAGCAACGAGAGCGAGTCAGAGAAGCAATCTTTCACGGATTGCATTGGCTGAGGCTATATAAGGGCATGAGCCTCGTTCCTGTGGCAGCAAATAAGCGCGTCAGAGAGCATATTTGCAGACGGTCTGCCGTCGAAAACAATTTCTGCGAAAGCAACTAGAGCGAGTCAGAGCCGATTTGCAAACGGAATGCGTTGGTGGACAGCACATACTGGAAGATATGAGCTCTGGTTCCACCAGAAGCTCTCCTTTAGAATATACGAGAGCAGCCCCCCCCCCCACTGCACGGAATTTAGCTCAAGGTCCCAGGTCACTTTGCGAAGCGTGCCCCGCTTTTTCTACGACGTCTACTTCGCAAACGGATTGCATGAAGCTTGTAAGGGCTATGCCCGCTAAAAACCCTGAAGCCCTGAAAGTATGAAATTCTAGAACCCTAAAATTCAGGGAAATCACTTACGGTGAGAGGCCCCCCAGGTCGTGCTCTCCCAGTTCCACCTCCCTCCCGAGCGCGTCCGTGAGGACGTCTTCCGGCGTTTCCGTGCCTCGCACGGCGACGACGACGCAGCGATGTTCCGGAACGACGACCACGAAGTAGGCAGCTTCCCAATGCCGCTTCTGCAAAAGTACACGGGTTAGTTTATAGAGAGGGCTAAGTTTGAACGGAAGAAAAGATTCAGTCAAGTCACCACTTGGCGGGACGGTTGTTTTATCATCACAAGAAGAACGACGGACAACCTGGTCCGGTGCTTCGAGCTTCGGGTGGTGATTAACCGCGTCTGAGCTTGTCAAAACGACAAAGAGGCCCTGTTATGAGTTAGTAGATACTCGGAGTCGCGAACCGGACATATCCTCGCGGACTCTACCTACTCAGGTTTTCCAAGCGACACAACAAACTAGCAAGCTACACGGGACTCAATTCACAGGGGCCTGATAGCTCCCAGAAGTGTTCCGACCATTCAACGGAGACAAAGCGAAGCCCCAGGGCAGTGCTCTCACTCTCCATCGATTAGAGCAATCATTGAAGACTCGCTAAGAAATACATCCTACACCTTTCAAGGACGAGCCAGCCAAGCATTTGAATCTGCCACGTGGCGAGAACCCACCTGCTTCACTCGCCCCTTGCGCAGGCACTCTGGCGGCAGGCGTATGTACCGTAGAAAGGCTGCCGCGTGACCACGGATCAGGTTGTCGCCTTCTAGTACTGGATACCTGAGCACAGACAAAATCTGGTCGTTTGACCATCCAGCAACCGAGAATGTTAGGGTTTTCGGGGTTTCTGAAGACGAATTGTACTCGACTCTCTCAGACTTTCCCCTTCTTTTCCGTCCTTATGATTGGCATCGCTGCCTCCAATCAAATTGGTCAGCCGTCGGAATCTTGTCAGACGTGGTTGCGGTCGGTTCCCTCTGAGTAGCCTCGACAGTTATGTTCGGTGGCCTTCGAAGGATTGTAAAGAATTGATCTTCCAAGCCCTACAAAGCAGCGAAGTGATTACCTCTCGCCGTTGCTTAGCGGGCAACCATGTCAGAGTGATCTGTGCTAGGGCGGCACAGAATGGAAACCGGTTCCTGACCCGGAAAAAGAGCACACCGGATGTGCCACTCTTGGACCAATTCTTGCACCGCAACGTGTTCCGCGGTGGCGGCCCGGACTGCCGGTACGTCCAGGTGCAGCAGAATAGAAACGGGTTCCCGCCCAGAGAAAAAGAACAAACACCGCATTTGAACACACACCAGATTCTGACACTTCCGTACCGATTCTCTCACCGTGATTTGTTCCACGGAGTCAGCACGCCCTGCCGGTACGTCCAGGTGCAGCAGAATAGAAACGGGTTCCGGCCCACGTCGAGAACCGGGCCCGTGTATGCCGCCACCGCAAACGGCTGCAGGAATGCCGCTTCTTGCAGAACGACAACGGGCGGCTGGGACAGGTTCTCGAAGTTGTATTGCTCGGGCGTCTTAGCGCGCATCAGGTTGAGCCCTGCAATGCTCACAATATCGCTTTGTTAGAGAAAAGTAATACTTTTGGAGAGCGCTTGGACTTTTGAGCTTTTCTCCGGTGGGCTGCAATCTGGACCGAAAGGACCCATTTTTCCGACATGTAGAGGGGTTTCGCCGGTGTCCGATCTACGATCAACTGCATGTCCGGAAAGTTATGCCGAGCAATCTGATCCCATCAAGAAAGTGGCACCGAAGCATAAAGATTCTCAAGCGACGTTGTCTCATTCCCAAATCACTACTATGAATTGACACAAACATCTCAAGCGAAGTTAACTCTACCCCAAAATCCACTAGAAATTGAGCCAAGAGAAAGATGCAACGCAGGAAGTAAGTATCAGACGTCGCCATCTGCAAGCATGTCCAGTTGCATCGCTCTAGGTTGCGAAGTATCCTAACATCCACCTGCTAAAAGGTCCAGGTGAGTAGCCCCCTTCGCGCGGTACGCCAGAATGTCTGCCGTCAACGCCGCGACCGCGTTGATTTCATCGTCCTCCGACGCCTTCCAATAGCGTATCCGCCCCAAGCAACACATCATCTGCCTTATATTGCGGTCGAACACCTCGTGATAGTGCGCCCGCCAGGCCATATCTTGCATCTCGTATAACGACCGCCAGTTAAGGACGTCGTGACCCATTACGCAGGGGAGAATCGCCCCTAACCACGCGGTTAAGGTTAGAATCACGGTTAGCGGGAGGAGCGAGGCGTTGTGTCCCGGTTTGGAGGGGGAGGGACAACCAGAGGAATCGAGGGAGTTCGTATGGAGAGCGCGCGCGAGCTGGTAGGAGAGCAGGGCGGCGAGGACGGTTTGGAGGGCGGTTACGAGGAACCCGCTGCGAGCCCAGGCGAGCCACCGGTTGTACCGTTTCTGTAGGGAAGAGGGAGGGATAAGCGAGTGATTGATTTGGAATGAGAACCTTGCTGCGTGACCTTGTGCGAATTCTCAAAAGAGGCAGCAAGAGAGGTAAGCAAACCATCATACAGAATGAAAACATCGACGCAAGAGCGGGCGAGCCAACAGTTGTACCGGTCCTAGAAAGCGCGACACGGAGAGGTAGGCAAAACAAAACTGATGGAGAATGAGGTTGCCGCTGCAAAACTCGCCAAGCCCGTACTTTATTCGATTTTGAAGAAGCAGAGAGAAGCTGGCACTGGGTGAAGTAAAAGGAGTCAATGCGGATGAAGATAGCGCTGCATCGGTGGAAGAACAAAGATAAACTTTTGTAATCTATGTCTGCGAGGAAGGAGAGTCAAAGTGTGAAAAAGAACGCTGACACGAGGTCAAACGAGCTAGCACTCGAGGTGCATTTGAGAAGAAACAAGGGAAACCTGAACCTCTGAAGGGGTGTTTCGAAAGATAAGGGGAGTTCTGGGAGCAAGATGCGGCCATGGCTAATGAAAGAGAGTTGGGACTGGTGCTTTGCGGAGCAGGAAGAAGGGGGGCTAAAAGTAGACGGACAATAAGAAGGAAGAGATACAGAAGGCCAAGAAGCAAAGGGAAACACCAATCGTGGATGAAGGTTGTTAAACAGTGTAGCAGGCTTCCCTCATTTTGACAACCACAGAAACAAGGGTGGCAGGACTAAGACGAGAATCTACTAGAGCTAACAAGCTTGCCTTTGATGTTTAAACAGGTCAGAAGAGTGCAACAGACTGAATGTCAAGCATAAGTGGTCATCAGCACTCTGTTGAGATGTTGGGAACCAGGCCGTCAAAGTTTCTGAGTTGAAAGTGCGGAATCGCACCGACTGTTCAATTTGCTGTTTGAGACTGGGCGCGATGAGGTGGAGATGCATTCTACGACTGAGGTCCACATATGATAGCAGCAACCAGGAAACCTGATTACATGGGAATACACTCGCCCAATCACCTATGCTAAGCACCAGGAACTCAGGAGAAATGGGGGATCCCTCACTTGTAGAGCTGCTTGTGTCGGTGCGTACTTCTCTTGGCTTCAGGTCACATACTTTAGCCCTAGAGCCATGAAATTTTCAACGCAACCTTTCCAAACACCCAAACTCCGGGGATCCAAAAGCCTGGAGCCAGCAATCCTCAAAGATCTGAGCCTCTCACCCGTCGTAGCTTCCTGTCGGACGGCTGCTCAACCTCGTTCGGTCCAGACGCCGTCCGCCCGACTACAGCTGCGGCTGCCGATGCCTGCGCCCATCCTGCGCCCAGCTGGAAAAGAAACGATCCAAGTGATCAGTAAGTGTGAGAAATTCAATCATCGACTAAGAAGCAAGCACTGATCTCCAAGACTTTGCGAATGGTGAGCGACTGGCGGCTGATGCCTGTGGCTTTCCAGCGCCCAGCGGGGGAAAAGCATGCCGGTCGATCAGTAAGAAGTGTCATTCTCAGTTGATGACTAAGAAAGCAGGCGATGATTCTTCAGACGTCTTGTCTTCAGGAAGTGATGGATAGTTGACGCCTACGCCCATTCAGAACCACAGTGGGAAAGAGCTTGCCGCACAATCAGATAGTATCCTTCTTTTCAGAAGTGGAAATCTAAGCAGTGGTACTTATGATCCTGTCTTCAGGTGGTCGGGGCCCTACTGACTAGCAGACAGCAATTTCTTTAATCTCATTCATCATTCGGTGGTACGCTTGGTAGATCGCTCTGGTGTTGATCAACAGTGATTGTATTGTGGATCTCATCTTGCGTGTAGAACCTATGGGCGCTCAATTGAGTAGAGCGGAACGAGCAACTTTCATCAATTGTTCCGGTTATGCATCGTTGTTCTGACTTTCAGCCAAGGGGAGCATCAAGACTGCCAAAGTAGGAGTTGGTCAAGAAAGAACAACGAGAAGATGCCTTGAACAATACCAGTAGTACTAGGCACCGCCTGATCTTCATAAAATCGTTTCACGCTATGATGCTATGATGCTTTCTGCCCCCGCTGATCACTTACCAGCTCAAGTGACTCTTTTGACTAAAAGAAAAAACTCAATCGGTGCTTTGCATAATCTCATGTGAATGCAGGCATCGCCTGATCTTTATGAAACCCCCATCATGCTGCGATGCTGTCTACGCCCCGCTGATCCCTCACCAGCCACACAAGTGCGATCCCGCCCCCCCCACAAACCAATGCTGCCGCCGTACTCAACCCGCTCGAGCATTTCTCTGCCACAGCCCCACTTGCAGCAAACCCCCCCAGGAACACGCTCGCCAAGTTTAGACCGACATTGCCGTACGTCGTGACCCGGATCCGAGACAGAGCGGACGTAGGCCATTGGTGCGACATTGTGAGAGCTTTCAGAATGAAGAGTCTGGATCGAGCGAGCAACCCCAGGCACCGGGACCTAAACTTTCGTTTGTTGCTCTGGCATCTGATGCTGATGGGGGGAACCACCAGAGGAATTGCAGTGGTCCCCCCTTGAGCGACCCGTGAAATGATCTCGAATGTATGGTGGCCCCTTTCTATGGATTTCACGTGGCTTCAGGGCTTGCTGCATGCACTCAGCTGACACATACTAAGTTGATTAGCCCGCGGCGCATCCAGGTCTGTGCCCTGAATGATGATGAACAGGCTGGCCCGCCTTTCACCCTGATGCATAGGTAGCCAACGAAGGGCTTCCACCTTTTGCCTTTCCAACAAAATGCTTCCTGCAATTCAATTTCCTCTAGCCTGTAGCCTCATGCAGGCTGTCAGTGTAGGTAATCGGCCTGTGCCACCATGCAAGACCTCTGCGGCGGCCACCGGCGCGCGCGACCGCCTTGGGGAGGCGGCGGCCGCGCGATGGCTTGCAGATGTACTACGCGCATGAGCGCGTAAGTTTGCAATCCCCCTTTGCGTAAAATAGGGGGCCGTCCGTACCCATGCCTTCTACCCCCCTGAAAATGCATATAAACAGGCGCGAAACTTTGAAAAGCTCTCCTGTTCAAACATTCTTCCCGTCGACCAGCACATGCAAAGCTTTGACGTGGGCTTGACCAGGCTCTTGTAGCGCATGTCAGCATTGAGCAAAGAATTCAGGGCTTCTACCTAGGTACGTAATGTTTGTCGCACAGGTGCGCTCGTAGTGTTAGAGCAGACGCCATTGTTTCTTTTTCCTTAGTACGGCTGTCGTCCTAGTTTGGAAGTTTGCTTTCCCCCTTGAGCTCTGCATGCGACGCCGTTGATTGTTGGCAGAAGCCTGTGCACACAAGGAGTCCAGCCACATAATAAGACAGGTTAAGTGGGCGGTGCATTTTGTATCTCGTCCGTTCAATAGGAGCGCAACGAATCAAAAAAGCTCAGTGGGCAGTCGCGATGTTTTACTCGCATGACATCCTCGCCCGTAAGGGGCCCCTGGGCACAATATGGATCGCCGCCCACTTGGACCGCAAATTGCGGAAGAACCAAGTCCTCGAGACCGATATTACGGTCTCCGTGGAGGCCATCCTGAGCGCAGACCTCCAAAAAGTTCTCGCGCTCAGACTGTCCGGTCATCTGCTGCTGGGGATCACTAGGATCTTCAACCGCAAGGTGAATTACCTGTATGAGAACTGCGAGACTGCCCTGGATAAGCTGAAGCAGGCATATAAGAAGGGGAACGTCGACCTGCCAAAGGAGCAGGCGGTTGCGAGGTATGAGGACGTCACGCTGCCTGACCAGTACGTGCTGCCAGACCTGGAGGCGTTCAGCGAAATCTACGCGACGCCGCTGCTCTCCAGAAAGAACCAGAACAAGAATGTGTCCAGACCGGAGGACATTACAATTGTGGACAAGCCTTTGGATAACCCGTTTACCGATTTCAATGACGAGGAGCTGCCACCTGTCGACGATCTTGACTTCGCTGGGCCGTTTGACGGTGAGTATTTCGTTCCTATACACTGTGTTTGGGCTTGCTTCTCCTGTGTGCTTTTGTTTGTGAGTGGGGGCTTTGAGGGCATAACAGGCTGTTGAATGCCGGTGGGCTGCTTTGGTGTGCTTGGGCTGCTTTTGAGATTTCTCAGGAGGGTAATGTCTTGATGGGGGCTGAGATGCTCCTTGGTAAATTTGTCTGACATTTTCTGCATGGCATATGATTGCCTGGCGCAAGAATACAGGAATCACCCCTCCCAGCTGTGGCATGCGCTGGCTCTTTGTTTGTTCTTGGTCTTACTGGTGTGCTTCTTTGAGTGTCTGCCCTGCAAGCCTCACCGTTAGATTCTCCTCTTTGCAAATGTCTACCTCTCTGGGTCACATGCTTCTCCCTTACCCATCCTTCTTGAGCATGCAATATGATTCTGCCAGTGTTTGTGCGCTGGATGATTTGGCAACTAATGAGTACCAGCAACGTCTGTTTCCATTGCACTTAGCTCCTTTTGCTGAGTCAATTCACGCGATTTGCACCTTCGGAAAGTTTACCCCTTGTCTCAGCCACCTGTCATCTTTGAAGAGTTCAGAAACTCAATGCCCAGCTGTTGGAATCTTTTAGTGGACTCAAGCAATCCTGGGAGGGCCGGAATCGGTTTTGGTGGACGTTACCAGAGTTGGCTGACTCAAGAAGTTGATGAGCTTAACGGTTCTAGTCATTGCAAGGATCTGAGGCACAAAGATTCTGGCGATCACTCTAGGAGCATTCTTGGTAAACACTCGGACTCCTTGTATCAGCCAGAGCAGAGAGCAACTCCAGGTTTTGTTGATGCAGCTACCAGAAGGCAGAGCATGGGCCACTTCCGTTTAACACCCCTGACATATGCTGATCCCTTGAACAATCAAATCATGGGATTCGAGCATTGGTGCAGAAGATAATGCCCACTTATGCGCAATTTGTTTATGTTCACCACTGATGCAATCCGATCCTCCTCCCGAATGCAGCCACCCCCAGGTCTGTTGAGGTCAACCGGTCCGTGGCGACCCCCGCAGAAGACCCATTCGCAGAGCGCTTCGAGGATGACGCGGGGTTCTTTGAACCCATGGACATGGATCCAGAGAAGATGCGGAGCGCTCCGACAGGAGAAGGGGCTCAAGAGGTGAGGCACTAAGCGGACAGCAGGCGTGCTCCAATTACTTTAGCTGATTCTAGCAGAAAGTTTGTACACTCCTTGCCAATCTGTGCTTGTCCATTGGATTTCTGCCTGGGGTGTCAGATGGGGCATCTAGTCAGGGGTTCAGAATCTGCGGAGTTCGAGGCTGAGCGAGGGACTGGCAGCTTCTGTTTTTCAGAAGAAGGGCGTTTCTTTGAGTAGCTTGGCAGAGGTGAGGCGCAGGTGTTTGGCTGAATATGCTCGGAAGTTATGGAAGATAGTACTCTGCAAACACTATTTGAGGCAATGCGATTGACATTACCTTGCGTACTGACAATTCGAGGCCCCCCGAAAAAAGGCACTGGCATCTGCTTCGCTGCCTGACCTCTTGTTTTGTAATCGGCAGGATCAAGATCTTTTCCCGGCTCTCGACACCCCCCTCGCCCCCACCCCCATGGACAAGGACGACGACACCGTACCGCTCAGCGCGGACGCCGAGGCCCCCCTACCCGATTTCGACACGCAGCCAAAGCCGGCCCAGGGCCGCGACTCTCTAGACCTCCTTCTGAACGGGGACGCAATGCTCCCCACCCCAATTGGGGAAGATTTGGCGACCCCCGCGGCGGGGGGGGACGTCACGCAGACAAAACGTACCCCCAAGAGGAGGAAGGTGGATAGAGTAGTGTTCGACCAGGAGACGGTTATTCCGGGAGCGGAGATGGATAGGAGGATCAAGAACCCGGGAGATTTGGTGCGGCCGAGGAAGCGGGCGCCGCACACGGGACGCCAAATCCGGCTGCAGGCCAGCACGCAGGTGGGTTATGCGGTTCAGGTTTGTGGCAATTGCGGAATTTTGCATTAGTAGCAATCATGGGGTTCTGGATTGGTAATCGGATTGGCTGACACGTTTTGGGTCATGGTCAAAAACGCAAGCCATGCATGTCGAACCCAGCTTGCAGTCTTTTTGGCAACTATGAGACTTTAAACTCTGCTCGAGGGGGCTTCAATTCTTCGTTGCGCTTTGGATCATAGTTGAAGGTTATGGAGACCAGCTGACTGGATAGGCAGACCTGCTTTTGCAGCACATTATCTAACTGCAGCACATTATTAAACTGTTCAGGAGCTTTGTGAAGTCGCGTGAGCTTTCTACACGACAGTGTTAGACCATTTTGACAGCTTTGGGGCGACAGCCTTTGATGTTTTGCACAATCCTTCTCTTCCTCGTCACTTTCTTCCCGTTCCATCTTAGAAGCTTCGTGCTATCTTTAGGTGTACAGGCCGCCCTTCGTACGTACACCTGCCCCGTTTTCTGGTTTACCTTCGTACCGTCGTCATCAGTCTAGCTCGAAACCCGCCCCTAATCCAGGCCACACCAAGAGAACCTCTTCTAACCTCATTTTGGACGAACGAAGCGAAGCAAGCTCACCTGCTTCGTACTTTTCCAAAAACACACCTCATCAATTTGCATTTTGCGCAAAGTCTCCTGAAACCTACTTTGCACCCTGGTGTTCTTGCAGGCCGGTCTGGAGGCGCTTATGCGGATGCCAGCTGTCAGTGGGCTGGGTCTGGAGCTGCAGGCCGTGGTCCGCGGGATGCTGGTTAAGGGCAAACCCGATTTCCTGCCGCTAACCAATGAGGCGGAGGAGCGGCGCGCAGCAGATGATAAGGCGAAAGCTGAGGAGGCAGCGAGGAAGGAACAAGCGAGGGACGAAGAGGAAGCAAAGGGGGCGGAAGAGAACAAGGGCGAGGAGGAGAAAGGTGAGCTTGTGCAAGCCGTTGTCTAGAATCGGTCAACAGTTTTCTACGGCTAGGACGTTTGATGTGTTTTTGTTTCTCGTTGGGACGCCACAGTCGTAGACGTTCAACATTCATTTTGACGTCGCTCGTTTCGAATCGTGTTGTTGTCTTAAAAGACGAGGAGAGCTTTCAGCAGACTTGAGGCGACAAAGACAGCCAATTCAGCGCACCAATCGGCAATTGACGGCCTGTTTTCATCCTTCCTTCTGACCATTCAATGCCAACAAAGGCTGCCCAGGCTACTTGTACTCCACTCAAGGGCACCAGAAGGGCAGTAAGAAGGTGTGGTAAACTCTGCTCAACTCACAATACTGCGCAGTCGCCCAACAAACGGTTCTTACTCCATCTACAGATGCGGAGGCTCCGGCAGAAACTGATCAGGCCCCCCCCGAGCCGTCCCCCAAGGAGAACGGAATTCCGGCCACGCTCCACGACGACTTCCCCATGACCGACGACTACGTCCCTACGGACGATCACTACGACCACACGATGCCCGACGGAAACTGGGACGACACCGCGCCGTACCTACCCGGGGAGAATGTCAACAAGGAAAAGCAGGCTGCGGGTTATCCCGGTTTGGAGGATTTGCTCACCGGTAAAACGACCGAGGAAGCGAGCGAGGTGGCAGAGGGGGATACTCCGTCAGAAGATGTTGCCGCTGCCGGGGGGGTCAAGGGCTGGTCGGTCCGCACTAGGGGGGTCGCCAATAGGCTGCAGCAAGTGTTCCGGGAAGGGGGGGAGAAGAAGAGCGTTCCGCTGGAGGGGCTGTTGGAGGGGTACGGGAGGAAGACGGCGGCCAAGATGTTCTTTGAAGTGCTGGTTTTGAAGACGAGCAACTACATTGATGTGAAGCAGGAGGAGCCGTATGGGAACGTGGATTTGAAGCCGACGCCGCATCTTATGGCGGCGGCGTTTTGATAAGGGGGGGGGCGCATTTGGCAAGGTGGAAATGTGCAACGGGCTGGTTTTAAGTTTCAGCTGATTAAGGGAGCTGCCGGGTTTATAATGTTGTATATTAAGGGTAAGTGGAACAATTGTGGTGAAGGGTCCAGATTAGCAGCCCATATTAGGGAAACTTGGAAGCAACATGCTTCGAACAGAGAGGCCGAGGAAGCAACAGCGAAAGACAACTTTGAAGACTGTCGTTGAATGGATTTGACCTCCAATACATATTGTTTAAAACCTGGAGGCATGCTGTCACTATCGTGCAGTTGCATGTTGCATGCATCACATAAGCCAGGCTATGTAGCTGATCATTTCAAGATTCTCACTGTGCATAGATTGTAAAGAAGTTTGCGTGCCTGTCGGCTGGCTGTCTGCTTGCGGGGTTAGGCAATGCAGGCCACTGTAGCCATGACGCAGAGTCACCTGGCGCGCGCTGCACGCTGTCCAACCGACCGCTTATGAGTTCGAGCTGGCATGGAAAACTACAAATTCACAGCGCGATCACGTCATCCCTATAGCTCACTATTATGTTTGCGGCCCTAGCTGCTCTCTGGAGGCACAGTGAGTAGGCATGAACATTTTCAATGGAAAAGTTGCACAAATTCGACGATTGTGCAATATGACTAATTCTGCGCCAACGTTTTGATTCTCCTCAAATCGAGCACCTGTAAGTGCGCTGGTGCACAACGGGAAACATGAGCATTGCACGTCATAAAGTCGTCGCGAATGTGTAGCTGCACAAACTCAGCATGCATGTAGTCGGCTGCAGGGCGTGGTCATGCAAGCTGTGGCAATGTTCCGCTTCAGTGCTAGTTGGATCCCTCGCAAGCTGCAAACATGGGTCTGTCTTTGCCAGATTGCTCCTCGATTTACTTGACTAAGCAACCTGGTATATCCGCTCGTTGGGCTCGTCAAGAGCGAGCAGGTGAGCCGCCCGCAAAACACTGCGCGTTGGACAGAGCGCCAACAAGCGTCACCGTTGCCATTTGCTTGGAAAGAGCGCTGCGAGCGCTTCGCCTCTTACCAGCTCTAGCCCTTCCGCATTCAACACGTCCGTTTCATCTAGAATCTGCCAGTTCTTTGTGTAGCCGCACTGCTGCGTCACGTACGGAAAGTCGCTGCAAAAAAGGAAAATATCGGTGTGTTTCGCATGCAGAACCCTTTGTTGTCTTCAGTCCAAAGCAACGTTCAATGCGCATCAGTCATTCATAAAAAAGGATCTCATGCAAGGCACACTGAACAGCAACCTGTCTCGTTCCGTAGAGTACGCGCAACACAGGTCCGACTGTGCCGCAGAGGACGTACTTTTCGTCGTCCCGCATGCAAATATTTGACGGCCATCTTGCTTATGAGCGTCCTTGACTTGATTCAGAAGGCAGTGGTACCCGCCAAAGGGACCGGATACTTGTTACGTGGTAGCTTTTTTAAGACGTTACGAAACCGGCGCTCCTCCAGACCCATACACCGCACAAGGTCAGTGGGCAACACCAACCACTTCAAATGCGAAAGAGAGTAGGGTGAAGAGACTCACCTTCCCCACAAGAGCCGCCTGGCGCCAAACGCGTCCGCCAGCTGGCGGATCATGGGGACCGTGTCTCGGTACGGGAACTCCTCTTTGGAAACGCGGAAGAAGGCGCTCAGTTTGACATACACCTGAATCAAAACGTACCGTCGAAATAACGTTTAGGCAAGAAATAGACTATCGGGACAGCTCGACGGCAGGGAAACAAGCACTATATGTTAAACCGTACTGTTGGAAGCTTGCTTTCAGCTTCATCTTGTCACTTTTGATCTGGTTGTAGTTCCTGTACCGAATCTGTGTTACAACTGAGAAACCTGCTGTCGAGTCGTTGAACCTTGACAGAGAGGTTTTGGTTGTACCAGAGTCCGCCGTACAACCCGGCTTCGCTAAAGCTGTTGATGTGAGACGGCTGACACCAACGAGTCTCTGGTTTGCAGGCATCAGGGGTAAAGCGCCACGGTTTCGCTACCGCACCGAAGCAAAAAGTTACCTGGGGATATTGCGACAGGGTCAAGAGCCGGTCCCACATCGTGGTTTCCTGCTCCGACCTGCCAAGGACAGGCATCCACAAGATCAGAACAACGCCAGTGCAGCAGGCCGCGATGTGCTACGCTAAATCGCATCGATCACCTGATTGAAAACCTGGGTAGGCATTGCAGCCGCGCTACAGGTGCGGAAAATAGAACACGGCCGGGACCGATGACGTTCTTATATCATTTCAAGAATTATGAGGCACGCATTGAGTATCATGGGCCAAGATCGGGATGGGTGACTTGAGGGCTAAGGGTCACTCCGGACAAAGCGACCCAACTCTAGTGTGGGGAGCTTCAGCAATCGACTGATTACGGCGTCCTCACCTTTGAGGGTTGGTAAATGCGAAGTGGTCCAGCAAAACTTTCGTCTCTGGGAAGTCCCTACACAATGCCTCAATGTCGTCGATGTGAAGATGCAACCCCTGCGGTACATACAATCTTAAAGTCACGTCTATGGCGTCGAAAAAGGAAAAAGGGCCGATTGCTTCGGGCAGATATAGCTGACCTCTTTGTAAACGTCGATTTTATGAAGAGCAAAGAGTGTTAAAGTCCAATCTCACGCAGCCAGAGTTGACCATCTGCTTATTTCTGATAAGGAACTGGGATTTGGCTGCGCCGCCGATAAGGAACTGGGCGTTTAGCTGCTCGTAACCCGGGGGGTGGTGTGCCGACCGTTGCAGATTGCAAACGCCTCCCCAATCAGAACTTGCTCTTCGATGCGTATGCAAGGGTACTCGTGAGGTCATATAAGAGTCTACAAAGCGCTTCAAAACGAGACGTGTCGGCTACAAAGAAAGGCAACATGAAATTTTGGTGAACTTTTCTAATGTCCCGCCAGGATAATGCGCGCCCTCTGCGTGCGCTACATCCTCGAGCTAGCGTGTGTCTCAGTTGCCTCAAATCACTTCGTTTCAGCTTATCTTATCCCGAATCAGAATGGACCAAGCACCTGGAATCCTTCAACTTAGCTGAGGACGTCGTAAGTTATGTCTTTACACCTCACGCTGTCCGAACCGGGGGCCGTCCAAATTTGGCATCTCGACTCAGACCCAGCAGATGCGATTCGAAGTAGCGGCAAAACTGAGAAACCTCTGACATAGAGGACGACGTCATTAGAGGGGGCGTCAACAAGGAACAAAGCAGAATCACCTTGAAACACATGAACCCCACTGGAGCCCCTAGCTGGCCGGCTTTTGCAAACATGGCTCGCCCAATATCGTTCGTCATCTGTACAAGAGAACGAGAGGCTTCATTCTGCTCCTCAAAGTTAGCGTACGTAAAACGTTTCGTGGATACCAGAAGCAGCAACGGCGACCCGTGAGCATTTGAGCAACGTGTTTAAGTAAACATCTCTTTGCAGAACAAAGATAGAGACCTGCAAAGCTCTGCCCGACAACGCAGCTGGTCGAGAGCTTACCTGTTCTCCTGCCGGCCAGAGATACGGGTTGAAACGAACTGCGCTGAAGCCATCCTGAGAAGAAAGGGCGTCACTCAGAGAAGAGTTGGAATTCAGTCGTGAAACAGTCCGTCTTGACCTGGCTGAGTCGCTCAGACAAATGCGTCTCATCGTCATAGCAGGTGATGCCCAGCACTTGGATGTTTTCATAGCACGATCAGAGTGCTTGTCCAAAGCTTTCTTGACAGTTGAAAACTCTTCACAGTGTGTCTTCAATGCACGCCAAGAAGACAAAGCGCGCCTCTTTTGAAAACATGCTTTCACCGTTCATCCTATGCGAGAAGAGGGTTTAAAAAAGCTAGGAGAGGTGTCTACGCAAGGACTCTTGCCCTCACCTCTTGAACGAGTCGCTCTAGTTCTCGAGTGCCCCCGCCACCCGGGGTTGGGTCTGCTAAGAGACAGCCGGCAAACTTGTTCGGATGCTTCTTGAGGGCACTGCTTCGAAAAGATGACATCAGTTTTTAGCTTCAGAAGATTCTCGTCAAAATCACATAGTATAAGCAAGGTCTCCGCATGCAATCGTCAGGCGCTGAAAGACCCTGACAAAGAAGACAAACTTGTTCGAATGCTTCGTGAGGGCAGTGCTTCAAAAACATAATGTCAGTTTGTCTTCAAAGATTCTTTTCAGCGTTTCAACAGGAAAAGCAAGGTCTGCGCATGGCGTCGCCCGGCGTGCTCCATCGCAGACATGCTGGACGTTCTGGCCCTTGATGGTCCCATTCGTTGCAAATTGTAAGTCTAGCTCCGAGATGTTTGAGCCAAGCGACCAAGCTGAAAAATGGAGAGCGGTTTCTGAGCACGTCAAAGACGGGGTTGATCATCAAAAGTGCTCTGTGGACACACACATCGTTACATGCTCAAAAGAACGATTCGTTGCAGCAACTCTGCGGTTTGAACGAGTATTGTACGAGGAGAAGCAGACCTGCTGACGTAAGAGTGGTCGAACTTGTGATCGAACGGTTGGACGATGAGCGCTCCATCTACCCCAGCCACGTCCATCTCCTGCAGTCAAAGAGAACTTTTGTGCAATTAGTTTCTTTCGGGGAACTCCTAGGTGCGGAAAACCTTCCTGATCGACATGGTTGAGCTGGAAGAAGAAAGCCAGGCCGCAGTTCCCCTTTCTAAAAGTCCCTGATCGATTTGGTGCCATGGATTTTGGCTCCTCTGTGCGGTGAGTGACAGCACTAGCAGCTCGATCTGGGAGCAGAATTGCGCCTACTGGATTTGCAAGGCCACATTGAAGCACAGTCTAGCTGGTCTTATCAGTACAGACGAGCCCTCATTTCGAACCACCGAAGACATGGTGATGACTCTTGACTGCGGCTATATTGAGAGGTAGTCTTGCTTGCAGCGACGAGTTCATGAAGTTGATGATCACCTGGAGAAGAAGATCTGTGTTGCCCGGAATAGTCGGCTTCTGACTCAAGTTGTACGGGAAGGTTTTTGACTGCATGCAGCAACAAGAAGAATCGCAGTCAGCACAGGTTCTCCGCGGACTTCTATTACGCACTACAGTGCTGTTCATCTGCGCACCTAAGTGTTGCGTTCCAGATCAAGTTTCTGCTGAACGAGGTTTAGGGCTCTTTGTGCCAGTAAGCTTTGGATTCTTTTGAGATGCCTACAAAAGCTACTTAGTCCCACAGCTGTGGTGGTGGTGAGAAAGCTGGCAGGGGCCCCATCAGGCCTGCTGGACTGAGTGCGGTCTCAACATACAAAAGGGGCCCGACTGTTTTCTCAGACACGGTTGCCCCAAGATTACAATTTGTGTGCAGGATTCCTCTGTACTGCCATGCCAGGAGAAACAATCTGAAGGAAACCCTTCCCTCAGAACACAAGGATCTAGATATTGCAGGCTGTTGGCCCTAGGCGTTCCAGAGCGCCTTCTCCACGCCTTTAGTGGAGATGGTGGTACAAAGTCGCTGGCACTCAAACAAATCTCAATTCAAGAAGAATAAGCTCTGAGCGCAAGAACCTAATCAACCTGGAACGGATGGGTTAGCTTGGGGTTTTACGGTGGGTATGGGTGCGGAGCAGGTGGTTTTCAAAGTTGGGTTCCTAGTGTCAGGACAGGAGCTTACATTCAAAGCTGATACTAGTGCCAAATTGAAGAGCCATAGCAGTCACTACAGTTCTTATGAACGGCTCACTCACTTCTTCTTCAGATGCCCACACGTGCAAATGGCTGTCAAGAACACGAGGCCTTGGTTGCTGAACTGCATTGCGCATGCCCTCTGTATCTTGATTCATGGCCACTGCTTGGATCCAACGAATACCCTTGGTCCTTTCTGTGACTAGAGCGAGGCTCTGAAGATTGATGGACCTCCGTGTCCAAGAGGAAGATAGAATCGATTGTTCTGTTGCCCTAATGTCTAATTTGTGAGAAGTCAATGCAGAGAAGGCCGTCACCACTGCATTGCGCACAATGGCGGTGCTGCCAGACATGGCAGCTGGAATCACTGCTTGAAGCTTGTCTTGATCACAGATCTATCAGAGATGCAATGCTGTGATGCCCATGCGTTGGTACACCAGCAACAGTTACAAAGAGAACCACCTCCAGAGTTCTACTAGCCAACTGTTCTTGCAGAAGCAGCTCGCTGTAGTTCGGCGATAACCTGCGATAACCCGAATTGACTTGCAGTAAAATGACAGTCTATAATAGGTACGATGATCAAAGTGGTTTGCAGTAAACGAGATGAGTTAGCGTGAACCAGCACAATGTTCACCAGCAGCCAGCTCCGCTCCCCAGTTCACACAAAACAGCGTGACACTGACAGTGAAAGCAAAGAGGAGCGCTTCCAGGACGTTCATTGGGAATTGGTTCCTCCAGAAAGCTCTGGCATCGAGGCCGCACTTTTCCCAAGAAGCTCAGTGTGTTTTGGGCGAGTGCTGACGTGGTGCAAACTGTGGAGAGACCGGGGTTGTCCGTCAGGTATGTTTACGCTTGAGCAGGTGGTGCCGTCTGCTTTATCATAAGCGAGTAGTTTATCTGACCAACCTTTCAATGATTGTCTGTGAGGCTCGTTTTTCTCTTAAGCCACCGTTAGTTGCTTCTTTTGCAAGTCAGGGCTCTGCGCGGACGTGGAGCTTCTTTGTGCAGTTTTTTTTTTTGGCGCAGCAGGGATTGTGTGACCTGGTTCTATTTGCCCAGGATATCAGTGTGCAATATAAGATCGAAAAACAGGCGTAGTTATCCAGCATCTCAGGTTTATGCAAGTAAAGTTCACATTATTGTTTGCGCATCTTTGTGCGAAAGAATCTCCTTGCTAATCTGCAACTTTCCTCTCTCTTTTCGCCAGGACAACTTTCGAGCTATCGTCGAGATCGCCATCTTCCAAGAAGGGAGCTTTTCGCCACAAATGGTCATTATCGTCTTCACACCCTCATCTTACGTTGCAAGTTCCGCTTTGAAGATCGCTTGCATCATGTTGACAGGGCCGGAAAGGAGAGCCGGAAAGCCTCTACGCTCGGCCTCAGATGCAGCATATGTACTGAGAACCACTGGGGCAGAGGGCTCAAAAAGCTGTTTCCTTTTTGCAGGATCCCCATTTGCCTCTGCCGTCAGCAGCTGTGCGCCCTCCGTGAGCACCATTTCTGTCCTTCCCTGTGTTTTGCGTACTGTTTGGAAATCTCTTAATCCTTTGACCGAGCACCAGAGTCTTTGTGTCTCAAAGTTGGAATCTGGGAGATCATAATCTGTACCATTCTGACGATTTGTGGAGCTGCAGCATATTGAAATGCGTCTGGTCGCTAAAGTATGGTTTGATGAGTGGACCACTATGCACTTGATAATGGCAAGCTTTGTACACCGTCTTTCTGTCTTTAATAGAAACGCTGTTGAGCTAGCTCTTCTCAGTCCTGATAGTCCTTTTCCTTCTTCTGCCCAGCTCAGCTAAGTGTTGACCCAGTCTATCTCTTTCCAACAGCCTGCAATCAGTGGTCTTGCCTCCGGGGGCTGCAGTCAACTATCCTGCCGTAGGCGCGCACGCAGCATCAATTCCCCTTAGCAGCCCCCAAGTCCAGCAGCAGGGAGGCATCACGATTGGCAAGATCCTGTTCGACAGCAAGGACAAGCCAAAAGACGATGGTCCACCTCGGAAGCGGGGTTTTAGCGAGCGGCCCCCAGAAGAGCGGTCGCCTCTGCCTCATGAGAGGAGGGTCTCAAGGGACCGGCCAAAGAAGAGGGTGCGCGAACGGGATCAGGACCTTGACTCATCAGATTCTGAAGATGTTGAAGCAGAAAAGGAAAGGGAACGGGAGAGAGTCGAGAGGGAGGCGAGAAGGAAACAGCTTGAAGAGGAGCGAAGGGCCGCTGAGGAGAAGCGCCACCAGGAGGAGGAGGCGAAGCGGCTGGAGCGGGAAAGGCTAGAAAGGGAGGCGCAGGAGAAGATCGTGAGTTGCTCTGTTTGGTCCAAGGCCTTGGACGTCCTGTGGATAAGTGAAGTGGTCTGCCAGTTGATCGTCATTCGGCAATGCAAAGTGCGCCTGATCTCTTCCGACTTCAAAATGGAGACTCTGGGAGAGCATCTGCCTTGCTTCCGTTGCTTTTCTTGACTGACAAGCTACCTGAAGAGGATCAGGTTCGTGATTAGTTTCTGCGAGCATAGCCTGAGCTCCTCAACTGTCTCAGGTGCCGACCCAGACCATTGTGGTCAAGAGCATCTCCACCAGGGCAACAGAGGAGGATGTTGCTCGCTGCCTGGTAAGGCACTCTGTTTTCAGCCTATGGGTACCATGTGCCCTCTGGCTTTGTGGACGCAGGACTGGTACTGAAATATGTTTCTTCAAGAGCCTGCTTTTGTGTGGTCAGAGGCCAGGCTTGACACTTACGCCCTAAAATAGCAATTGCCGGAAGATACACATTTGGCAGAGTGCAACGCCATGTTAGCCTGCACAATTCACAGACTGGGGTTGGGTACTCACAACGTTTTCTCATTGCAGGCGGACTGGGGCCCCCTTCCCGTCTCATCTGTCCGCATCATCAAGGATAAGTTCACGAAGATGTCCAGGGGCTTCGCCTTCGTGGACTTTCCATCTGTGGTGAGCTCCACAGTCCATCTCACCTTACGTTCCTACATCGTCCTTAGGGTGAATTTAGAGGCTTCCTCTAGGAGCAAGGCTTATACGTCCTTGTAAACAAGTGTCCTGCTTGATCGAAAAATAGTGGACGCTCAAACACGTCAAGTCTGAGATTGGAGGCGGATGATTTCCCTGCTTTTCTGAAGTTCTTGTTCTTACTTTCAGACAATGCGCTTTCGAAGCGTTCAGATGTGCCAATCTAGAAACAAGGATAAGCCATCAGCTTCGCTTTGATGAGGGCCAAGATCTATAAGCGGAAGACAAAGCTTGCCGAGATGATGGATGGAGTCATCGAGAGTTGATAACGGGCGGCGCTGAAGCCGGACTCACTTTTGTAACTTTTCGGTCCGTCGTCCTCAGCCCTCGCAGCTGTTGACCCCTGTTTATGACGCCCTCTCTTCCTTTCTCGTCCTGCAGAAAGCCGCGAAGAAGCTCATGGAGGACACCAAGACCCAAAAGCTTCTCCTTGATGGCCGCAAACTACATTTTGAGTATACGTGAGTTTCCCGGACAGGCCGCTCCGCCTCAGCCCGTCCTCCACACAATATCCTGGTATTCGTCCTTCAGGTCACGATCTCTGACGTTCCGCACACCTTGACCAACCAAAGAATGCGGAATTATATTTGTTGGTTTTCAACGAGGCTTTCTCCTTTGAACAGGCGCCCGAGTGAGAAGACGGAGGAGGAGCAGCAGGACTGGGTTTGCTCTGGCTGTAGCTCGGTCAACTTCGCACGCCGCAGCACGTGCTTCAAGGTATGCAAACAACGGTTGCTCAGTCTCGCGCTTGCGAATACTGTGCAAATGTGCCGTTCATTGTTTTAGCAGCTGGGTTAATAATATCATATTAAACCTAGTTCGAGCCTGCTCTTCATTGCTTCTGTCAGTCCTTAGGGCAGAGCACCCCCTCTGGAGAATCTCGAAGTGACTTTCTACCTTACAACCTTTCGACGTGTTCAGCAGTCAAGCCTGAGCAAAAGCCACGCTGAGTTCTGATATTGTGCTGTTGCCTTCGATGTACAGTGTTTGGCCGTTCGAACAGCAGACGCCAAGATTGCTGAGCCGGGAGCCGCTGAAGCGTCGTTCCAGAAGCAGCTCGACGGTGAGCGCTCCGGCTATTTTGCTCAGAAAGAATCTTTAAAAACGCCAAGCAACAGGGCCTATCTCTTCCGTGTGCGAAGTCTAAATCCCCCCTGTCTTCTTCAGGCGCCTTCTGGTGTACTTTTTTGAGCAAGATTTCAATCACTTAGGAAGCGTCTCACGAACATCCTGCTTGTGACTTTGCTGCAAGTTCTCCTCGGTATCCTGCTTGTTCCTCGAAGGCCCACAAGCTTTGCGTGATGTCGCTAAACCTCTACTCACTAGCAGAGTGGCCTCTTTGTTGCAGAGGAGAAGACGGACAATCTGATTGTGCGGGGGCTCGAGCCGGACGTCGATGAAGCTGCGCTGCACTACACGTTCGCCAAGTTCGGGCCGATCAAGGAGCTGAAAGTCATCCGTGACCGGAACACGCTGGTTTCCAGGGGCTTTGCGTTCGTGCACTTTAACACCGTGAGCAGATGTTTTCAGGACGTCGATCTGACTGATCGCATCCGTTCTTCTGGAGCTGCTTCGATTTTGGTCTTTCCACGTTGTGACGGTGCGTGGAATGCCGGATTTGGCGCATCTTCGACGGGGAACTTAGTCACCCCGCTTTCTCAAATCAAGTCCAAAGTGAGCGCAGGAGACGTTCGCCTTCATTCCCTGTAAGTTCTTGTTTGAGCTTGAGCTTTGTTATGCTCTAACACTACTGCTAAGTAAGGACCGTGATATGTCTGGAACCTGAACGGAAGTTCACACTCCTGAATATTACAAGCATCTCGTCAGATAGCGATTGCTTGTCCTGGTAGTTGCTCGGCGCCTTTTGCAGCGACTGAAAATACGCTCTTGGCATTTAGGCATCGGCAGCGACACTTGTCTGAGCACCCTCATCCCTTTCCGCAACACGAATCAGGACCCGTACGCTCGCGGTCTAACCGTTTGCGAACTAACGGTTAGCGATTCAACGGGTCAATAATTGGTTGCGATCTGATCATTCCGTTTCAACCCTAGGTCGAAGAAGCGAAGGCCGCTCTCGTCGCCACCAACAATACCCGCCTTGACAAGACCAGCGCAACCATCCTCCGGGTCGCTTTCGCTCGACCCCAGCCGCAGCGCCAGGTTCCGTCCTTCCCTATCACCACCGCCCTCCCTGGTGTGAACGCCCTCGCTGGTGCCACCTGGCAGCCCAAGGAGTTCAGTGGGAAAAGGCCGGAGCCGCAAGTGGTCTCCACGTGGGAGCCCAAGGAGTTTGGCATGAGCGACGAGGAGCGCCAGGCGAAGGAGGAGCAAGCCGCGGCCGTGGTGTCGGCACCCGCGGTCGTGCTAACCCAGCCGCAAACCGAGCCGCAGACCCAGGCGCAAACCGAGAATCGATCTGAAGCGCAAACCCAGGCGCAAATCCCGGCGCAAATCCAGCCGCAAACCCAAGTTACTACCCAGCATGCGGCGGCCCCAGGAAAAGGGGGGATGGAGAGCCTCGCTGCGCAGATGCAGGGCGGTGCAAAGCCTGCGGCTGCGGCGAACCAGGGGCAGCTAGAGAAAGCGGCTTCTGCGGCGGAACCGTCTGCGGGGTTCGTTTGGGATGACGCGTCCGGGTACTACTACAATGCTGCGAGTGGGTATTACTACGACGGACACAGAGGTGGGTCACAGCTATTGCAGGAGCTTTCAGCTGCGGTGTCTGAGAAGCTATCATTGGAGAGAGGGTCCGAACCGATTGTCCTTGGTGCAATACTGAATAGGGATGGTTGCCGAGCTGCTACGCAGCTAGTATCTGACAAGCGGGACGGCTTACCTTTTCTGTTCACTCGTCGGTTCCATAGTCCTCTGCCGTATATGAGTATCTGGACGATGATTTGAATCGAGACGAAATTGAAACCAGACTCTTGAGAGTCCTCGAAGTTTGGACTTTTTCTAAAAAGAGCTCCCTGATTGGCATCTGGATGGTGGATGTACGCAAGAAACGTCTTACAACCTCGTTCATCTGCCGGCAATTCTACCATCGACATAAGCACAAGCCTGATGCCGTACCTTTCACTTTGCCCGCAGGGTTGTACTACAACGGGCACACCAAGGTCTGGTACACTTTTGACACCGCCACCCAGAAGTATAATGAGGTCCAGCCAGACGCTGCCGCAAGCGCCGCCCCGCAGACAGCCGCTCCAGCAGCCACAACCGGATGGACTCAGCAGCAGCAGCAGCAGCAGGTAACGTTATTGATTTATATTTCGGAGGCTTAGCTGCTGAGGCTGGATGAGCAGTCACAGGGTTCATTCCGTAACTCCGGATGAGTCCTCAAGCATCTGCATTCATTGATCTGCAGCGAGTGGAAGGATCATAGTGATCTAAGAACATCTTGTCTGAAAAGTTGTAGACTTACCTGTACAGACCGAAGTCTGGTCTCACTACGACGTTTTGCAAGAGAACGACAATTTTTCGAGCGGTACCGAATTCTGCTTTCACTTGGACAGTTTGCAAGGGAACGTTGACTTATGGAGCGGACAACAAATCACGACAGGTCGAAATGTCTTGCTCCGTATCAATCCCATCTCCTGCAGGTACCGGCTCAGCAGTCTACGGCCGCTTCGGCGCAGCCTGCCACGTCATCATTGCAATCGTACTCGCAGCAGGCCCCGACTTTTTCCCAGCCACAGCAAGCCTATAACCCCCAGCAAAGCCAGCAGCCATCGTCCAATTACAACCAGGGCCCGTCCGCTTATAATCAAGGTCCGTCCGCATATGGCCAGGGTTTGTCTGCTTATGGCGCCACCTCAACCCCCCAGAACTTCAACCAAGCAGCCTCTTTCGGGGGCCCACAGTACGCCCCGAGCAACCAGTTTCCTCCTTTGGCACAACAAAACATGCCGTCGGGCGGGCAGATGGGTTATAATAACCAGCCATCCTCTTATGGGCAGCCCGGTTGGCGCCCTCAGAACTTCCCCCCGGCTCAGAATTCGCAGAACCCCCAGGGTCAGCAGTTTCCGCAAAACCCCCAGCAGCAGTTCGGCGGCTCGGAGTCGCTGGGCAGGGGGGGTTTCGTTCTCGGGGGCCCGGGGGGTCTGGGTACGGACGTCGCAGCGGGCTTTGGAAATGGGGGTATGGATAGAATGGGGGGGGCAGATGGGTACCGGGACAGTGCGGCCGAGCGCCGGGGGCTATATGGAGGGCCCCTGCCTATGAACAGGAATGACGGGGGTGTAGAGAACGGGGGGTATGGTCGGCAGGGAGCGGTCCCAGAGGACGACCCCCCCGTCGCGTTTGAGAGGGTGGATCAAACTAGAGCCCTGGGGGATACTAACGTGGGGAACAGGATGCTGCGCAACATGGGGTGGCAGGAAGGGCAGGTGAGGCTGCCGAGTGTCGTTTCTGTCTATGCTACGTTTGAGCCTCTGTTCGGAAAAGTTCTCGGGAACGGGTTTGACAATACTGCTTCTTTGACGCCGTTTTGCCAAGTGTTGTATGACGATTCTGCACTTTCTGTATCATGGTCAGGCGTTTGGGCAGATGTTGGTTCAGTGCCTTCTTCTCATGGAAGGTTCCAACGTCTTGCTCTTAATACGAAGTGTTGAACAGTCTCCGATCATAGTCATCTAATGCTGGATCTGTGCCGATTGACAGAGAGTTGACTTAGGATCTGCTAGCTCAAAGAGGTGACGTATGATGGTGCCGGAGCAGGTCTGTATCTCTTAGATTCGCCTCTTCAATCATCACCAAAGTACAACAAAGACTTTCCAGGTTGACGACTTTTTACTTGCTTATTCCATTGCATTCCGGCGTAAGTTAGAGCTCTCCATCGTGTGCTTACACCGTCCCTTTTGTGTTGGCAGGGCCTTGGAAGGGGCGGCGGAGGGATGGTCGAACCGATTAAGGCCGAACGGACGACGGAGCGAGCGGGTCTAGGGGTGGAAGTCCCGAAGGTGGACCCCCGGTTTGAGATCCTCCCCGGCGACTCTTACAAAGTTCAGATGCAGAAGAAAGCTCAGCAGCGCTTCCTTATGGAGCAGCAGAGAGGAACGTTTTAGGGTGAAGTCATGCAGCCGCATAACTTTGAGTTCCCGGAGCTTACAAGATCATGATGGAAACGAAAATACAGTCGAAGAATTCAACACTGAAGGATTATGCTACGACGACGTGATCTGAAGTCAAATCTCACTTTGGGCACCGGCCTTGTGGAAGCGCACGTACTCGAAACGGGTCTCTTGCACGTGTATGATTTGTGTCCTCCTTTAGGCCCATCCGTTATGCCGACTCAATAGACGCTCCTGTCATGCAAAATCTACATTGGCATATACCGTTCAGCGGCTAATACATACAACGGAATCATGTAATCTATGATATGCATGTGGCTACATATGACGTGGTAGTCAACCCTTCTCACATAGCGCATGCACCTCTTGCAATGTTGAACCCATGACCGAATTTATGTTTGCGCATGATCTTGTATCTTTCAATGTATAGGTTCGAATTTGCATGCATGCAAACATGTGCATGGTGCAATATAGGATCGGTATTCCACATGATTCATCTTGATCGAAGACTATATATACACGGCTTCATCATATGTCTCTTACTGTAGCATCGCCGCCCGTGTTCTGCTTTCGATAAAAGGATCGAGCGTGAATCTTCTCGCACGTTTCTGCTACGGATGGATTCAATACCAGCAATGTTCTAAGCTGACTCCAACCCTGCCGTCCTAGGGACCGAGATTGTAAGTTCATGTTATAGTCTCGTCAGGCCCGATCCTCATATACGCCATGAGTACGCGGCCTGCCTTAATTCGGGCCGACTTCCGACTTCCTTGCCTCCAGGTCCTCCCCCCCGGCCCCCCTGCAGAAGACCACAGACTCCAGCAAGGCAGCGACTAACTTCCGTATGGAACATCTTCCAAACTCTGGAGGAGTGTCGCCAAGAAGTGGTACACTGGGACAACCAGGCCGCCCTCTTTGCCCTCCCGACACGTGAGAATGCCCGAGCGCTCAACCATGTTCCAGCCAGGGGGGGGCGGTTCCGGCAAAGTAAAGCAGCTTGCGGCGTTTGGCTCTAGCTTGCGGGTGGCCTTGAGGGCCTTCCACACGTTACACACTGCTTCAAGCAGGGGCGTTTGCCAGGGGCTACAGAGGCTGAGAGTGTCAATAACTTCTCTATGATGCGTGTCCTCCAGTTCAAGAAGCGCCGTCTCCACCTCTGCTGCCGTCACCGGCTCATCCGCGCTCGGCCTGACCAGCACCAGGAGTTGTTTTAAAATTCGGGGGGGGCCTACGAGCTGCTTCGCCAGGCTGTCTAGACAGACGCCGGGGCTCTTGCGGTCCCCCCCCAAGTAGCGTTGGAGCACACGCAAGACTTGGTGCGAACTTGGAAGGCTGGGGAAGGGGACCGGGAAGAGCCTGAGCGAGACCCCCCGGGGGAAAAGAGACGGGGCGTCGTCCATAAGCGGGAGGTGCTCAGCCCCGTCCATTTGGTTCAGGGAGAAGGCGACGCGCAGGCGCGGGTTGAGCGCGTACGCGCGCGCGACTTCAAGCGCGAGCGAGACAAAAGTGTAGACGCCCCAGTCTTCTAGCACCGCCGTAGCTTTTGGCTCTAGAGGGCTGCTATGCTTTCTAGTCTCTAGGCATTCCATGTTGTCAAACATGAGGACGAGTCGGTCATTCGAAGAGAGCGGCAAACGGAAGGCCTCGGAGACGGGGTGTGTGGCGAAGACCTCTCTGGAGCTCAGAAGCAGGATCTCCGGCTGCGCCTGCGGCCGCGAACAAAGACATGTTGGTAACTTTTGGTCAAGTTAAGTCGTGGGTGAGTGAAACTCATGGACCCGAGCAAACCAACTGAAACTTCTCACCGAAAAAATTATGCCCCGCACCAGGCTAACCCTCGACGCCCTCGGGCGCCTACTATTTGAAGTCACCCAGCACAGGGAACTCTGGCCCTTAACCATAATGGTTGCGGCTGACTATGGGCTGGTTAAAATTGGTGAAGTGTCAGAGAACCAGACCAAGGCGGTAACCAGCCTCGGAACAAGGTCAAAGCCCGGTTTATTGTCCAATAACCTGAGACTCAATTCTGGTTCAGCCTGGTTAGCAGCGAAAACCTTCTGTGCAGCTGTTGAGTCACCGAAGAGTTACCGAAGTTTAAAGAGCGGCCCTGAGCAGTGTGCGAGCCCAGGACCCCACCAGGATGCTTCAGAGAGACGCAATGGGACGTCCTCTGATGCCAAAACCAACTGTAATCAAAGCTGACTGTTATGAACTTCTTGGGAGCAACCGATAGCAGGAACGAGGGAGATGCAGTTGTTACACTCATTTTTCTTCTACTGATTCCTATTTAACCTTCTCATTCTTCTCATCAATGCACATAGCAACCATAATTTCGCGACTACGTCTAAAACCAGTGCAAATAGACAAAACACGCTATCCAGGGGCCTTCAGGCCCGTCACCTCAGCACTTGCAAACGCCAGTCCGCTTACTTGACTCTCCCTGGCTGCAGAGACGCTCGCCGCGGCTGTGTACAGCAGGGTCCAGAAGCTCGTTGCGACGAGCGGCTTCAGATGCTCCATAACGTCCCCAACCGTCACGTTCTCGCCCCCGTTCCCCAGGTCAAACACCTTTCGTGAGCACTTGAGTATCAGCTCGTTGACGAAGCCGTTCTCATCTCCTGGGACTCTCACGAGCAACGTCTTTGCTTCCCGCGCTGCTATTTGCATCACGGTCGTCTTACCCCACCCCGCCAAACCCTCCAGCCGAACCACCGTCCCCTCTCCCGTATCTCCCATCCACTTCTCGAGGCTCCGTGAGGTGGGGGAATCCCAATGGCTTTCCACAGGAACCCCGGCACCGAAGTATGGGAGCGGACCACGCATGGTTTGCTCGCTGGCTGCATGCCACTAAAGCGAGCGTCAGTATCGATCGAAAGCTGTACAAACAGATTAAAACCTTACCAGATAATGGCAGGGGAAAGAGTCGAGACACTTAGAAAAAGAGGGACTGAGAAGCGTGTGTTCTGAGCGAGGACCGTATTCCACGGTTCAGTGCATCGCTCAGCAGGCTGTTTAAAAAAAAGTGCTGGCCACTGCAGCATGAGCGCCTCCCCTCACTTGGCTTTCTGCAGATAGGGACCAGCTTGAAACGTACATATGTATGGCTATCTGCCCTCATGTATTCTGCAAAATGTAGGCAGAAAATCTCACCCTTTAGGCCTCCTTTAGGCCTTCACAAGCGTCTGCGAATTCGACAGTTTCAAGGGAAATGTGAGAAGCGGCGCGCCGCTTCATCTGCATGACAAAGGCGTGAACGGGCTATTGAACCAGGCTTACGTACATTCTCATCTCCTCAGACCAATGCGATGAAGCATTAGAAACGTGCACGTGCGAGAAGCTATCAACCATTATCTATAGGCATAAGAACCGAGACCATCTAGACTGTTTAAATACTAGGATCGGCAAGGTCATGACGGATTGTGCACCTTGCCTGAACCTGTGCAGAACTACAACGAGTCCTTCCATCCTGCGGCCTTGGAGGCTACCAGCATCACTTGAAGCCAGATTCTTTGGTCTGCAACCAAAAATGCCTCGAAGTTTGCAGGCAGAGTAATGAAAGACTTTGTATGTCAACTCTGAACCAGACTCGCTAAGAAAAGGCTGTCACCGAACTTACATCCAAAGCTGACGGCAACGTCAAAGACTCAGCCAGTGTGGTGCCTGAATTGGCAGGGCTTTGTCATTCTGCCCTCGAACTCTCCATCAGTTGCTTTTCACTTTCCGCAGATTATATAAACAGCTTATCATCCAGCTTGCCTGCCTGCTCGCGGATGACCACCTCACGTCTGCAGCTCCTGCTGTCTCACTGCGTGCACCATATTTCACGAGCGCGCCGCGGCCGCCGGCCCGGGGTTTTAAACCAGGGTTTCTGCGCAGCTAACACGTGTACTACAGAAGCTGCGCAGAAACCCTGGGTGATCAAAACCCTGGGTCGGAAGTCGCGGCGCGGCCGCGCAGCGGCCCTGCTGGCCCCGGAACAAGTCATCTGGTCCATTTGTCATGTTTGTCAAGACAAGATTGCTCTACAGGCGGAATAAATCAGGGGCAAGAAGGGCTGAAGCGCCTTTGTGATGAACTTCGCTTCCAATCTGGTGCTGCACGCTCACTGTCCCGGATTTTGCAACCTTTTTTGTTGGCACCATGCCAATCCGCGCTTTACTCAGTTCCGCTTGATGACTTATACTCGTGATCACCAATTTGATTTGACCATCGCGTCTTGTAAACATCATGATCAGCTAGGATTGTACAGTGTATTGAACGAGTAATGAGCTTCGTAAGTGTTCCAGATTTCAGAAGTGAGGAGCGAGTCGTTTGGCAGCCGCTCGTGTAAGTTGAACGTAGAAGGAGATCGATGGAGAGTTGTGTGGTTCCAACGGATTCTAGCGCGTCTGGCGGCCTGCCGCTATAGCAACTTTTCTGAAAGAAGGTAATCACTTTTTGCTAAGCTCTGCATAACGGCAGAATGTGCTGCCGTCGAGATGGTCTTTGCTTAATGTCCAGCCAACAAGCAAATTACATCGTCGCGCTTGCCGCCGCTCAGACATGTGCACCGTGCGCCGGCCGCCCGCCAGTTGTCACCCTAGTAACCCCTCCCGGACTCTGGCCGAAGCACATCCTACTAGCTGCTGCGCGTGCAGGCTAGTAGCAATTGTGGTGGGTGCTGTTCACGCCTTGATCACGCAGGCTTTGGCTGCACAATGGTTGCTGATCAAAAAGAAAGCGATGTTAATGATCAGGAGCAGCAGGGGCAATCCTACCCATCCGCCTGCAGACGCCCCCTCCTATCAATTCAAGGCACTCTAGAAGCCTGAAACAGTACTCTAAAATGCTTGATCAGTGCCTACACCAAGTGATCTTCATGGGCGGATCTTGGTCGCTTTCTTACTTGATTTGAAATGATGCAATAATATTCAGATTTGTAGCATGCGTACGCTGATTTTCTCAGTGCATTTTTGCAGTCGACTGTGGCCCTAGCATCCCAATGAGGCAAACCCGGCCCGCAAACTATTGCGCCGTGATATCTACGTTCACTTTCGGCAACCAGCTAGCACGCCCACGGACTTTGAGCAGTTGAGCGAGTGTTTGAACGCAGGGCTTGAACTTTGAGTGCAGGCAGCCTGCCGCTGGCACTACACCCGGGTCAACAAG